GGTTGCAGGCCCGCTCCGGAGATTGTACGTCCGCTTCGGAGGTACCGAGGCCTGTGCTGTTGCCGAGGCGCTAACAATGGGCCTAGCCCATTACACTCGTCAATGATCTTGTTTGCATCCTCAGGCTTGCTGAGCTCTATGATGATGCTGGAGGCGGCTTTTGTGGGTGCGTTGTGTGTCAGCCACCCAACGTACTTGATCTCCGCCTGCGGGATGAACGGCTTGTTGTCCAGTAGTATCTGGTCCCTTGTCTCTTCAAATCTGTCCATGTCCATTGTGCTGATACGTATGCTATGTGCGATAATGCCGTAGGTTGTGATCCGTATTGTGGCTCTGTTGCCAATGCGGTGGACCCAGTCGTCAGCAAACTGCTTTAGTGCTTCCACCTCATTGCTGGTGGCTGTCTTGATGCTGAGGTTGCCACTTCTCAGCTGGTTCAAAGAGAGCACCTTGATACCGTTTATGTTTTCATTTCCGCTCTGCACGATGGCGCGCTCAACGTGGGTGTTGAGATTGTACAGGTTCATTGCCTGCAGGCTAAGTACTGTAGTGGGGTCTCTGATTGTCACAACAACTTCACGCTGCGTCTGCATAGAAGGCATTCTAGGGACTTGTATATTTGCTGTACCTGCTAGTGTCACGCCCCTTGCTGCTATTGCAGCGTAGCTGACCGTGCCGCCTGTCTGTGGTCCTGTGTTTCTGATCTGTCTTGCCATCTGCAGATTGGCTTTACCTATCTCTACCGCCTCCTTGGCCGCTGTCTTTGCAGCCTCTCCTGCTCTCATGTTCAGTTGTACGTTTGCAGCGATTGCGTGGACAGTATTGGTGGTGTTCTTGAGTTCTGTTTTGAGCTCCTGCTTGATGGCATCAAGCATCTGTGCGGTATTTTCTGAGGTTACCTTGGCCTCAGTTTGCAGTATGCTGAGGGTGTCGCACACCGTGCTGAGGTTGAGGGCATGTTGCACTTTCAGTATGAATGTCAGCGTGCCGTGGATGATGACCTTGACAAGGTCTGCCGGCACTGGCTGGCTTTGCGTGCAGTCGATACAGGTCAGTGTGTCCTTGTCACGGTATCCTCTCCAGATCCCCTGACAATATCCAGATCCGCTCCGTACTGTCCCTGACCGTACGCACCAAATCCCCAGCGTCCTTACACGCCTCCGAAGCGGACGTACAACCTCCGGTCACCTCTGGAGCGGGCCTGCAACCTCTGAAGCGGGAGTATTAGAATTCTGCAAGCCCTGCTCTGGGACTTGCAACCCCAATACCTATCCAACTCAGTTCCGATTATTAACTGGTAACCAAACAAACCCACACGTAAGTATATAGACTATTGCTGGTAGAGTTCTGTTCGGTACACAATGTCTTGTACCTACTTAGATACCGTACGTAGTAATTGATTTAGACTCCTAGCGAGTCCTAAAGGGCCTACTCGTAGCATCTTTGTGACAGTCCTGAAGGTAGGTGCTGAGGCGTGTAGCGTGCTCGCGGAATGGAGTTGGCCATGCGGGCTGCTGAGGCCACGGTGTCGCCATGGCACGTCAGACGCAGTGGGCTGCTGCGGCTGGGTGCTGGCTAGTCAATTGGCATCAAGAGCAACCGTTTGAGCACAAAAATACAACTGAATTCCAAAAATCAAGTTCTCGCTGTGTGTGGTGTTTTTGTGCTCCACGCATGTTTCTTTTGTCTCCTCTTGACATGGCACTGGCAGCACGTGATGGTCGGACATTGGGATCCGTGACCTCTATAAATAGCCAGACCAACAAATGCCGCCGTTGGATCCAACCTGTTCCACGCCACTGGCGCGTGCAATGAATTGCAAATTTGTGTTCTTTGTGGACTGTTTTCAGCAGCAGCAACACCGGATACGGTAGAATTAAGGATTTTTGTGGTGAGCGACCAGGAGACAGCAAGGCTTCACGTTTGCTCAGCCCTATTTAAGCAACGTACCGGTGGATTAGTAGTTAGGTGGGTGACCACTAGCGAATACCCGCTGTTGTATGTTTTTCCTTTTTTACTCTTCCCACCCTTTTGCTTTTCCCGTCATCTCAAAGTTCACCCAGCTGACAGTTGTTTGCTCTGCACTGCAGTACTTGGCGATTTCAATAACTATCCCAGCTCTCGAGATTTGACAGGATCGTCCTGATTTTACATGCTATTGGCGCCTGAAACAAATACGATGAGAACAGTGGCATAGCTGTAAGTGATTTCGTGCGTCAGTCTAAATCTTCATTGGAAAGAGCCCAGGGACAAGGAGTGACTTACGTTGCGCCCGCAAGTACCAGTTCTATTGTCCTTGACTTCGTCATCTCAGACAGTATGAAGAGATAACATATTGTAGAAATGACAATGATTATCAGTCGTACAGTGGTGCTATTCGCCATGTTGCAGATTACAACAGGCATCAGCAGAAGAGTTGTTATCAGAAATAACAACAACGCTCTAGCGATCCGTTTGATTATTTGCCCAGAGTATAGGTATACATTTGGGTCGGTCGAAAGGTCGTAATCTCGGTTCTACGCCACTACGTCAGTTCGCTGTATGCTCGGCTGCCATTACCTTACCTGCCGGAAGCCACGGTAGACACGGGTCAGTTTGGTTTCTACCCAAGCCTCAAGTTGAACCAGAGCGCTGTCCCCACAAGGGGATAGACAGGCCATCTCACGCGAGTGCTTGATATACGCCGATTCATCTCGCGCAATGCATCCAGTGCCATCGAGCCAGTTTTGCAAGCTGGCCATGTCTCGTGATTCAGCGGCATCTAAGCTGAGCATACGGCGACTGTCTTCTGTGAATTTATCTAAGCTCTTAGCTTCCAATCTCTTAATCCCTTGGACCCATGAGCACTCACCGTAGTCAGCTAATGCTGATTCGATGTCTTCCAGCAGCGACAGTCTAGCAGCATTTTTGTCGATTCGGCTCTTTCCGAGGAACAGGAGGGAGGTCTCTTTGTCATCGATTTCATCTAGTCTTTCCTCAAGCATGGAAAGCCTATCTTGCTTCTTGAGAAGAACCCGAGCACGCAGCCTGCTGAAACGTCGGCATAGAAAGAACGGCGCATGTGAGGAGATGAGAGCAGCGAAACGAGGGTATCCAGGCTGATATTTTTCGACTGCAAGCGATCAGTACAGACAGACATAAGGTAAGGTCTTGGTACTCTTGTCTGTGTGTGTTCTGTGCGTGGAAGTAGGCCTTGACCACCTCCAAGACGCAATGTAAGTCTTGATACACTCCATTAAGCCGAACACCTTACTCGGACATAGGCAGCAGGCTGATGTCCGAGATGTTTTGTCTAGGCAGATGATCCGGTCAAAGATGTGCTGCGCAAGGCAGATACGACAGGTGCACAGCCTCGGTACTCATGCATGCTGCCGCGGGGGCTGAAATAATTTGCGTCCAATCATTTGGTGAGGCGACAGGTATCAGTCATGGGTTTCACAATGCTGACTGGCGAAGACGACATATATCAGGCTATCTTTACTTGTCGTTGACGGCGATCTGTGCCGGATACAACCCCTCAATCGGTCTTTATCGCTACGAAACCTACAATGACTGACGATCGAAGGTAATGTACATCGAACTAGGATAAGCATGCGTAGTGACTAAGGTTGTGAATCGCAGTCCAAGTCCGGAGTTTTCTTTTGTTGAAGATGATAGCCGTACATATATTGCAGCATACGCACATGTTAGTTCAAATTCGGGTTCTGAACAGACAATCTCCTCTTCTCGCGGCTGACCTTTTGGTAGACAAGCGGGTTCCACGTTGGGGACAGGGTGAAGCTGAGAAACATTCAAGACTCTTGGGACGGACCATACTTTGTCGCATCCATTCCTTCTGCAGGATTATACACTCTCAGCGACGAAGATGGTAAGCCTGTCAGGAATGGCGATCTGTTGAAGGAGGAATACTTAAAGGCAGTCTGAGCGAGGTCGTGCATGACAAGGGCTTAGGCGCTATCACTTGTGGGACATATACGGTCATCATGCATAGGAATTCAGCCTAGGCAAGAGGCAGTGATCTTGAGAGTTTTCGGGCGCTTACAGTGTTTAAATTTGCACCTTCCCCAGCATATGCATGAGCTAATTCCACCTTCCCTCTTTCTGAAATTAGCGCCATTGACCTCCACCAGTTCTAAACATGCACGCACACTTGAGCCTTTGAGGTCTCAATGCAGCAGCTTGCCTTGCTATTTACATTCTTCAGCGCATCCCTCCACGAACCGTTCGGTTGGACAGGTCATGGCGCAGCCTGCAATTGCAGCGCGATATGCGGTCCTGATCGGAATTGACGCTTACCCAGAGAGCCCTCTCAGAGGGTGCGTCACAGATGTCACTGAGATGAAGAAGCATCTGGTACGAAAGTTCCCTGCTGTACATATGCGGGCCTTCACAGCAAGCCCGTCAGAAGTGTCAACTCCTTCTGGTCTGGTCGAGAATCCGGAATTTTGGCCAACATATCATAACGTTGTATCGAGCCTCCACTGGGTCACGTCCGCAGCCAAGCCTGGCGATTTGGTTTACATACATTTTTCCGGGCATGGCATCAACGTCCATCCGCGCAGTGACCCCCATGTGAGCGATCTGGCATTGGTACTCCTGGAGGTGCGAGATAGTGTCGCAATTCGATACTTAAGAGGTTTTGAGTTGGCGTGGTTGCTCAAGAATATGGTAGAAAAAGACTTGATGGTCACTCTGGTTTTGGACTGCTGCGAATCTGGTAGCGTTATGCGCAGTGACTCTGCAGTCCGCAGTATCAAGTACAACCCGAAAGTCGACGCTACATATCCGTTGCAAGCAGATCGAATGCTTCACCACAACACTGAATCAGACAGTTCGACTCACCGCGCTGCATCTATGCGACCGAACTGGCTACTAAATCCTAACGGCTATACCATACTGACAGCTTGTGGACCTACCGAGCAGGCAAAGGAAATTGAACTCAAACATAACGGCAAGAGACACGGAGCGTTGTCCTATTTTCTCATCAATGCCTTTGCTAAACCCGAAGGCGTTGAAGTGAAGAGTCGACATATGTACTACCATCTGTGCGCCCGATTTCGAGAAACTCGTGACGTACGACAGAATGAGCAAAATCCTATGTTCTACGGAAACAGAGACCTTGGGTTCTTCGGAGACACTGCATCGGTGACCGACAGGATGGCCGTTCCGGTCCTCAGAACGGCCGATCGAGGACTACAGCTTGAAGCCGGACAAGCGCATGGTATCTGTAGTGGTGATCGGTTTGCCCTACATCCTTTGGGTCAGGTAACAGTCTTTGAAAATACACACACCGCTTCGACCATTGCGACCATTGCAACTGTTATCAAGGTCGAGGCTCTCAGATCATATTTGAAGCTGCTGGATGCGCCGACCCCTTTTCCCTCCACAGGATGGATGGCAACACCTCTCACATACTTTTCGCTTCGAAATTTCCCGATAAAACTCGATGTCGATCTTCCATTGCCTTTAGAATGGGTGGACGCATTCCAAGAGAAAGAGTCTCTCCTGCTTTACAACGCTCATGTCGGAGAACCTGATGCTACATGGTCATTCCGTGTGACTCCGACCATCGAGCACTCGTACGAAATTTGCGATGATACGACTGCAGATGTCATCCATGTTCCAAATGCTCATGGAGATAATTGGAGTACTGAACGCAATGTGTTGGACATCGTGGAACACCTGGCAAGGTTCAGATTCGTTAAGATGCTGGCCAACGATTCCATGGCAGACGCAGAGCATCCTTTGTCGAAGATGTTCACCGTAGAGCTCATAGACTCTGCGCAGAGAATCCACACTCATGGCTGTCTGGTAGAGGGACCCTTGAGGCAGGGCTGTTTGCATGATGGATGTACAACCGAGGTTAAAGATGGCGGGTGCGTAGAATTAGCGGTTAAGAGTACAGGAGAGTATAGAGATGGAGATACATATCTCCATTTATACAACATGGACTCCGGCTGGGCGATCGAAAACATCTTAGAAGGGAATCACGAGGTGATTCCGCGCAAGCAAGTTCATTGGCAAGAGCCCATAGAGATGTCAGTCCCAGACAAAACCAAGGAGAGTGGGCGGATGTACTACGAGGATACTATCAAAGTATTTCTCACAAATCAACCGACTTCATTCATGTCGTTGGAACTGCCGGGACTCGCTACACAAGCCGAACGGGGAGAGCGAGCCCAGACGAGAAGATGGCAAGATACGAGGCTATCAGATGACTGGGCTGCATTCAACTTTCGTGTACGTATTTTTGTCAAGTAGAGAGAAAAGCGCAATTATGTAAACGGTACAGTGCTTGCCAGCCTCGATGTGACATCAGATTGGAGACACAAAGCGATGAATACTAAACGCCATAATGAACGTAAGGAACCCAGTGCAGCGGCGCCTTCTTGCGCATCGTAGCCTTTCTTGATACTCGGGATGAATCACGTAAATGCTCAACCTTATCATCCGTATCGCTCACGTCTAGAATCTCGTCCCACTCGCGCCCAAATGCTGCCGCCGTGAAAGAACGATTGTCGCGGAACCATCTGGTAGCTTTGTGGAGCCCAAGACACACTGATTCATCTGTCATGCCATTCTCACCTATTTCTTCATATGCGATCCTTGCAATATCCACGCAAGCTTGGTCGTCGACTTCCCACAGTGTACCAATGACGTGACGGAATCCAGCCAGCTGACAAGCACTGATCAAATGGATACTTTCGTCAAGAAACTTCTCGTCGCTGAGCTCGCCAGTGCCGCAGGCAGAAAGATAGGCAAGGAACGGTGAACTCTCGTGAAGCCTCAGTTTGAGCAGAGTATCTACTGTCAACGGATCAGTCTTCCAGTCCTCCAAGCATATGGAGCTTTGAATCGGGCTTCTGTCATCGGTTTTACCATGGCCGGCAAAATGGAAGATATTGCAGCTTGGTAGCTTCGAGACAACATCCTGCTTGCTTCGTCCGGGCTGGATGGTTTTTAGAGCTAGCGGTCCTGATTCGAGGAGTGCTTGCAGCACCATTACTTCCTCATTTGCATGGCCCAGCATGGGGAGCGATGGTGCATCCGGCATTGCGACTAGGAGCGCCTGACCCGGGGCGATGGACAATTTGCTTGGCGCAGAACTCTGTCGACTATGAATGAATGCTTTGAGAGAGGGGCTGTAAGACGACATTACTCTGTCGATGACTGTTTCAGTTGAGCCAACGAAGTGCCTGCCAGCCGCATGCAGCGGGAATTTACTCAAGGCTGCAGTAAGGATCCACCATACGTGGGGCCAGTCGTCACCAGTGGGCGGTGCAGTAAAACCTAGTGCACTCAGAACGGGACTGGCAACGGCATCCCACAACCAAGCTAGGGTTTCGTGAGTTTTAAGAAACCCACGAGCCTTCGCTCTCAACTCCTGTTCAGTAAGATCTGGTAACGGCAAAGCTTGGACGTCATGCAACCTGATGAGGAATGCATCACAACGGAATCCGCTGACGTTGATCACGACAACCGGACCGTTCTCTGCAGCACTTAGCAACAGTCCTCCGCTCGGAGGGAGTAAGAAGCTCTCGAACCCGGGCTGCTGGCGGATCTCCATGATGAGTTCCTCGAGCTCATTTTCACGCCCGTGTGAGAGTTTCTCTTGGTTCTCTTGAGCATACTCAGTAGGCTTGTTTGCGTTGGCCCTGAGGCTCTCGTATCTCTCACTGAGGTTTGGATGAGCTTCCTTCAATGGGGAGGTATTGCTCCGATCGTCCATCAGGAGACCAAGAATGAGTCCACGGCCCTGTTCCAGCAACTTTAGGGCTTCCTCTGGTTCCTTTCCTAGTTGAAGAGCAAGAGCACAGGCAGAAGTCGCCAACCCTGAAAAGTGGCGGACGACATATTGTTGGTCCTCGTGGTTCAAGAATCGGCCGTGAACATAAGGCAGTAGCTCCAGAGTCTCTACTGCAAGATTGTACGCCACCTCAAACTTCTCTTGCCACTGAAGCATTTCAAGAGCAGAAATGGAGGCTTGTATACGAACGAAAGGCCTGGCGTTTTTGCATTCCCAAGCTCGTATGTTCACACGAATCAGATTCTCGAGATCTCCAGGCTTCCCTGTCTGCTCGTATCGCAGCCTGAGTGAAATGCCCATAGCGAACAGGAACGAACCTAGATCCGCATGGTCTTTCGCAACGATATCCACCGCTTTTTCGTGGTTTCGAATTGATTCTTCAAGGTAGGCGCTCTCCCTTGCAGACCGCAGGAACCGAACACCAAAGATATTGCCGAGCTCATGGTATAAGGTTGCGCGATTTCGATGATCGTCAGTTGTGAGGTTGAGAGCCTTGCGAAGCTCACTGATCGCTTTTTCAACATCTTCTTCGTTCCCTTTGCGCATATATCGATTATTGAGTTGAGTTCCCAAGGCGTGATGCCATGCATGGGCTAGGTGAGAGTCCAGTGGGGCATCTGTTGTAAGCTGCATCGCCCTTTCAAAGTCTTCGTCGTTTTGCAAGCGTTGGAATCGGTGCAAAAGGAAGCCTGAGAGATTGTTCTGCACTATTCCATGTTCTGGATGCTCCACAGGCATGATCTCTAGTGCTTCTTCCGCAAAACGTATTGCTTCATTGAGGTCGCCCATAGTCGCTTTGCGTACGTGCCGGCGGCTCAGCTTGGTCGCGAGGTTGTTCAGCAATCCTGCGTAGGCCACGCCCCTGCCAGTCTCGAGTTTGATCGCCTGCCGCGTGAGGTAAATCCCTCGTTCGAGATCCTCAATGTCATGTTGATGCTCATAACGTAGAGCGAGCAAGGCTCCAAGGTTATCGAGGAGAGTTCGGAGATCTGGATGCGTTTCGGATGCACTGTCAACAGCACGTTGTGCCCAGAGAATTGCTTCTTCAATGCCCGCCGGCTCCCCAGTGAGTCTGTACAGACTACCTATCCGGACACTCAGATTTGCTTGCGCGTATGCGATATCTTCAGTGTTATCGTGTGGAAAATTGACGACCATTCGCGATACCTGGATTTGTTCTTCCAGCTCTTCTGCACTCAACACGCTCTCGCACTGATCCCAGAGCTGGTGGCTCAACCTGGCAAGTCTCTGTTTGAAGGGCAAAGGACTCCTGGGCGCGAGATTAATCCCTTCTTTGGTAACACGAATGGCTTCTTTGATGTCGTTAACGTTCTTTGTAAGCCCACATCGGACTCCAAGCAAGAAACCAAGGTAATCCAGCCTGTCTGTTCGATCTGCATCATCGCTAGAGGTGGCTTCAATTGCCTGCTGGCAGGCTCGGATTAACTTGTCGAGCTCTTCTGTCGACTGTGTACGTTCAAATTGAGCATGTACAAGTTTCGTCAGATAGTTTCGTGTCCGTTGAAGACTTGAGTCGTCACCATGCGAGGAGTCAAGTGCTCTCTGCACGAAATGAAGAGACATGTCGAAATCCTTCGTATCTTGCGTCTGCTCGTACCGCGTATAGTACAGATGTCCAAGATTTCTAAGCAGGTTTCCAATATCAGGGTGACTCGTGTTCATGATGCCTTGCTGCATCACGCGAATAGCTGCATTGAGATCTTGCAGTGTTTTTGTTTGCTCATACTGGACATAGAGCATGCCGCCCAAGTCGTTGAGCCACTCAGCAAGCTCCAGATTACTGGTTTGCGGAACATCGCTAGCTTGCTGTGCAAGTTGAACCATTCTTTCAAGATCGCTGGGGTCTTTTGATTCTTTGTACCGAACACTGAGTGTGATACCCAACTCGCAGACCATCAACATAAGTTGCGGCTGACCGACTGGCGTTAGATCGATCCCTTGTTGTAGCACTTGAATCGCTTCTTCAAGGTCTTGGACGTTCTTCGTGTGCACATATCGTTTGCGAAGTTTGGATCCGAGGTAGTTCAACATACCCGCATGGGCAAAGTCGGTATCACGCACGACATCAAGTGTCTGCCGCGTTAGATAGATCAATCGTTCGGTATCTTCGATCGTCTCCACACCCTTTTGGCGTACGGCGTGCATGGCGTCGGAAAAGTTGCGCATGACATCTGAAGACTGTTGATCCACTGACATGATTCGGCCGTTGCTGTTGCTCATATGCTGTGCCGCCTCAGCTACTCTGTTCATATCTTCCAGCTTTCCCGTGCGTTGGAATTGCATGTAACTGAGAGCAGCAAGATTTTGCAGCCTTCGCGGGTAATTGTCGTGGTTGGTGGGCGTAAGATCAACTGCTTGTCGCGTCATTCGAATAGCTTCTTCGAGGTCTGGAATCTCCTTGTTTTGTGTATACTGGGTATAGAGCAGGGAAGCTAGTTTCTCTGAGGCGTCCGCTCGACCTGCATCGTCTTCTTCGTTGCTTCCAAGTTCATGCCGTGCCTCCCCAATCGCGTGTTCAAGCTGGCTCCTCTGGGCTGTACGTTCATTATGTTGACACATGTTGGCTGATAACATGTCGAAAATTTCAGACCGGCGGAGACGGTCAACATCTTCTTCATCTGTTACAGCCAGCCATCCTTCAGTGAGTAATATTGCTTTCTCCAGATGTTCTGCTAAGCGCGTCCTGGTGTAAAGGAGGTAACATGTGAAGATGTACAACTCGGGTTGCATGTCGACAGTATCCTCATGAAGCCCCGCGAAAGCCAGGATCTCCTCATCGTCCCGTTCGTGAAGTTCGGCGACCAATTCGGGTTCTACACGAAAAAGTGCCGTTTCAATAAGATCGTCCATGGCTATGGAACGAAGGTACGACTTCTGAATCTGCCTCTCGTATAACTGAGAAAGTCGACTGTAAGATGATTGTTGTACCACCTTTATGACAGTGTAATGGATTAACCACCAAACAACACACTATCACGTACAACTCTGGATCGAATTTTGTAGTCTGGAGGAATCCAAGGACTTCTAAGCGTTATTGCGCTCCTTTGTTTGTTGCTGAAGGGCTCTTGACTACACGAGAATCCGCTTCGCTGTAAGATAGCACGTCTCATACAGCGTTGTAGAAAATACTGACTTAAGTTGTGTCTTCAAGTAATTGATCAGCCGTGTTGCAGAACTCAGCCAAGTGCTTTGCCTCACCTCTGTATATATAAGATTGCTTCACCGGTCAGCGGGGACCGCAGCAGACTTAAGCGATAGGCGCAGCGCGTCGCGCTTTGAGGCGGAGCCCCCCTGAGTACGACCACTGTTCAACATGTTATTTGCCTGTCATGGTGCCTGATCTTGCTTATCAGGCTGCTGTACGACAATAAACAAGCCCTGGGAGGTCGCCAGCGTGGAATGCGCAGAACTGGACGTGAGCGATGACAGATAGCCTAGATTTGGTAGAGTAAAACCGTGCGTGATGCCTCTAGACCCTCCCCCATGTCTGCACAGCATGTTGCGGAAGTAGCTATCGAACGTTCCCTGGGCTGTGTGATTTCTTGACTCGGCCCCCACGAATGCAGCTGAGACCGGGTCCAAGGCTAAGCGCGCGCGTGCGTGTGCAAGGGATCATTCGAACTGTTCTAGAATGTGCATCAAGCAGAGAAAGGATTTGAGAGATCAACTTTCCCAGAGAATAGCAAAAAACATGCCAGAAGATAAACACTCAGAGCTTCTAGGCTACGACTTCCTGGATGAGAGCACCATTGATAGGCAAAGAACTACCGCGCATTATGACGGTGTTATATACCTGCCTGGAAGTGGCCGAACACCTCCGGGCTTCGCCGCTGGAGTACTTTGTGGCCTCAAGGAGAGCTTATAAAATATGCGACAGGCGGCCTATCCCAAGCCTTGCCCAGCGTATCGCAGGCCTTCTGTGCATTGCGCACATGAATTTAGGCCCACTTGGAACACGGCAGACTTACTGACAGGGGAGCGGAAGGTGGGTGGCGCCAATTCTTCACAAGGCTTTAGTCGAAGAGTGCCGGTAGAGTCTGCTTATCCTTGTAGATATAGATCATGGGTATCATCTATCACAACAGTCCGTTCCAGCGTGGGTGATTATTCACCTCCTGCGCGCTGCCATACTCTCGACGTTATTCGCGTGCGCAAGCAGGTATTTGCAACACGTCAGCGTGTACTTGCACGCCTTGGTCCAGCTCTCTTCTTTGTTCAGCGCCAATTTGATACTCTGATCATGGATTCGATCCTTTCGTATCTCGTACGGCATCTTGACACCTGGCCCACCCATGCCCACTCTCAAGCTGCTTCCAGCATCGACACCTTGATTCTCCACGAATTCGCCAAGCTGTCGTAAGCATTCGAGGAATGCGACCATAGCGGTATCAAACTTCCGGTGCAGGAAGCCGAAGTTGATGGGGAAGTCGCCTGAGGAGTAGAGTTCGAGACGCTGCTTTTGGACATTGGGCGAACTGGCCGTCGAGGTGCGAGTGTCGGCAACAGAAGCACCGTTCTTGACTTCGTGTTTTAGAATCGTGGAGGTGGAGCCCATCGGGGATAGTTCGTAATTTTGGAACTTGTAACCTAAGCGTTCAGCCAGTGTGGCAAGGAGGAGGCACGTCTGGCCCCAAGCGGCGTTAGTTTCTGGCCAGTCGACGTAGGGATGAGGAAGACGTCCAAGTCGTAGTCCGTTGATGGTGGCAAAATGGTTGTCGTGTGTTATATTGAATGTGTCGTTGTAGACGCTCCTACGTTGAAGCTGGTTGAGGATCTGAGTATCGTGGGCGTGTCGTGCTGTGAGAGCATCACGCTCATTTTGAAACTCTGTTAAGGTAGAGTTGAAGGCGTTTCTGTCTCTCCAGAAGTCCTCCTCTTCCTGATCGAGCTGGCGAGCTTCGGCTTCGAGAGTGGCCAATTGGGCATCTAAATCCACCTTTTCTGCTTCTAGCTTTTCAAGGTTGGCAATTGCAGCGGCCTCGGCCTTCTTTGCTGCCTTCAGAGCTGCATCAGCGGCCTTGACCTCCTCAGCGCTGGGCACGTCGGTGTTAGCACGGCGGAGATAGTCTACATAGGCATCGCGTTCTCGTGTCGCTACTCCGAGTCGCTTTTGTAGGCCGTCCACAAGGAGCTCTGTACACTCAACGCATATTGGGTGATCGATGTCTGAGCGCGCAGACAGTATCTCAAACATGCGTTGTGTAGTCTCCAAGCCATCTGCCAAGCTCGTTCCTCCAACTACCCCTGAACCTGCAGTAACGCTCGCTCGTCTTGAAAGCTCGGTTGTACTAGGCTGTGTGGGTGCTACTTCTGCTGATGCCTGCTGGTCTGGGCTACGTACTGGGGTTGGTGGTTGCTCTAGTGGGTCCATCATCGACTCGGACATGTGTACGTTGACGAAGGACATGGCAGGGTTCTGACCGCCATGTTGAAATCTTGAAGAGGGTACATTGCGCTTGAACGTGGGATTTCTTGCGGACTGTATCGCTGTTTCGTAGGTTTGCTGTCTTGAAGACGGGTATGTGGGGCGCGACTGGCGGGGAGGGTTGTTCTTCTGGCTTTGCTGCTGAGCTGTGACAGTTGAGTCTGGTCAAAAGTCAGCAGGAGAGAGGGCACAGAAGTGTGGTTGCCCATACCAGTCAGAAGCTTAAAAGCTGCAGGGTTGAGCTGGTCGATGGAGGCATCGATGTCGATGGGTGTGCGGCATTTCTGACAGTACAAGCCATGGCTCTGCTTGTCGTTCGCCATAGCATTAATGCTTGACTTTTTGCATGTCAAAACTTGCGGCGAAGAAGTCTAGTAATATTTAGTGAACTAGAAGCTTGAAGCTTGGACAAGTCAGCCGTTTGATGTGCATCATCTGCTCCATGCAGGCGGCCACTAGCTCCCACGGGCGCCCCACTTCAACGCGAGGGGAAGCCGCGTCCCAGCCATCTGTTTCGCGTTCCGGCTCGTGCTTCCCTTCACAAACAGTCCCCGCGAAGTATCGACGACAAACGCTATTCGAGACAACAATTCTAACTTGTCGCATCGCCCAGGTCCCAGGGGCATCCGTTCGCTCGATTACCGCAACCATCATGATGGAGCCCCCGGGGAAGCGATTACGCATCCTCCAATCTGTCGAAGTGGACGAGACGAAGCCCGATTACGTCGCAGCGAAGCAGAAACAACAAGAGAAGTTCAAGGGAAGACTCGAGAAACTATTCGCCAAATACGGAAGTATGCACGAATCAATGAGCGACGAGATCGACTTCAAGACGGGCAAGGTGGTGGTAGACAGGGGACACCTGAGGAGGGTTCAGCGGCAGATGAAGCGGAAGGGACCAGGGTTACTTGACAGTCTTCTGGAGCCTCAGTCGGAGCGAGACGATACACCAGATAATGGGGAGGAGCGAGCTGGATCAGAGGACGAGTTGGCGCCTACACAGACACGAAAGAGGAAAAGGGACAGCGTGGAAGACGGAGAGGAGGTTGCGCAAAATCCAGATCAACATAACATGGCCTTGGTCACATCATCGTCACAAGCTGCGCCAACAGCAGCGGCGCAAGAGAATGCGCCCCAGATACCGAACACACCAAATCCAACAGCGAATCTTCTCCAACAGATTCAGCAGACACCACTTGGTCAACAGGCGCAAGCAGCGTTGATTGCCAACTTGAATCAGACCATTGCGCAGGCTGTGCAACAAGCCGTTGCGCCATTACTCAGCATTCTTCAGATCACGCCAAACGGACAGGCTGCACAAGCTCCGATCTTTCCTGTGCCATCTCCTCTACCCGTGACCGACAACGTGAGACCAGCGGCGGATCCAAAATGGTACTTTCCACCTATATCAGTTGTGAAAGAAGCTTCACGAATTGAATATCAGAGGTCTTCTCCCCCTGTGATGAAGGAACCGCCAGCACAGACCACGAACCGCAATGGAGACCGCTCGCCCCTGGTACCCCGGAGAAGAAGCCCAAAGGTCGTTATCAAGAGGCGCCGTGGTATCACAAAGACCAAGCAAGACTCTCATGTACTGGAAGCAAGCGTTGAAAGGCCACAGAGCTCGCACTCGTTGCCAGCATTGTGCAGAAACGCCAATTCTTGCCCGGATGCAGACCCTGTCGTCGAGGACTCGCTCAACTGCAAAGCCAAAGGAGCCGGATCGGCCCGTGAGAAGTATCACTTCACTGAAGAAGACGATGTATATATCAACAAAAGAAGGGAGCTACACAACATGACGTTCAAGGAGATTAAAGCCAGCAAAGCAAAGTGGTTGAATTGGCCTATCAGTACATTCTGCAACCGTTGGAGCGCCCATTTGAAGGATAAGAAGCTCCATCTGCGGGACACGCCTAGAACAGGGTCGATTGCTCAACACGACGCATCAATACCTCCCGAACATGAGGAGCATTTTTTCTCAAGCATAGAGATCCCAGAGACATCGTCAACGTCACATCACCTACCCACACCGAGCTCTCTAGAACAAGAGGATAATCACATTGAGAGGGCCATGATACCATCATCTTCGCATTTCGATGACGATGAATTGGAACTTCTCTCCCTAGCCGGCGCCAACATCACCGACATGCTCCCCACACATACCTCCCACTACGAAGACGACACCTATCCTACACCCGATGAACCCCTCCCCTCAATTGAAGGCGCCGAGTTTCGCAACGAAGACGAGCTGCAACTCGAAATGCTCAAGTTCGAAGAATCCCCCACTCCAGAACCAACCCAACCCAAGGTTCTCCTCAGCACGATACCAGAGACTCAAGAATCAGTCGCTTCTGTCTCTTCGCCAACTCAGAAACGCACAGTGAACCAAAAACCTAAGCCCAAGCCGATGGTCACCTACCGTGCCGCCTCAGAGACTTCAGACGATCTCGACATCATCGGTGCGAACGACGAGCCAGCAACACCGCATACATACATCAAGCGTGAATCTCTGACTCCGCAAGCGACCAGGGTTCTCTGTAGCTCACCTGCGATCAAAACACCGAGGCCTATCCCGCAGTCTTTAGGCATGACAGCCAAGTCAACAGGGAAACTGGACAGGAGAGCGTATCTTAAAGAGGTTAAGCAGTCGTGGGCTAGAGGAAAGGGGAAAACGCCTGGCTCGCAGAATTGGAGGAGGAGCCTCAATGTATTACCAATGGTGCGGAAAAAGGTGCGGGTAGACGTCGAGGTGGGTGATAGCGAGGATGAACTGGCTGCGTGAGTAATGTTGTACACAACATCCATAGATGCTATGATATCAATGCCCCGAGGGTTCGAGAAGGATACAATGTTCCTGTGTACGTGCAATAGTAGGTGTGAGTGGGACGTGCTTTCCGAGAGGAGGGAAAGAGACGGTTGCACTTGCGCACAACGTATGGTGCCTTGGGACAGAGCTCTTATGATCATCGTCCACCGGGAAGGGGCCTCATCCAGATGCCATGAGATATTATACAATTTGTCTGATATTCATCAACAAATAAAAGTGGGTCGGTAACTCAGAGGTAGAGTGCGGGATTGCAGATCCTGAAGTCCCCGGTTCGATCCCGGGTCGGCCCTGATCTTTTTGACTTTCCTTTGCCTTCAGGAGTCTGAGGTGAAGCTATCTTTTTTGCTGTTTGTTTGTTGTGGTGCACCATTGCTTCGCTTGCGAAGTGGGTCGCGAAAGGCTCCACGTCACCAATATACATGATGATACATGATCTTGACCCCGCCGAATACATTAGACTACTCAATCTCAAACTCGTCAGAGAAGAAATCTACAATGCCAGCCAGCGCCTGTTCGCTTCCCAATGCGCCCTCAAGTCTACCCACGCATTCCTCGTCACCATCTTTGGCTCTCAGCGCCAGAAGCACGAGCTCCTTGAGACTACCGGCTACATCAGTGACCGCAATGACTTGACTTTCGTTCAGTGGTACTTCGGCGGTGCAGTAGGGAAGCAGTGTAGTGACCGCACTTCCTGCTGCTGTTTCTTGCTGTTTCGAGGGTAAATGAGGTGCTGCCGTGCTGTGAACATGATGTACAGGCCTATCTTGCATTTGCGGGTATTGGTACTGATAATGACGGTGTCCCTGTTGTTGTTGCTGTTGGAAATGGTTGACAGGCTGCCGGTAGTCGTTCCTCGTGGCGAACGGAACCATCTGCGGACGGTGGTCGGCAGGTCCATCGATCTGGGACCCGGCATCATGTACAGCATGCTGTAACTTGGGCGCAAGAGGTGCGTTGACTGGCGGCGTGGTGTGATCATACGTTGCTGGATCTTTGCGTGCAGGAGCAAGGTTGTGATAGTATGGCATTGTGCTGATCGGTCTGATGCAATGCTGACTGATGCTTAACGTTACCAGTCGAGGCTATGATGTGAGCTGTGAGCGACGCTGCATGCTCGATGTGTTGGGCGTCGAGGGTCTGACATACCACTAGCGCTGTGGTAGCAACGGTTGAGGCAGGAGCCAGTATGACGCTCAAGGCGACAGACGAAAGTCACTGACAGAAGTTGTTTGAAGAAACGGGAGCAACGCCTTCGCGAGTGAGCGCTCGGGTGGCGAGAGATCAACAGAGACCCTGTGTTGAAGAAGTCGAAGCACGTGGCCCACCGCAGCAGGAAGGCGCGACTAACAAACCCTCTAGTTTGAGTCCCAGGGCAAGGAACAACCTCATAAACCAAGACCCCGAACTTGGGGAGATCATCTCGAGTGCTAGTTTCACTCCGTCTCGTGGCCTGGTGTCTCTAGGTGGCTGATCTAAGATAGTATACATATCACACATCTAGAGGCGATAAAAATAATGCAGCACAATTCTATCGTCCTTCTATAAGCGGAATGGGTATCGTGAGAGGAGAAAGTATTTACAGCGTACAAAGCAGGGCTGCGAGATGGTGGCCAGCGCAGTCCGCCGTAGCAGCCTCAGTGGAAAAGAGAAGCCAGAGTGAAACAGGTTATCCAATCTCCGGACAATGTGAAAGGTTGAAGCTCAATGCTGGGTTTTGCTATCGTCCAATGTCGGTTGCCCTTGGGAAAGGTTCGATGCTTGTGTGGTCGTGAGATTGGTTGCGCTTGAAGGCATTTCTGCCTCCGCTTGCTCTCTGAGCCTTTTGGCTTCCTTCTCTTTAGCAACAGCTGTCTTGGCCTCGGCTCGGTGTTCCTCCTCCGTCTTCTGATGCTCAGATACTCCGCTACCTCTCCAGAAGCTGAGCAGCTTTCCTTGCTGTACAGGGTCAGGCTGCTTCTTTCTCAACTCCTCCAGCTCGCTTTTGACAGTCTTCAGCTCGATCTGCAGTTCTTCGAGGTCCTCCCGAATATCATCTCGAGCGTTCTTAGCTTTCCTTCTCTGGCGCCATTGCTCGAACACAATAACGCTGATGCCGACAGCAAAGATGAACGTCTCGGCGACAAAGTTTGCTCCGGTCTCGATAGCCTTTTGTTCGGATAGCGGTCGAATCCGTGGCTTGAACCTCTCCTCTGTCCTCTTCTTGATATCTTCTTTTTCCTTTTCTGTCATTTCTTCTTCGGTCTTCATCTCCGCTTCTGTCTTGACCGTGGGCGTTGCATGTCTGTCTCGGGCAGCCTTAGCTGCCGCCACCTCCTTCTTGATTTGCCGATCGATTACCGCGGGGTCCTGTAGGAGGCCGAGGCGCATGCGCATATCTACTCGGTGTACCCGTTGCGCAAAGCCGACACATAATCTGCGGAAACGCTCGTGTTCGTGGGCATTGCGCTTGATGGCATTCTATACGAAGTAAGCTTCCTTTCATACTATCCCGGGTATTGAGCTTTACAGCCATAGGCTTTGCAAGCGTCCTCACGAACAGCGAGGTAATTTTCAGTGTGAGAGACATGTTAGGCTAGGCAGAAGAGCTTCACCGGTACTAGGAGGCGCAATTGGTGTGGCACAACGTGGTCATAGCAGGTCTATTACTGTTGTGTACTTTGCAATGCTGGTGCGCCAGTTGCAGATGTTTTGATGATGAGAAACGAGCGTTGTGGAGAGATGATGGCTGCTTCGAAGCTGCCTGAAGTTCCGCAGCTCGGAAATTCCCCGAGGCCGACGTCACTGCGCTTGCCATGGGTAGACTGCAGGCAAGAGAAAGACAGAGGCATTCAGGGGTAAAGTAACTGAACAGAGCTATGAGCTACTTCAAACTTATGGATGCTCGGCATGTATTGGACCATATCACTCTACAAGAAGTGCGTCATTGAGTGAAACCGAAGCACGCGCGGGGCTTGGCAGTGCAGGGGTGCAGAGCTCTGGCATAGCAACCGTCGCTTAGCTGTTTGTTTAGCCCGGCCCCGAACTTCAACACCAGCGCTCACGCCTCCACGGCATTCGACATTCGACCGCCCAACCTTGGAATGTCTGCCCCGTCTGTCCACGCTGAGCCGCCGCCAGAGGTGGTGCGCGACCCCGAAGGCCTACAGTATGAGACTGGACCGCAGCTGGGCAAGGGCGGCTTCGCCATCTGCCACCGCGCGAAGCTGCTGGGCCATGAGCACCTTGGCAGCAGTACAGTCGCTTTGAAGATCGTCAGATCCAAGATGGAGCCGCCCAAACTGGCACAAAAGGTGCGCAGACGTTCTTTACTCGCAAACCACCCTTGCTGACGCACTGCAGTTTGTGACTGAACTACAAATCCACTCGAAACTATCCCACCCCAATATCGTCGAGTTCTACCGCGCCTTCTCTTTCCACTCGAGCACCTACGTCGTCCTGGAGCTGTGCGAGAACGGCTCTCTCGCCGATGCGATCAAGAAGCGCAAATACTTTACCATGCCGGAGATTCGTCGATTCATGGTCCAGACATGTGGTGCTATCAAGTACCTGCACCAGCGAAACATCGTGCACCGTGACCTCAAGACTGGCAACCTCTTCCTCGACAAGGATATGAACGTCAAGGTCGGCGACTTTGGCCTTGCCGCCCTGCTCCTTTCCCAGAACGACTACGGTGCGATTCGACGAACAACCATGTGCGGAACACCGAACTATCTCGCGCCCGAGGTTCTCGAGAAGACAGGCAAGGGTCACGACGAGAAGGTCGATCTGTGGGCAATTGGCATTATGATGTACACACTTGCCGTAGGCCGGGCGCCTTTCCACGCAGCGAAACGTGAAGACATCTACCGAAAACTGAAGGCGCGCGAATACTCCTGGCCAGACCCAGCGAAGTGCGCAAACGAGATCACAGACGACTTGCGCGACATCGTATCGCTGCTGCTCGTACACGAGGACGACAGACCTACACCTGATCAGATTGTAGCGCACCCATTTTTCAAGCTGGGAATGATCCCATTGGAGCTGGACAGCGGATGCACTTCGAAGATCCCAAGGTGGCCGAAGGAGCGCGCGCCCTCGGCTTCGACCATGAGACGAGGATACACTGAAGAGTGGTGGACATTATGCAAGGCCTCAGCGGTTGGCGAGTACGAGCCAGGGAAGGCATTCGGCGCATACGGGAGCAGAAGGAACAAGACGGTCGCTCGTGACTGCCAAAAAGAGATTGAAGCTGGCAAGCAACCCAATATACCTTTCAGCAAAGATGTCGTATACGTGCCATTTCCTGCACGAGTACAATGGCCACACCAAGCTGCGCCCGGAGGACTGAGCGAGATATCGGAGGAGAAGGAATCATCGCAAGAGGGCCAGGCGCTGGTAGAGACTTCTGGGAACGATCGGTTGAAAGGACGCCTCCCTCGTGTCAGGAGAGAAATGCCACCGCCGGCACTCAAAGAGAACGAGCCAGTAGCACCACAGGAGCCAATCTCATCGACAGAGCCGGAGCCTGCTCGGAGGATACTGGACAAGCAGCCCACAAGGTTACGGGCGGTCCGCAAGATTTCGAGCTCTGCCCCAGTCAGTGCGGCCACAGCACCTGTACCTGCACCATTGCGCGTACCAAGAGAGACCAGGCCAACGACACGGGCACGCGCTGCAAAGGAGGGAGCGAAGAAACCGTCGCAAGAGACGGAGACCGGACTCCCTGATCTCCCACCTCTTCGCGCGACGAAGACCACCGTCCGAGTGACCGAGAAGCCGGAACCCACGCCCCAATTCATGACTTCCACACGAAGCACGAAGCTTTCAACGTCGACTCGGAGCGAGCCAAAGTTCCGTGCTGTCAGTGCCGAGTTATCTGCCACAGATCCTGTTACGGTGCTAGCGCGTCTGTACACATTCCGGGATAATCTTGCACGAGCGCTTGAGAAGAAGCCCTCGAAATCCAGGAGAGAACAGCCTCCCCAGCTGCCGTTTGTGACAAAGTGGGTCGATTATTCGCGGAGATATGGAGTCGGCTATGTCTTGGATGACGGTAGCATTGGAACCCTCCTCACAGCGGACGAACAGAATCTAGTCACAGCTGCGATCGCTACAGACGGATACAACTACCTGAAGAAGAACGGGAGAAATCGAGAGGCCGCGAAGAGTGTCCCTCTTGACTACTACACGACCGTCAAGAAGGACAGGGGCCTCTCCCAGATCGAGATTCAAGACCGCAGACGCACCGAGGAGATTCGAACGGTATGGCACAAGTTTGGAAAGTACATGTGCGCGACTTTTGGCGACGAAGAGCTGGTGGTGAAGGAAGGTCCGAAACAGTCAAACTTCGTCAAGTTCTACCAGCGACTCGGCAACGTCGGTATCTGGGGGTTTGACGATGGGTCTTTCCAGGTATGTAATAGCACCAAGGACAGCTTGGCTTAGACTAACTCTTGTCCAGTTCAACTTTCCAGATCACACGAAGCTCGTCCTGTCCTCAGATGGTGGATATGCTACTTTCCTCTGCCTACCATATGAAGCGACAGCACTCCTCGAAGCGACTGGCAACGTACCTTGGAGACATGTCAGGGCGCGCGAGACCCTCAAGGGATCCCTTCAGCAGCTGCTGTACGGCTCTGCGGACAAGACCGATGGGTACAAGGAGGTCACACAAGGCAACCACCTTCGAGAGAAGATTGAATTCATCTACGCAGTCGTCGAAGAATGGGTGCGAGAAGGAGGTCTTGGTTGCCTTGTCGAACCCAAGGAGTACTCATGGACAGGGCCTCAGCTCGAGGAAACCAAACGGCTGGATTGGGCGAGCGTTGGGCGTTTTGGTGGCGACGTCTTCTCGTGAATTTTCAAGCCTCGCGTTTTTGTTTCTCGGTTTGGCAAGCGATGGCGTTTTGGTTCTTTGAGGCATTTCTACTCTCGGCATTGGGCATTTCCTGTGACGTCTCCGTCTTTTTTGACGATGTTGTGGTAGTCTGTGTTCGCTCATTTTCGAACACTCATTTGCAGGGTCTTGCATACCTCAGGCTGGGACGGCGCATTGTGTTGGTAGCATAGCGTTTGCATACGTGAATAACGAACTCCGGTCGTGACCGCCACTCCTCGGTGCCTGATGCCGCTTTTGCTGCTTTTGCTGCTGCCTGAGTGGGCCACGCAATTTACACATCAGTCCTTTGCAAAGGGTATCCTTGGCGAGACTTGTATGCAGCGGAGAAAGCGGTGCGGCGGAACAGCTTGCGCGTCAAGTGTAACTGCACGTAACCAGGGTGTGGCTGTGCGGTCTACCGTACTCGCTCCAACTTCCGATACGGCCGACGTGGGCTGTGACATCGTTGGTAGGATTGCTGAGGTGTAGGGAACGCTGCGCACTAAATCTTACTCACCACTACATCCGCTGAACGCCGTTCCTTCTCTCCCCACACATTGCGCCTGCAGACCCCCAGTGCCCCCGTACCCCGCGCCCATATCTGCTGCGAATCGAGTCCAGCAGCACACACGACACGCCAAAAGGGCGAGACATCCACCACCCGGGAGCTTGCGGTCGGGCATCAGCCATGGTACAATCCGCCCCGCGCCCGCCACCACAACTCTGCAGACGCTGACAGAGTATCTATGTAGGCGGTAACCAAGCGCGCCGGGCGCAAGAAGGACGCTGGCGCCGCCGGAGCTGCTCGTCCTGGGCAGCAGAAGGCCCAATTCGCAACCAAAGCCGTCTTCGAGACCACCAAGAAGAAGGAGGTGGGAGTCTCAGATCTGACGCTGATCAGCAAGATCTCGAATGAGGCCATCAACGACAACCTGAAGAAGCGCTTCGAGAATGGCGAAATCTACGTGCGTCGAATCGCCCGCGCCAGCCCCGCGCCACGTCGATACAATGCGGCAGGTGGAGGGACTTACAGCTGACGGAGGCGCAGACATACATTGGACACGTGCTGGTGTCTGTCAACCCGTTTCGAGACTGTACGTGGTAGCAGGCGCGTCTGGTGAGGATACGCTGACGATTGGCAGTGGGCATCTACACCGAACAGGTCCTGGACAGCTACAAGGGCAAGAACAGGCTGGAGGTATGGCGCATAACTTTGAATGCACCCTCACTTCTGACACGACCAGGTGCCGCCGCACGTGTTCGCAATCGCCGAATCCGCCTACTACAACATGAACGCCTACAAGGAGAACCAGTGTGTCATCATCTCTGGTGAATCTGGAGCAGGAAAGACAGAAGCTGCGAAGCGGCTTATGCAGTACATTGCGAACGTTTCTGGCGGAAAGAACTCGTCGATCCAGGAGATGATGGACATGGTGCTGGCCACAAATCCGTTGCTCGAATCGTTCGGAAACGCGAAGACGCTGAGAAACAACAACTCGTCGCGATTCGGGAAATACCTCGAAATCCACTTCAACGCTCAGGGCGAGCCCGTCGGAGCGAACATCAACAACTACCTGCTCGAGAAGACGCGTGTGGTTGGCCAGATCACGAATGAGCGCAACTTCCACATCTTCTACCAGTTCGCGAAAGCGGCTTCACCGCACTACAGGGGTTTGTGAATCTGGACACTTGGGTACAAAAGATGTGCTGACGACCCTAGAAATCTTCGGCCTACAACAGCCACAATCATACCTCTACACAAGTCGATCGAAATGCTATGACGTACCGAACATCGACGATCACGCCGAGTTCCAGGATACGCTGAACGCTATGAAGGTCATTGGTTTGCAGCAAGCAGAGCAGGATAACATTTTCCGGATGCTGTCTGCGATTCTGTGGCTCGGAAACGTGTCGTTCGTGGAGGATGACCAAGGCAACGCTGCGATCGCAGATCAATCCGTAGTCGATTTCGTGGCCTACCTCCTGGAAGTCGAATCTGCGCATGTCAACAAAGCTCTCACGATCCGGATAATGGAGACAAGTCGTGGTGGACGTAGGGGCTCTGTTTACGACGTGCCCCTGAACCCAGCTCAGGCCTCCTCGGTGCGAGACGCTCTTTCCAAAGCGATCTATTTCAATCTGTTCGACTGGATTGTCGAGCGCGTGAACCAGTCGCTCAAGGCGCGAAGTGCCTCAGCCTACTCCATCGGTATTCTGGATATCTACGGATTCGAGATCTTCGAGAAGAACAGTTTCGAGCAGCTGTGCATCAACTACGTCAACGAGAAGCTCCAGCAGATTTTCATTCAGCTGACGTTGAAAGCGGAGCAAGAAGAGTACGAGCGAGAACAGATCAAGTGGACGCCTATCAAGTACTTCGACAACAAGGTTGTGTGTGAGTTGATTGAGGAGAAGCGACCACCGGGTGTTTTCGCGGCATTGAACGATGCTTGTGCCACAGCTCACGCCGATCCTGGGGCTGCAGACCAGACATTTGTGCAGAGACTGAATGCGCTTTCATCGAACCCCAATTTTTCGCCCCGTCAAGGACAGTTCGTCATCAAGCATTACGCCGGAGAAGTGGCTTATGCGGTAGATGGCATGACCGACAAGAACAAGGATCAGCTCCTGAAGGACTTGCTCAACCTCTTAGGCCAGAGCTCCAACACCTTCGTCCACACACTGTTCCCCAACCAGGTCGATCAGGACAACAGGCGACGACCACCCACGGCTGGAGACAAGATCAAGGTATCGGCAAACGATCTCGTTACCACGCTCATGCAAGCTCGACCGTCCTATATCCGTACCATTAAGCCGAACGAGAACAAGTCGCCGAAGGAGTTCAACGAAGCAAACGTATTGCATCAAGTAAAGTACCTTGGTCTGCAAGAGAACGTCCGTATTCGCCGAGCCGGTTTCGCATCTCGTCAAACTTTCGACAAGTTCGTGGAACGGTTCTTCTTGCTCTCGCCCAAGTGCTCGTACGCTGGAGAGTACACGTGGACCGGAAGCTACGAACAAGGTGCTAAGCAGATCTTGAAGGATACCAACATCCCAACCGAGGAGTTCCAGATGGGTGTAACAAAAGTCTTCATCAAGACACCGGAGACACTGTTTGCTTTGGAGACGATGCGCGATCGTTACTGGCACAACATGGCTATTCGCATCCAACGAGCCTGGAGGAATTACCTGAGCTACCGCATCGAATGCGCCACACGGATACAGCGGTTCTGGCGCAAGCTCAACGGTGGCAAAGAGTTCATTGAGTGGCGCGACCAAGGACACAAGGTCCTTGCAGGTCGCAAGGAGAGGCGCAGATACAGTTTGGTCGGCTCTCGCAGGTTCATGGGTGACTATCTTGGTATCGCGAACAGGGGTGGTCCAGGTGAAGTGATCGCTCAGGCCATTGGAATCTCCAGCAACGAGGAGGTACCCTTCTCGTGTAGAGCAGAGACGCTCGTCTCTAAGCTTGGTCGTTCGAGTAAGCCGGAAGCCCGCATGCTCATTCTGACCAAGAGGAACGTGTACATTGTCAAGCAGGTGCTTGTCAACGGACAAGTCCAGATCCAAGCTGAGAGGACAATACCCGTTGGCGCTATCAAGTTCATCAGCGCGTCGAAACTTCAGGACGATTGGTTCTCGATTGGCGCAGGTTCACCGAACGAGCCTGATCCGCTCGTGAACTGCGTGTTCAAGACAGAATTCTTCACCCACCTAACGAACGTTCTGCGAGGTTCTTTAAATCTCCAGATCGCAGACACGTAAGTTCATTGACGCTCGATTAATGATCATCGCATACTGACTGCCAATAGAATCAACTACAACAAGAAGCCTGGTAAGCCCGCACAAGTCAAGGTGGTCAAAGACCCTGGTGCGTCGATCGACTCGTACAAGAGTGGAACAATCCACACAGGACAGGGTGAATCGCCAAGCTCTGTCTCAAAGCCTACACCAAAGGGCAAGCAAGTTGCTGCCAAGCCTATTACGAAGGGAAAGCTTCTGCGGCCCGGCGGTCCAGGAGGAGGCCCATCCAAGCTCGCCAGCCGCCCTGCGCAACCGCGACCTGTACCCGCTCCTGCCGCTGCTCAGTCACGAGCAGTGCCTCCTGCGCCCATGCCAGCTGCAGTACAACCACGACCCCTACCTTCCGCTATACCTGCTGCCTCCACACCTCAACCAAGACCCGTACCGCAGCCCGTTGCAGCCCTCAATGGATCAGCAAATCACTCAAGGTCATCGTCAGCATCACGAGCACCTCCTCCGCCTCCACCCCCTCCCGCCGCACCTGCCGCACCCAAGGAGCCTACGTTCAAGGCCCTTTACGACTTCGCTGGCCAGTCAGCTGGTGAGCTAAGTCTGCGCAAGGATGAAATCATCCTCGTCACCCAAAAAGAAAACAACGGTACGTCCCCCCTCACTCCCTTTCCTTTCAACCACCTACTAATGAACTCGCAGGTTGGTGGCTAGCATCCCGCCTCGACAAATCCGCCTCAGGCTGGGCACCCAGCGCCTATCTCGAGGAGCATGTCGTCAAGACCGCGCCCCCACCACCACCACCCGCGCCGCCCGCGCGCCCCGCAAACGGCAAGCCGAAACCGCCTGCGCCGCCTGCCAAGCGCCCTGCGGCGCGCAAATCCGCGCCTGATAGTAGGGATAGTGGGTACTCGGGGAGCGCGAGTGAGACGGGGGCGAGGGATAGTAGTGGGAGTATTGCAGGCGGTTTGGCGGAGGCGTTGAGGGCGAGGCAGCAGGCTATGCAGGGAAGGAGGGGGGATGAGGATTGGTAGAGATAGATGGCGTTTGAGAGGGAATGGTGTGACAGCTGTTATGTGGATGGATACGAACTCAGATGGGAGTAGGATGATATTGAAATTTGAACATTGAACAAGTACAGCAACAAGCTCCCGAAATATGAACACGTCCACCACAATTTTGAGACGTGCCATATAGCTCGTTGATGAATCGTTGACCGACTTTGTCACAAGGTGGGAACAGGCCATCACTATTGAACAGACGCAGCAGGTAGGGAAATAAGTGTATTGCTTCAAACTACCTACACAGGCTATATGCACTGCTCAGGAAGAGTATCAGCCCAAGTTAGGCCTTGTGTTCAATCCCCAACGCCAATCATGAACCACTAGTCCACTCTAAAAGATCCACTGGAAGCTCTCCTTGACCTCAAAGCTCACCTTCGCCCTGCAGCTTAATTAGCAATCGTTCCAAACATCACCAAAACCAAGGGAACACATACCTGATATCCGCACTACTCGCACCAACCAAGACTTCAAATATGCCCTCCTCAGCAATCCACGCGCCTGTCTGTCCCAAGCTCGTGTCAAAATACCCAACACTGTACTTGTCTAGTTTCATATTCACCGTCTTCGTCTCGCCGGGCTGCAAGAACACCTTGCCAAAGGCCTGCAACTCCTTCTCCGGACGCGGCAGACTGCTCTTTACATCCTTCACGTATGCCTGCACGATCTCGTGGGCAGCCACGCTGCCGGTGTTGGTCACTGGTACGCTGAGCGTGAGGTGCCCGGTCTCGGTGAGCACGGTGCTCGACAGCGTGGGTGCGCCGTAGGAAAACGTGGTATACGTCAGACCATGTCCGAACGGGAACAGCGGCGCAATGCGGCTGCGCTCGTAGTGTCTGTATCCAACATAGATCCCCTCGCCGTACACGGTTTTGAGGTTCTCACCCGGCCAATTGTGGAACGCGGGATTATCTTCGATGCGCACCGGGAACGTAGTCGGCAACTTCCCACTCGGGGACGCATTGCCCAACAGCACCTCTGCAAGCGCATTACCCGCTTCCTGGCCTTGGTACCACGCCTGCAGGATCGCGGGCGCGCGGTGCACCCATGGCATGGAGATGGGTGTTCCGGACTGGTTGACGACGACGGTGCGTGGGTTCGCTGCGAGCACGGCTTCGATGAGGCGGTCCTGACTGCCGTCTTTGGGCAGATCCATCGTCTGCCGATCATACCCTTCGGACTCCCATTCCGCGTCGAGGCCGACAACGAGGACGGCGACGTCGGCGGCGCGCGCAGTGGAGGCGGCTTCTTGAAGCCGGTCGATGGCGTCTTCTTCTTGGTAGCCGATGCGGCAGCCGCCGTAGTCGTAGCGGCGGCCGATGATGGATACTTTGGAGGCGGGGCGGACTTCGCTGGTGGATTCGATGAGGATATCGACGGGGGTGTTGGCAGTGAGGTGGATGGATTTGAGGACGTCTTGGGATGCTGAGAACATAGCTTCGCCTTCTTCGGTCCAGTCCCAGTTGTCGATGAAGAGTTGGCCATCGAGATACATGCGTCCAGGACCTACGGAAGCGAAGCTGAAGCTGTGGTTGCCGGTCGTTTTAGGGGTAAGAATCGATTTGACCTTGAAAGAGAACGCTGGTAAGAGTTCCATCGGTGCAGAATCCCACAGCCAGAGATCTGTGCTAACTTTGTGCTGGACAACTGCTGGCTCGCCCTTGAACCTGTCTCCGCGGTAGTACTCCAGTCGGACACCTTGCTGCCCATCTGGAGCCGTGCAGTATGGTGTAGCGAGCGGCAGCCACTTCGAGCTATCGCAACCCTGCGCGAATGTGAGTTCACCATCGAATCGATTGCGCATTCCGTCCCACGGGCTTGTTCGGTAGTAGGGGTTGAGCCCAGCGCTGCCGCCACCATTTGCAATTGCTCGCTTGACGTTAGGCCCTATGAGTGCGATCTTCTTCGCATTCTTAATCGGTAGTACGTTGTTCTCGTTCTTCAACAACGTAAGTCCTTCAACACCAGCTTGCAGAATGAGATTCCTTGTCTCAACGTTATCGATCGACTGTTCAGGGGCTTCCGGGGTCTCATTACCCAGTCCTTTCGTACGTTCCACCAGGTAGAGTACCCTGGCAGCGGATTTTTCGATGTCATCTCGGTCCAGTTCGCCATTGTCAAGTGCCTCCTTGACCTGCTCAAACTTTCGCCACTTGGAAGGACCAGGCATTTCGATGTCGACGCCGGCTTTTATCGAAGGTGCGGTAGCGTATGTGCCTGTCCAGTCAGAGATGATTGCTCCATTCCATCCCCACTCGCCACGCAGAATCTCCTTGATGGTATGTTCGCTCTCGTCGGCGTGGATGCCATTTATCATGTTGTAAGAACTCATGAGCGCCCACGGCGATGCGTCGCGGACAGCAATCTCAAACGGCTTGAGATAGATTTCCCGAAGTGGTCGTTCTGCAATGATAGCATCGTAGGCCTGGCGTTCTGTCTCCTGCTCATTGCCGACAAAGTGCTTGATAGTCGCTGCGATATCTTTGCTTTGCAGACCACGCACGTACGAAGCGGCAAGTTTCCCTGTGAGAAAAGGGTCCTCGGAGTAAGATTCAAAGTTTCGTCCACCGAGTGGTGAGCGGTGCATGCAGACTGTAGGTGCAAGCAACACATTCGCGCCGCGAGCCTTGCACTCTTCTCCCAAGTGCCGTCCAATCTCCTCCATCATGTCCAGATTCCATGTTGAGGCCATAGAGATACCACATGGGAATAATGCGGCCTAGTATGATCAGTTACAGCACTGTATGTAGCGTGGTGCTGTTTCGGACACTCACAGGTGTGCCATTTGTGAAAAACTCTCCGCGAGCGCCATTAGGACCGTCTGTCGTTTTTATTGATGGTATCCCCTTATCAGGGATGGGCATTGTCCGCCAAAAGTCTGCTCCCGCGAGTAGTGATATCTATGGTGGTCAGCTCACCAGACCAGAGAACAGCGTGGGGCATCTCTCATAGGATGTCGTTTTTGGAGTATGCAACAAAAGAAGAGCAGCCCTGGATCAAGCTTACAATGCTCGTAGAAGAATGTAGAAAGCACTGTGAACCAGTAACAGTAACAGTAACAGTAACAGTAACAGTAACATCCCTTGACAAAGATGGGAATGTTACGTTACGAGTCCAGGAATATTTGCGTACGACGCGAATGCATTGTTGATCGTATCGAGAGGGCTACCCGTAATGTGGGCAATACACATACCTGTTCTTCGAGGGTCAACTTTGAGGCCAATTCCTTTGCCCTGTCATCTGGCTTTTCCAGTGAGTACAGCTTCTTCCCTGCCATGGTATCTCCTTCTGGTGGTGAGGTCGGCGTAAGTGATGGCGTTACAGTATTGACGGGTGTGACTTGGAAAGTGGCTTGCTTGAGGTCAATGAGCTTGTTGTCGTCCTCTGTGGGGCTGAGGGTCCCCAGGTTCATGGTAGTCATGGCGAATCAGCCCACGTTACTCGCTGGAAATGGTCGAAGGATCTGAAGGAAGAGCCGCGTTTCTCGCCGCTATCTGTAGGGCCTTGTGAACTCGAACTCCTAAAACTGTCAAAGGGTGGTGAGGTGGCAGGAAAACGAGTGACTTGAATATCAGTGCCAGTGTACGGTCATCTTTTAGTACTTTGTGCGCTCAATATCGACGCATAGACCACTCATCGCGTGGATCCAGAAGAAAGCACATTGAATATCCGGATGTATTGAGAACTAGCCTTGTACCTAGTTGCGGCACGCATGCTCGTCTCAGATCTACCACTTGGGTACTATTGGTCGACGGGACAGTAATGAGCCGAAGTTAACGCGCACCAGTATTCATCTGCTGCTGAAGGAGGCTCTTGAACAGTTTCAATCTAGATCGAAGCGCGCCGGGGCTTGCCTGTGGCGAATTCAAGGGTAAGATGCGTGAGTACGACGCAAAAAGCTTGTTCGAATCACGCTGGGTACGAAGGATGGACAGCCGACCATATCAATTGCGATAGCTGGACAGAAAAGCACTGGTTGAGTGCATATTGAGGCAGTCATTGCAGCCATGGCACGCGTGCTATTGACCGTTATAGTAAGCAGCCATGTCTGTGATTCGACGTTCGCAAGGCGGTGATGGCGGTCCTGAACTACGAACCGGGGATGAGTGCTCCGGACCTAGTATGGAAGGCTTCCGGAATGCGACTTGGACGGTCGAGTGGTGGAGAAACTGTTGTAAGAGGTTGTGCAGGCCATTGTTGGCGTCGGAAGGAGCGGGAACGACAGCGGAAGAAGGCCCGAGCGACCGCTTTGCGAGCTCCGCCGGCCCGCCAAGCGGCAGCCACCACCGTCTTCTCTCGAACACGTGCATGACAGCAGATCGTGAGGTCTGCATATACGCGGAGGTCTGGGCAGCGTAGAGGTCGTCTCATACAAATCATGTTGATGCTCAAGGGTAGTTCTGATAATGGCATGTGAACGACTTCACAACTCGTTGAGAAGAGATGAAGCAGACGCAGCATATTGAGGTCTCGTACAGCTTCGCACCGTTACTCCGAACGCTACTACTTTCGAGTTCACAAACTGCCTAGACGGGCATCATTATGATGAGGGACGTTTTCAAGTCATGTAACAGATCAGGCAGATGACCCAAAGATTTCAGCAAGGGATACAACTACCGCCTAAATTGCGCCGTGACCCCTTCGTACCACAACCCAGGACAAGAGGTACTTGATACAAATGAAGTTTTGATAAAGCTCAATCTGCTCAAGATGTTTTGCGGGAAAATGCAAAATCTTGGGTAGTTGTATCTGAGCCATCTCGATGCCCAGATGAACAGCAGTTGTCATTGTCTTCTCTACTTGTGCCGGTGGTTAAGGTGTTTTATCCGACTTCGTGCAATCAGCAGGATACTTCCGCGAGTACTCGCTCGAAATTTCTCCGGACTTTGCCAGTAAGTCGGTGGATGACGAGGGGATTGGAGTTTGAAATGTGATATTGTTGATCGAATTGTATGAACGAAGATGCAATCATGGATATAGATAAGAACCGCGATTAGAAATCAAACGCCACGACTGCACTACGCAGCCTCACATGCACGCTCCAACGCATAGCCCATACACTCAGGTATACAAAGAAACCCACAGCCAGTACCCAAGCCTCAAACCCATCCTCGTTATATGTTTCGTGTTCGAGATGAGCATTTCGCCAGACGCCGTATCGTGTAAATCAGACTATGCCTCCGCCATCTCTACATCCTTGTTATCGTTCGCTTGCTTGACATCTTCAAGCCCCTTCTTGAAAGTGGCCTTCTTGGAGTCAACGTCATCGCGGCTGAGGTCCCTCATCCAGGTATTGTTGCGGACCAGCTTTTCCTGAGCTCGCTCGCGCCTGGCGTCATTAAGACCCTTGTAGTGCTCGTTAGGTTGCGAAACGCTCCCACTCACACCCGCACGAATAGTATCCGGAAGCGTGAAGTACTGCACACCGCCGGTACCGAATGGCTCGCTGTTGATGAAGGTGATGTTGTATGTCTGAGGGCTGATTGAAACAGTGATCTTGTCGCTGTGCTTCACAAGGTCGAGTCGGTCATCCTGTTCTGCGAGGTCCTCAACCTTGGCAAGACGCTTCTTAAGGTATGGGTATTGGACCTTCGCATGGTCTACTTCTTCAGTAGGCTCGACTGCCTGATAAGAGGCGAGGTACGCACGCCAGCGCCTAGTCCGGTCGAGTGCGTTGGAGTCAAATGTGGGATCGTCCTTCTTGAATAGGCGCACGGTAGCTTCTGTCTTCGCAGGGTCCTGCAATTAGGTCAGTGATGAGCTGTGAGAACCAATGAAGTAGTGGCTTACGTAGGTGATGCGGTAGGTATCGGCATCCTTCGCGTACTTCTCGACTGCCTTCCTGTAGCTGATCTCGTTCTTATGTGATGTGGTGTCGTTGACGCGGTCCTTCCTGAACAGGTTGTAGATGTCAAGGCTCTTGTCCTTGCTGTCAGAGCTGACTACGACAAGGGCGAAACGAACAAGTGAGTTAATCAGCCTGTCGAAACTGTACATCTGCCATCCGATCTGCAAGTAGTATCGTCGCAATGTCTCTTCGATGAAATTCATGTCGACTTCGCCAAGGATTTGATCTTGGAACATCTCAAGGACTTGCTGATAGAAGTTTGCGGACGGGGACGTGTCCTTGAAGAAGTCATCAGGCTGCTTGTCCAACATCTTGAGTCGTCGCGCAGCCTTGGGCTCCATAGCTCGACTGACAACCTTTCGGACCTCGTCCTCGCTTTCTTTGAGCTTGAGCAACCGTTCGTACAGGTAGACGAACATGCGGAAGAAGCAGTAGATTGACGAGTTGGCGTACATGTTATACTCAATGCGTCGATACGGCTCATCATGCTCAATCTCCTTGTCGTCCAGGGCTGCGGGCTGAGCAGAGTATTCCACCCAACTACCTGTAGCTTGTTCGTCACGACCATTGGAGTTGGAGCTGTCCACAGCAGCCTCGTCTTCGATGCCAGAGGCGATCTCGGGAGTTGTGTCTCTGCTTGCCGATGCGAGGCTGTCCTCTTTGTCCTTGCGAGACTTGCCACGAGGGTCAAGTACATCGCGGCGCAGGTCTCCCTTCTTCGGCTTTTGCAATCGCTGGGAAACATCATCGTCGGGGCTTGGGGTGTCATCGCCAGACTCGTTGGGAGTGTCGCGGCCAGATGTTTGGACCCGCTGCTCAAACTTGGCCTGATCAAGGCCGAAGAAAAGAGGCACAAACTCCTTAATAAACGGAACTACCTTGGTGTACTCAGTACCACTGTTGTTATCCGCGAACGTAATCATGAGGCGGGCTACGTCGAAGAGAGTCTCATCATCCTTGAATGAGAATGCGAACTGGTACTCCGGCTGAGGAATCTCCTGGATTTGTCGTAGTCGCTTCTGTTCCTCGTAACGAACGAGAACCTCGTTGGTAAGCGACTTAGGCTGGAACTGCCGCTTGTCGGCCTGCTTGACAGACAGACTCTGGTGATCCAAAGACTTCCAGAAGATCTTCTGTGTCTGGTCGCGCCAGACCCTTTCCCACTCACGCTGAGCAGCCTTCCAGTCTTCCAGCTTGCATTTCAGGCGGTGCAACAAGACTGGCACCACACTCCAGGGCATGGTGAAGAGCTCCTTGATGACGTCCTTGCCCCGATCGCGACCATATATCTTCATGATGACGCGCTTGTAGATGGTCTCACTTTGGCCTCCAAGACCGGGTGGAAGCACGAAGTTCGTTCGGTCCTCTTGTTTCATGGTAAGGAGCTGGTTTGCGATCGGTTCAAGTTGCTGAATGGTGCGACTGCAAGCTTCGATATTGAAGTCGTAGTCGTGGCGCTCTTCTTCGATCCTATGGAGACCCTCTTCAAACTGGTTTTTGCGGTGGGCAATGAATCCGGAGTCTTCAGAAGCCCAAGTCGGGTGAGAGGCCCATTCATCGTTCAGAACCGATTTGCACAGTTCGTCGCGACCACTGCAAACCCGCTCGCGTTCTCGCTTAGGCAGCAACCGATAACTGGGTCCGAGGCTGCGGCAGTTGGAGAGGGAGACTCGCGAGTTGACAGTCTTGGGACGCGTCTTCTGCTGCTCGTCATCCTCTCCCATGAACTTCTTGAACCAGGCGAACAACTCTGGATTGCCGCCGATGAAGGACTGTGCGCGATACAGAAGTAGCGTCTTGTCAATCAGATCTTGTGAGTAAAGGTTGCACAGCTTCAGGAACTCGTTCATCGTGTTCTTGTTTCCAATGAACTTCTTGACACGGTCGAAGAAAGCAAGCTCATCCTGACTCGGCGTGGTGGTTGTCGTTGGTGGCATCGGCTCAGGCAGTGCCGGTGTAAGCGTTGGCGAGACTGGGGGACCTTCAGGTACTGCCTGCTTCGCGGCGTGGCCGGTTTTGGCTCGCTTGTTCGCGTTTGGTCCAAAGTTACCACCGCGGACATTCGACGTTGGTGGTTCTTGTGTCATTGGGGCGGGCATGGGAGCAGCCACTGGTCCTTGTCGATCACGCTTTCGCTTGTTGTCGCGGTTTGCAGTGGGTGTAGGAGCAAAGTTGCCCATAGGTGGTAGTCGCGATTGCTCTGCGCGTGGAGTCTGTTGGAGGTTTGGTGTCTGACCGTAACCAGCAGCATCGCCGCGGACATTGCTCAGCATGACAGCATCTTCGGCGTGTCTAGCTGCTTGCTGCTGCGCCCTATGCTGGGCAGCCGACTCTGGGAGAAACTGCTTGAAGTCTTCCAAGAGATCAGGAGCAGCGTTGAACAGTCCTGTAACTTGGGCATACACGTCCTGAATGGGCTTCGACTCTCGTTGGTAGGTCTGTAGGATCTCCAAGAACTGCTTGTAGATATCAGGCTGCGATGCGAAGCGGTTCTTGATCTTGTTCACGTAGCTGATAGCATGGTTGAACTCGACAGGACCACGCTTCTCAGCACCAACACCACCCATTTGAGCAACCTGAGCCGCACCGTTCAATGCCTGCACGGGGAGGGGTGTAGATGTATCGCCGCTAAGTGCGAGCATAGAACGTCCAGTAGCAGCGGAGACGGCGTTCTGAAGCTGAGAGACGCCCTGTTGCTCCTGTTGATGCGCAAGCGCTGCGGCCGAAGCTGCTGCGTCAGGGTGTGGGCGCGTCGTTGCCTCTGGAGAGTGCGGTGCAGGACCTTGCTGGCCTTGCTGTGCGCCATACAGTGGCTGACCGAGGTTGCGGTTGTTCGGAGAGAATAACGACTCAGCAGGCTCTGGTGCCCGCTGTTGCTGAGGCCAGGGTCGTCCTTGTGTAGTCTCGTAGAATGCAGCTTCGTGCTGAGAGGCGGTGTTGCCGTTCGCCGCCGCGCTGCGTGGTGGTGAGAGAGGCCTCGGAGCAGGCATAGTCGAGACCATCGTGCCCATGGGGGTAGTAACTCTAATAGCATTTGGATCCCCATTCGTTCCACACTCAATCTTATAGCCTGGCGGAAGAAATGTGTTGAAGCCCTGGATCAGATTGGGGTTGCCTGCAAAGAGTGTCGATACGCGCTCGATAACACCGGGAGTGTCAATAGCGCCGCTCTTGAAATCCTTCATAATATCCAAGAAGCGGTTGTAAACATCGGGATGATCGGCGAACTGGACTTTGACTTGGTCGAGGTAGCTTAGAGCGTCCTAAGCAGAATTTAGTGGGTATTCCAAACAAGCGGATCCCGGTACCACTTACATTGAGAATGGGTTGCTGACCCTGACCCATGCCCACCGCGCCTGGTGGACCCGTGAATGGCATCAACATCTGAGCCTGCGTTGGCGCCTGCACAGCGTGCTGCACGCGCGGTGTCGTTTGCTCATGCTGAGCAGGGGCATTACCGTACAATGGCCCCACAGCATTTGGTCCACTCATTGGCCCAGCCAGAGGGTTTGCGCCTGCCAACGGCCCTGATTGACCTAGCAGGCCATTGGGTCCATGTACGGTTCGTGTGGAGGGGGCGACAGCGACAGGCTGGTGGATCTGGATCGGCGCAGAGTGATTCTGGAGTGCAGCTTGCTCGCGCTGCTGGCGCTCGTGGAGTTCCCGATCGCGTTGCTCGGCTTCACGCTTTGCATGCTCTTCTTGCTGTGCAGCAGCATGCTGGGCAGCATGCGACTCCATCATCTCTCGCTCTCTGGTTTCGCGCTCACGCAGCTCTCGTTCCCTGCCTGCGTTCGCCTGGTCTTGTGGTGGACCCTGTTGTTGCTGCAGGGTCTGGGAGATGCCCGGCAGCGAATATGACGGCCCCTGTGGCATCTGGTGTCCTTGCGCAGCCGACCCTGCTTCTGTTGAGGGTGCTCTCTGCGCAGACTGATGGGGCGACGAGTGTGGAGGCTGGCCGGTCAAGCCAGGGAGCGGCGGCAAATTCTGGTTGTGAGCTGTCGCAGCGTTCGATGAGTAGAATGGGGTGCCTGGGTCCTGGTCAGCTATGTTTGCAGTTTCACCGTCCGCAGGAACCGTACCAGAGGGGGGCGGAAGCACAGGCCCTGGACCTTGCGCAGGTGACGCATGTGTGGGAGGCTGAGCACTCGCGTTGTTCGGCCTGTTGCAGCGATCGTTGTTAGCGCTCATATCTACAATGTGTGATGTGTGGGGATGCTCGATGGCTGCTTGGTCCCTGGAAGCTGGGCGCAACACGGGTGCAAGCGGGGTTACACACCCATAAGGGTCCAGTGGCCGCGCAGGTTGTCTCTGATTCTGCTCTGTTTGCTGCTGTGGTGTCTGTCCAGGCGCAGGTGCCTGCGACGAAGGCCACCCTTCGCGATGCGCTGGGTTCATCTCGGCGTTTGCGATTCCTCGGCTGTAGGGGAAGTTGCGAGGTCGCTGAGACGCGTATCTGGCCGAAGAGCGGTCTTGATGTTGTGTAGAACTCGTACAGAGCTCTAGAAAAGTGCTGGGGAGCTGTGTGTGCGCGGTGGTTGCTTGGTGGTGGCTGTTGTGCAGCTGCTGGAGGGTGGAAGATCGTACCAGCTCGAGCTGGTGTTGATCTTAAATTTTGGCGGTAGAAACGCCAGGAAAAGCAGGGCTAACGCCGAGAGATTATGTCGCCATATATTGCGACCCCATAGCAGCTCTCTGTACAGTCGAGCCGTTGGCGTGGTGAGAGCTGGACCTTCCCATCAGAACGCTCCTCCCTCCAGAAGTTAATCCGCGCCGGCACTAAGCCTATCATGACCGCGTCGGCCAATCAAGTCGCCGAGAACAGCACGTCATCACCCGATGACGGCTTTGCGCGTTTGCTACCATCACATCTCCTGAAGTGATTCCTCACAAACCACAAAATAACATGGAAATTGCATCTTGAGACGTCTGGATACTGCAACTGTATCAGGTGGCCATCGTTCTGTCGCGGCTTAACCTCGTCGACATGTAGATGCACTGAAATTACCAGGAGGAAGCAATCAAGAGTGCATCAAATCAAGAGTGCATCAAATCAAGAGTGCATCAAAACTGGGTATCATTATTGCACAAACTCCTGACCTCTACACAAGCTTCCATCAAAACGCCCTAAACACCAAGCCGAAACCTGTCAAATATCTTCCTCACGAGTCCTGCTTATCCTTGTCCTCGTCGAGAGGATTATGCTTATGCACAAAATCATCAACCCACTCCTCAATCTCATCAGCCTTATCCGTGAACCAGTCCCACCAATGCTTATGCGGCGGCTTACTACTCGCTGCAGGCGGTGCGCTCGTAGTAGTACTCGATTCTACTGACGTCGAAGCGCTTCCTTCCAAAGACGTGGTTGGATCCTCTAGACCGGATGCTAGAGCAGCGAGGCTGGATAGCGAGGAGAGAACGGCAGCCACAGTTGCTGCAGAAGGTGGTGCAGAGGTCAACGAGTGGCTACCCACAGGGTCAGATGGCGTCTCGTTAGGTGAGTCTTCGTCATCGTTGTGCAGGCCAACGGGCTTTAAAGGAAGGCGCAAGGTGCCGTTGTTAGGTGCAGGGGTAAGGCCGATGGAGTCGCAGATGATGTTGTACAGCTCGATGTTTTCTGCAAAGGTTTGTTAGCACGAGGTTTCTGTTATGGGAGTTGGAAAACTTACGGAACGGTTCCATGCGACTTCCAGGCGTGTGCGGAAATGCCGGCCCACGAGCAACGAAAATTGCCCTCATGAGTGGGTGTTCGTGGTCGTAGCCATGCAGGCCTCGCGGATGGTACACATCGCCCTTCTTCTTGCCTTCTTCGACGTTGAACTCGCTTTTTGTGACGATCGCCCAACCTGCCTTTGGTATAATCCATAGTGGTGCTATGCGGTCGTTGTTCGAAAAGTGGTAGCGCTCAGGCATGTTCTCGCGCAGGTGGATCTCAATGTTGGGGTTATCTCCGTGTTCGCGCTTGATTTTGTTGTATAACGAATAGAGGTTGTTTCGATCTTTAGGTCTGAGACCGTACAATGGCCAGCCATCAACGTGGGACAGCTCGGCCGGGTCAACCAGGTCTTCCAGCTGTATCATGCGTGATACGTCGGTGGTAGCCATCCCATGATCGGAAACGACAACAACATTGACGATGTTAGTGAGGTTGCGCTCTTGCAGGCCTTTGAGGATACCGCCGATCATGGCGTCTGCGTTGGAGATGGTTTGACGGATCTCTGTGCTGTTCGGTCCGTACCTGTGACCGTCGCCGTCGACATTTGGGACATATGCAGCAATGAGCTGCGGGCGGGGTGCATCAGCTTTGGCGCCTATGTCTTGAGGGCCGGGTGCGTCGAGCAGATCCATGATGCGGTCAACTTTCCTATCCAGCACTTCCGAACCGTTGTACTTGTCCACATATGCAATCTGCTGGTTCTCAATGTGCGCTTCTGATCCCGGCCACATGTGCACAGCCGTCCTGGCATTCTGCTTCTCCGCCGTCACCCAGAGGGGTTCTCCACCCCACCAGAATGGCTGCAGGCTACGCTCAGGATCCGTGTAGTAGAACTCTTTCTCCAGCATTGGATCCCAGAAGGTGTTTCCCACGATTCCATGCGCTTCAGGATACATGCCAGTTGCCATTGTGTAGTGATTTGGAAACGTCACACTTGGGAAGCTGGGTAGCATATACTTAGGCGAAATGCCTTCTGCTACGAACTGGTTGAGCGTAGGTGTGAGATTGCGGTATAGGAAATCAGCCCGGAAGCCGTCGAGCGAGATCAAGATCGTTGTTGGCGCGAAGAGTGATGTTCCGTTCGAGATTGCAGTCGCTGTGAACGCTGCAACTTGGCTGTCCTTGGGGTTTGAGAGACGGTATACGAAGGCAAGCAGGATGAAGAAGAATCCCGTGATCGATGTGTATATATAGATACTTCGCCATCGCCTCGATCGTTTTGCCTATGTTTCTTGTTAGCTCTACAAAACTGGGGTTTCTACAAGCTCGCGTACCTTCTTCTGCGCCCTTGTTCCAAGCAACCGCTGCTCGTCACTCTCAGAGCTCCTCCTCGACCGCAACAGGCTTGAGGTTGATTCGCCAACTCCTTCTTCCGTGTCATACGTCGGTGTGCTCGTTCCGGTGTCGAGTCGTCTTTTGCGCTCCGTCATCTCAGCTCTCTTTTTGCCGCTATCACGCTTCCCAATCTTCACGCTGGAGCCGAAGAGACCTGTTATCTCCTCCTTCTGTGTCAACAGTCGCTCGCGCTCGTCTTCTGACTCTAGGATATCATGATCGCCGTCAGATAGTTCGGCAGAGGGCCGGATGTCGTAGTCATCGTTGTCTGAGGCGTCGTCATGGTGAGAGCCGCCAGCGGCTCTGCCATTATGCTCTCGTAATTGCGACAACATCTTCGGTGTTGAATCGGCGTTAGGCTATGTAGCCATAGTGAGAACGAGTGACGCGCAGGCGTTGGTGTTCGCAATTCGAGGGTAAGCACCTCAATCGCCCGTCGCGCTAGCGTGTGGTGTTTCATGCAGGGACGTCGATTACGAACGCCCGGTCACCTTCCAAACATTCACAGATTTGTTGCTTGCGCACCCTTAGTGGAAAGATGGATGATTAATTTTGCGATATCCAAGATAGTTTCTATCCAAAATAGTTTCTATCCAAAGTGAAGTAGTGGCTCATGTCGAGTGTCCTCCATTCCAGTCTCATTGCATCTCAACGACCGCAACAGCATTGGCATCAATCCACTTGGATCGCGAGTTGAATAGCTTTCCCTCCGAGCAGAGCCACAGGAGCAACCACATGTGCTCCACAACCTCGCCCCAGCAGTAGAGCCTTACAAGTCCTAATGTCTGACCAGATTCAGGGTCTCGATGCAGAGTCGCTCCCCACCCAATTCGACCGCTGCGAACGTGCTCGTGAAGTGACGACCAGAAATCCTGCTGTATTTTTGGAGACCACTGTGTGCAGTCAACATGCCAATAGCCGCGCTCATCAGCGTCCAAGTTCCGCCGAGTCTTCAGTGGCCTAAAGCGACTCAGGTTTCTGGTCTTGATTGCTGCGAGGTGTTTTGTGATTTGTGAGGGTAAAGTCCCGGGACACGCTACAGATATAGCGGGACCGCATGGGAACACATCGGTTGGAAGCTCGGAAAAGTCCGGTCGATCCGAAATTGTATCAAGTGCGCTCTGAGATGCTCGAGTCGTGTGCATGGACAGGTCCGTAGGTTCTCTCGACAAACTTCTTCCCAAATCCGCTTGAACATGATCTTCCACCGGGGCTGGCAATTGCACTTCTCCATCTAACTGGCCACTTTGACTCAAAACTGGACTGAGTTTACGAGACGAATGTTCTACGGCGTTGCCGGCATTGTCATCTTGGCATTGTTCATCCTCGGAGGTGTTTTCAGAAGTTGTCGAATAGGTGTCTTGTAATTGGCTTTGCAGAGCTTGCAATGCCGATTGCGAGTCTTCGATAAATCCAGTATCGGCATCTTCCGCGCCATCAGCACTGGTCTGTGGCTCTCGCTGACTACGCGTAAAGCTCGACTTGGGGGTCGCGCATTTTCGCCAGGTCAGGTAGCTCCGGTCAAGCTGAGCCAAGCGGCCGATTGGACGCATTGTATCATCATCAACTTGGGCTGAGCCCTGGTCTTGATGGCGCTCGTCGGAAGACAGATTGGACGGAAAGCTACCGTATGATTCTTTGCTACCTGTCAGTACTGATGAGTTGGCAGGATCTCGAATAACGCTTTTCCCCCCTCGCGTCAAATAGGCATCCGGGTCCGGACTGGCTGCATGATCTATCCTCTTCCTCTTCCGTGCAGATTCATCGCGGTGGACCTGATAAGGCTGGAAAGCAGTGTAAGCATTTGCCAAAGATCGAAAGAGCTCATCGTTCTGTCGTGTAGCAGGCGTGGAAATGTGGACAAGAACTTCGTCGATCATGATTGTTGCCGAATGTACGTGAACGTTGACCCTGTACAATCGACATCATGCACTAGATAGGGGTAGGATATCGCTATCAAGTTTTTGAATGCGCCAAAATAGTCATTAGAAGTGAAGCGAAGAATCACGAGTGCAGCCTTTGCGAAGGTGAACGCAACGCTAGCGCGTGTCTTGGCAGCTAGCTACTTACAGCTGTTCGTTCTACGTGAAGTCACTGCAGAGGAGTTCGTGTTCCAGATCGAGCGGGTACCACTACCCCATCACAAAATCTTGCAGATGACATCACCTTGAAAGGACCGATTAACCCTGAAGATGCACTATTTCTATTGTCAATCTTCCAGCAGCATTACGGTCGTTGGGTATCGTTCGATCCGCTTTTATCGACTCCAATGCTTCTCGAAGGCGTACGAAAATCGCCATTACTTCTTGCAGCTTGTTGCTTGATTGCGGTCCGACACACTTCGCAGGAGTTGGCTACGCGTCTCGCACCTACTTTGCTCAAGGAACCGAAATCACGGCTTTCGTTCGCATTGTTGGTCATACCACAGCCCATTGAGTTCCTCCAGGCTGCACTGATATTGAGCATGTGGTCGACTACCACCGAGCAAATTCCTTTGAGCATCGACAGTTGGCTACTAAGTAGCTTCGCACTACAGCACAGTGTTGCGAGTGGCATCTGTTCACCTAGCCTCAATGGATCCTCCGAGAGGCTAGGTAAATCCGAGCTGGACAAATTATGTATCTGGAACCATCTGTACCTCGTTCATCTGCATTACTGCGTCGGAACTCGCCGGAAAGCAGTGCTTGATCGAAGTGACATCGAGTAGTGCCGCCATATACTTGGTTTAGACCATGCTTCGAACTTCGAGTCACGCATGGTGGCTGAAGTCTTCCTGTATTGGATCATATACGAAAACTCCCTCAAACCAATTGATCTGCCGAATACGCAATCCGCCCTTTACACCTGGAAGGATGAGTGGGAATTTCTGTTCGACCAACCATGATCCCAGTTCCTACAGATGGGTTATCGCTTCGCTCAACTGTTGATGTACGATCGATTCCTGAAAACAAAGTCTGCAGCAGTTCGAGAAACGCTCTTGGTCGAGATGGTCCGACTTTTGACAGAAATCATCAGGCTCGCGATGGACACCACGGACGAACGGATGCGCCATCTGACAGACTACATATATCACATGCTCAGCTTTACTGTTGCTACGCTCAACGATGGACCGGTTGAATGACGACTTCACTGGGCGTTATCAACAATCCTTATGTTTTCAGGTCCAAAGTTCAAGTCCATGAACGAGGTCCTCATCTGACCGCGGCATGCCGGTATTGAATGAGACTGATTGACGCGAAGCAAGACGGACCGCGGCGATGCCGGTCTCTACTATCTCACCGCCCGGCATGCCGCGATGGTAAGCATATCACGACATCTGATACAAAACTTCGATCATACACCAATGTTCAAGGTATATGGAGTATGAATGTTATAAGGGATCCGGGTCATGGTTGTTGTCTGTTACAACAGGAGGCATCAGCAACATGACCACCAATCAAACTCTCCAAGCAGCCTTGAAATGGCAGCCTTGAAATGGCAGCCAAATCATTGTGTGTACCCTCTTCCAATGAGTTGTTTCAAGCTGGTTTAATGGGTGAACCAGTGGCGATGTGATAGTGGGTCTAAATGTCTTTATTGTCTTGCAGCGCTGTCGGCAGCGGCTGTTGAGAGTATTAAGAAGCTAGCATTACTCCGTCTATTACGACAAGAATCAATTGCAATCTTCAGTACATCAGAACATCTCTCGAATGATTCAGCTAAGAGACATACAGCAAACCCTTTGTCGCTAAGATTACTTAGTATACGACCTGACCCTTCTTCAAGAGTGTGACTTGAGATACAAGACTAAAAGCTGCTCTGGTAACGCTCTCCGATTGGTCACCTATCTGAGATGCTTCTGTCTGAAGTATACCAAATTGGAGCTTGGTCCTCTGGATCGACTCTGGGAGGGTAGTCTGTCCGAGAGAATGTCCCAAGGATAGCTCATCCAGATACTGGTTCCGTGTTATAGCCATGATAGAAAAGAAGTCATATCATACACCATTGGCCCAGCACGCTCGTAGACCGATCACAATACAGATACCCGAACATTAGAATCGCGACGCCATATGCGATGAGGAGATTGCGCATGCGGTATTGATAGATCGCGTATGATGTAGTCAGCGTGACGTCCTCAGTTTTGGCGTGCTAGCTAGGTGCCCTTGTCGTTTACAAACGCAATCGAATATGCATCCTAAATATAGGGACTTACCACAATCTTTTGCTATGGAGCATACTCAGTGTCTGGTTCCTCGACAATCCCTCAATCAGATCGCCCAATGTACGATTCGCCACTAAGTTGGTTTCGCCGTCGAGAGTCCAGACTATAGAATAACTCGTTCGTATACTGTTCCTATTTGTATCGTCTTGTTCAGGAATTTTAGCTGCCCCCTTACCGGCTTTAGATCCCGCCATTCCAGTGAACATGCTCTTCAAATCCAATGCCTGTCGACGGTAGTAGCGTGTATCTTTAGAAACACCGAAGATTGCGTCCATCGGCTTGATTGGGCCTGGTTTCCAGAATACAGCTGTGAGCCAGGCACCTTAACCCAGGCAGCGTACGTGGTCGGGGATGCGGAGCACATTAATGCCGCTGCTGGCGAGCTTGTTGATGTCAGCGGGCTGGATGAACGTTGCGTAGCGGCGCCCGAGGACGAGGCCACATTTGCTGCCCAGACGAGTGCAGCAGGTCCATTCTTCGGTTGTATTGGCGCAATTTTGGGTACAAAAGGTCGGGTCGATGACGGCTTCTTGTTGGAACCAGCCGCCGAGGTTGACGCCGGTGGCTTGAAGGTCATCCGGCTGATGTAGTTAGTTTGCCGTTTGGTGGTAAGTCCGGCCGGAGTGGTTGAGAGAAGGGAAGATAGAACCAGGGAACTGGTGCTGAGGAGCAAAATAATAGGTGCCATGATGTACTGCTATAAGAGCGTGTAGGTATTCAGAGCGCTTAATAACGATCGCATTCATGAACCTTCTTTATAAGCGGCCATAGCACAAAAGTATCTGTTGAACATAGCTGGTCAATGTGCGTATGCAAGATACGGCCCGAGAACATGCGGAGGATTGTGTGGAGATGACAAGCTGACTCGACGATTGTAATATTGTGTGTGCCATATGAGTGCAGTTCGATGATACAGGGGCATTTACGGTGGTGACGATGATCCTGACTCCGGGGTAGGAGGATCCTAGCGCCGATGCATTGTGGGGTCTCCACATGGGAACGAATTAAGAAAGTGCATTGTCCTTCGGCACGCGGGCGCAGGGATGGTCAGCAACCACTGAGCTTCGAATTATTGAGTTCCTCTCAGGCGCAGTAAGACAAGATCATTTGGGGCAAGTGCAGAGTCTGAAAGATTGAAAGCAAGAATCAAATATCGAAGATGCATTAAAAGGAATCGAGGAGGGCCGGAAGACAAAAGAGAGTGAAAGTAAAGCAAACCATTCATCCCATCTCTTGAGACTTGAGCAGCGCCAATCTTGCTCCAGAAAACCTCTTGCCGTGACTCAGTTCACAAGCCCAAAGACAGCCATAATCACACCTCACGCCAGCTCCTCGCAGCCAACCTCTCAGTTAGTGGTCTAAACTCTGAGCCGCTTACACTTCCTTGATCGATCATCCTGACTTTCCGTCTCTCCTCGAAAAAGGTAGCTGGCTGACCATTCTCGTCAATGCCCTTCCAGCTTCTGACCTCGATCGGTCGACCACGTTCATCGTCCTCAGAGTCAGTCATGTCATCCTCTGAGCTGATTTGCTTTCGACTAGGTGGAGGTGTGATAGATCGAGTACGCTCGATAGCTTTGGTACGAGAGATATGACGATAGCCGGAGTACGTGGGCCGCTCGGGCGATGGAGGCGATGGCGGGGGCCGAAGCACACGCTCACGAGGTGGTGGTGGGCTGACACTGACATGACGGACTCGAACTTCTTCGTACCGTCGAGGAGGCGAAGACGAGATGCGGCGAGCACGATCAATGCGAATCTCATCGTAGTTTCCCTGTGGAGAGGGCGATGTTCGACGTATGTGAAGTCTTTCCATGCGATCAATCGGTGGTGAAGCAGGCTTGTCCACATAGCGATGGCTCTCGTAACGGAGATACTGATCGTATTTCTCATCGTCAGGTCTGTCGCTTGGGCGATGTTCCTCTCTTCGTTCTGAAGCAAATTGAACACGTGGGCCACCGATCTCTACGTTCGTGCTCTGCTGGCTATCGCGCATACTGGTTCTGCGTCTGTATGACGTCTCGTATGTCATGTCTGCTGGCTTGAGAATCCCACGACTGACTGTTTCTGAGCCGGCATCGTTCGTTGAAGTCTCGTCAGATTGCGAGAATACGCGATGGTCCGGTATCACCGTTCTGTAAGGACGAGGATGGGACTCGATACGAACGCGACTCTCGCTACGCCGCACAGGACTTCTGAGTCGCTGCTCTTGTGACTCTTCTCGATAACTGACTCTGGTAGTCCTGGAGCGCGCCGGTGGAGGGGAGGGACTGAGTTCGACGATACGAGGGTTTGGACGAGGCGGACTCTTCTTCCTATACGAGTGAGTACGGACGACATCAGGTGGCGGCCATACCTCGTCAGGAGTAGGATATGGCTCATCAGATCTCGAAGGTCTCATGCGAACTACATCTGGCGGCGGCCAAACACCGTCATACCTTGAACGTCCTGGGCTCAGCGAAGACACCCGCACTCTGGTCGTGCTTCTGTAACCACGCGATGGGCTGCGCTGCAACGTCCGTAGCCCAATGTTGGCGCGACTTGAGCCTTCTTTGATGATGCGCGGTCGAAGGTGATCTGTTTTCCAAGACGCATATATATCATCGCGACTCCTTCGCCGGCCTCTTCGCTCGCTGTTGTCAACTTCGATCTGGACGGGTTCCCTAGGCCAGTCGCAAGGCTCATCGGCAGTACAGGTTCGGATTCGCGTATAGCTGGTCGCTCTTGAGCAATCGCTGTTCCTGCTGCGCTTCTTACACTTTCGACAAGGCGTGGTGACGATGGGTTTGCCTGGTATGACAGGATGGTTTCGATGGTAGCCCGCAGACCGCATCTGCCCACACAGGCTACAGGTGTGACACAGCAATACTGGTACTGTCTGCTCCTTGACTTGCGGTGGTGCTTCTACGCCTGTCTGGTACTGATAGGCAAAGTATTCGTCTGTCTTCTTCTCCGACTGCACCATCTCAGAGGACACATTGCGTTGCGTAGGAGCCATAACACCAGAAGCGGCGCCAGCCAAGCTCGCTCGTGCAGATTGCGGCGCGTTCGGATCTGTGTATTGCCAACCAACGGTGTACCCAGGTGGAGGCGGTGGCTGACTAGTATAGCTGCGTGGAAGCTGAGCGTAACCGGGAGGTGCGGGCGGTGCTGGCATCGACTGAGCGCCCGCTAGGGGATTTTGACCGTGACCTTGACCTTGGGCAAGAGGCGGAGGGCGTTGAGGAAAGCTGAAGTGGGGCAAGTGTTAGTGAACGGTACATGAAGAAGCTATACCAGTGTGCCTAGAAGGCTTGTAGCTAACATACCCGGCTTGACCGAAAGCACCCTGGGACGCAAAACCACCTTGGAGCCCTTGGTACGAAACGATGGAACTCGCTGCTGCGGGTGGAGGTGTAGGTGCCGCTGGGGGAACTCCAAGCCCGGGGAATTGCTACATGTGTGAGTAAAAGATCGAAATCGAACACCATGTCGAAGGAGCGAAGATGGCTTCTGCACCACGTGTCAGCTGTATGCACCATGCAAACGATGTCGCCGCAGTGAACCACTTACACATTGAAAAGATACTGGTTAGCAGGGTTGGCGACTGAGCCTGGATACTGCGGTATTGGCTGTCCAGCACTCGCGGTCGAGCCGCTGCCACCGCCCATGTACGCTGCAAAAGCTTTTCGCTGCTCCTCGTTCGCCATGCTGTGTATGTGGAAGGTGGGAGGCGTGTGGTGCTGAGATTGTGGAAGCTCCACCTGGGAGCACGTGGGAGGCGAGGCAGGCGCGATTAAGCTGTAGAATACAGATCTCCGAGTGTGAGAAATGGCAGCAGGTGCGGAAATGGAGAAAGACGAAGTGGAGTAGACGATAAGCGGAAAATTTAGGTTGATAGAAGGGATTCGGCGGTCTGCACCATGCCCAGGTGAAGGTGAGGTGACTGAAACTCGGCCGCTACAAGCAACCTACCTTACGCAACCTACCATGCCACAATTTGATACCGACAACTCTACTCTCAGGTGTTGTATGCGAAAGTCCTACAGTGGGGCTCAATATTCTTTTATTCTTCCCAAACGCCTGCCTGTCAACATGCCAATCAACATATCTTTACAGGTGCTAAATCTCTATCTCTTGTAGTTCGTGATATCTAGTCCACTCTCAACACCCTCGGGCCCTTCCTCTTCGCAGCCCTCTTCTTCTTGTGGCCCTGGTCGAAAGCCACGGCACTACCGTGGTCACGGCCAAAGTTGTCAAGGTCCTTGACCTTGTAAATCCTGATGATCCAATTCTCACTGGTGAATGCCTCCTCGATAGTGCTGAGCTTGGGGCCCTCAGCAGGCAGCTTCGCGCCACGGACACGGTCCTGAGCCTGTCCTGCGGGGAAGAGCGAGTTGTAGTTGTAGTAGGACATCTTGTACCTGAGAAAGAGTATTAGCAAGGGTAGCCAATCGGGGGAGAGTGCAACTTACATCAAGCTGTTCTTCATGGTCGGTGTGGCCTCCTCATCGACACGGTACTCGCCTCGGGGTGTGAAGAAGTTACGCTCCTTGACCTCATCGGGCCAGATACCCTCGGCGATACGGACCATCCAGAGGAACTTGTTGATGTCGTCACCGGAGTATCCGAGAAGACCACCGAAGACAACGAGTACGTAGTCGACCTCGTGCTGACGCATGATGGGGTAGGAAACCTCCTCCCTGGAGCTCATAGCCTTACCAACGGTGGCAATGTGAGTGTTGTTCCAGGTGTTGTTGTCAACAAGGGTCGGGCGGTCAGCCATGCCACCAATCTGGTAGCCGTAATCCCACCAAGACATAATCTTGGCGTCCTGGGGAGTGTTCTGCCTGAGCCAGTAGTACGCCTCACGGTAGTCATCGATGATGTGCTGGCTACCGTCAGGAAGCCTGGAAGCAAGGACAACGGAAGGCGAGGAGTAGGCGTTGGATGTAACCCAAGTGCAGTGGAGCACGAAGAGCATGAGGTAGACAGCAGAAGCACCAACAACTGTAAGCTTGGAGGCGTATGACTGAATACCGACGAGAGGCTTGCGAGTAGAGCGAAGACCGTCGGGCAGGACTGCCGCGGCGGCAATCTTAGCAGCATCGGCCGCATCGGCCGCATCGCCCTCTGTGGGCTCGGTCTTGACGGGGGGTTTCGCATCGAGGTAGGTGTCCAAGATCTGGGAGAAAGCGATGGCTGATGCTACGCAAACGATGGGAGTCAAAGTAAGCATAAGACGAACCATGACACCAGCGAAGTAACTGGCAAGAACAGCGTAAATGACAACAAAGACCTGCTCATCGGTCAATTTGGTGAAGCACATGTAGACACCGGCGGGGAAGAGCCAGATCATCATGCTCAAGTCGAAGAAGAAAGCGGGCCAAGCGGTAGGCTGGTGTTCGGAGACGGAGGCGATGATGGGAATATGGATCTTCGCGTAGCCGGTATCCCAGAGCGAGTAGAAACGACCAGTCCAGGGTGCGATAACTCCAGTAACAGTCAGAAGGACGAGTCCACCGAATGCAACAACGAAGACGAACAGGACAAGAGCGCGGAGCAGAGTCTGGAACTGCTTGCTGGGGAGCTGAGCGCGGACCCAGTCGACGAAGGCGACAAGCTGGAGAAGACCGAAGACACCAAGCGCAGACATGTGCTCAGAGCTGCGAATTGGCAGGAAACCGACGAACGGAATCTGCATACTCGCAAGTGTACCAAGTGCATACCACGAAGTGTAGCTGACGTAGAGCCTGGGGCTGTAGCGCCCCATGCAAATCAGAACGAAAGCGTGCAAAGGCAGCAAGTTGGTAATGAAGACGTATCCACCCCACGCAGACACCATGTATCCGTAGAACAGCGCGGTCAACGCGCCCCAGAACATAGACCCGTTCTTGACAGCCTTGATCCACAAGAAGAAGGTGAAGACGAGCAAGAAGATGGCGATAGCCTCGTTATCGTAGCTACCTGCGACCGAACGGGAGATGTAACCGGGAGTGATGCCCATAAAGGCTGCGGCGAGCAGACCGGCGGAAGGAGACGTGACCATCTCGGTGGTCAGGAGGTATGTCGCGAGCGCGGTAAGGCCAGAGAAGCCTGGGGCGAGGAGAACGCAAATGTTACGAATGTCGACGGGGAGGGCAAGGAAGCGCAGGAGGTGGTAGATAGCACCGCTGGTGACCATCAATCCGGGGTAAAGGGTACCACCAGTAACGCGACCGAGGGGATGCCATGTTCCTGCTCAATGTGTCAACTCAATGCGTCCTTAACTGATGTATGCTTGGGGTGCGGGCAATGCGGAGGAGAGGCGTACGGTCATCGAACCAGTCCCAGAAGCTATAGAAGCCATTCTGTACGAGGTATTTTGTAGCTCGGAAGTTGAACCATGGGTCGACTGCACTCTCATATTAGCCAATCGCACAGCCTAAAGCTTGTGGTTGTACCGACACTCGTGAATGATGCTCTCGAAGCGGATCACGGAGAACAGACGGCTGCTCACAGCTGCACCTGCGATCAAGCACAGAATAACAACTCGAAGCAGACCTCTAGTGGTCCGGCCCGTGGCCTGCTTGAGGAATTGCCCTTCCTCTGCGGCGGCCATATTTGGGTAAAAGGAAAGTGGTAGAGAAAGAGAGGTGTTGCTTTCGAGGCCGCGTCAGAGCAGCTGGAGCTCCACGTTGCATCGATGTTCCCACGATTGAAACCTGACTAAGCGCCGCACTAAAACCCCACATCCCTGCAGTCTCGCAGAGATGCTTCGTACATATTGATCAATTACAAGCTAGATCTTCAACAACACAAGTCCAGAGAATAGTGTACATCTTGAGAAGAGATAGGGGTCCTGCGAGCCACGCATCGAGCCTTAGTGTACATTGGATTCGTATAGTCGCCTCCTTTCCTGCGTTATCTATCATCAAGAACACTCAAGATCAGGAAGTCAGCAGACGCGTGCGCGCCCTAAAACAGCTGGGTGTACTACAGGGAACGCTCAGATTTCAAAACAAATCTCAGGGAAGACCTCTGATTGCGAAAACGAGGCAAGGAGAAAACGCGCATCAATCTTCCAACGAACGAGAAGCGACGGTTTCACCACTACAGGATCCGCAGAAGAAGTGCATACAATTCATGCAGCTGTCTTGGAGAGCAATTGAGCCACCGTAGCCACAGCCGCACTATCGCACATTAGCTTGGTTCTGAAAGACTGTTGAGTTGATACTTACACAATAGAATACTGTCGTCGTCACAGTCTTCTTACGCTTCGTAGGTGGACAAGGGTCACTGGTGTCTGCAGGAGCTGATCGCTTCCTGGACGTGTCCTGTGTAGGCTCGGAGAATGAATATGCTGTGCCTTCTGCGGCAAGAGACAGTTCATCGCCGTCGTTAGAGCTCTCAGCATCTACGTCTTTTTTTTCTCTGGCCAACAATATTTCGTCCTTTAGTTCTTTTTTTGTCTTGTTTTCTTCCACGCATATCCAGTCGTCAATGCATTTCTTCGGCGAATCTTTTTCAAAGTGGTTCGCGATATGGTCGAAGCGCTCATCCCATGCAAGGTTTCTCTTGGTCTTAAGTATCTTGATCTCGCAACAGAAACCGCACCAATATTGAATCTGGCGATTCTTGCCTATCCTGCATCGTGCAAGATATTCCTGTACTTTGTCTTGCGATATGATCTCGTGCTCAAGCCCAAGGTGTTTCTGGAACTGCGCCATGCGGTAGTAGTGTTGTCCGCATCGCCGACCCGAGCTGTGCAGGTAGTCGCAACGGAAAGCCTCTTGCTGGAAGTGCTGGGAATTCTCATGACGTTTCCAGTCCGACTTAGCACCGAATCGCTTGTGGCACTTGGGGTAGGTACAGCCATATGGCTTCTTGTGCCTCTTCACATGTTTATTCAAGTCGCAGGTCCGGCCAGTGAAGCTGCAGTCCTCGTAAGGGCAGTGTTGCATACCAGAAGAGGATCCTTGAGTCAAACGACGTTGTGGCGCTCGTGGAGGCTTGATGGTTTGCTTGACAAGGTCTGCGAGTGCCAATCTGTCGGTTTCAGAAAGAACAACGACTGGGCTCCCGTTTGTGCCATCCTGTTGTGATTGCTCGCCCAAAACCCGAAGCAGAATATCTTCGAGATTAGCTTTTGAGAGCTTCTCGAGAGCCTGTCGCTGTTGTTGTTGTTGTTGTTGTTGTTGTTGTTGTTGTTGTTGTTGTTGTTGTTGTTGTTGTTGTTGTTGTTGTTGTTGTTGTTGTTGTTGTTGTTGTTCGGCCTTGGTTTGCGCCGTATTCGATAGTTGAAGGGGCAATGTCGTGTTTCCATTGTGCTTAGAAACTTGCGCTGAAGTTGGCTTTGTGATTGCGCCAACGGATGATACACAGAAAGACTTCTGGCAACCGGATTGTTCCTCTGGTAGACTCCCTGTTGGTTGTGAGAAGCTTTGACCCGTGGAAGCATTGCCACCAGTACGGTTGAAGGAACCCGTGCTACACTGTGACATTGCTACACCAAGAGGATTCGTGCTGGGAGAAACCTGGGAAGCGCTGGAGCTCGAGCGCCCACTGATCGACATGAACTGCGGGTACTCGAAGCTTTGTGGATTTGTGGAGAATGTGGTGTCATCAGGGCCTTCAATGGCTAAAGCAGACTCGGATCCCATGCCTGCGAGCAAGTGCGATGGGTCGACGGACAACGGTTGCACCACAGTCTGTGGCTCCTGAGGATAGAACTTCGAGCTGTAGCAGTCAGTATCGGGTTAGGCACCGATAGAGCAAAAGATAACTTACCGTTTGATCAGCTCGAACATGTCTTCTTCTTTGTGCATTCTTTCGATGTGCTGCTTGAAGTTATCCAAACGCGGCCATATCTTGGTCTTGTTGGTACAGCTTCCGGCCGCGCATTGCCATGACTTTGAGTTGGTCAAGCCAATCTTGTGTACGCTCTTCTTGTGACGATCAAGATCATTAACAGTTGAAAAGCCGTTACTGCCCCTCTTGCACCCAGGTATGTTGCAGATGAAATCTTTGACGTGCTTGAGCATGTGCTTCCTACTCAACTGTTAGTGCTTTAGCTCTGAAGAACGAGATCGCACTTATGCATACTTATGCTCAGATTGACATTTCAAGACCATGGAGCAGCCTGGTTCTGAACAGGGAAACTGTTGCTTTTGATGGCTACTGCGATTGCTGTACTGTGACATGGACCTCTGATCCGATGCTATGCGTACCATAGCCTGCAACTCACTATTCTCAGACCCGACGTTCAGGTTCCTGGCGTGGGTCATGATGTCCGGGGGCAATTCTTGATGAACGTGACCGGGTTCGTTACTCAGAACTGACCGAGTCTGCTGCGTGCAGTAGCCAGAGTCGGACGCCGGAACATTACTACCAATGTCTGAACAGGGTCCTTGACGATATTGGCTATAGCTCTCCTGGGTATGATGGAAGTTGCTCCGACTTGGGTCCTCTTGAGGGTTTCTCATACCCATTTCAAGGGCGCTCCATGGCGGGTCGTCCTGGTGGTAGAAGCGAGCTATTGGATTCGCAATTGGCTCTGGGATGTGCTGGGCTGTAGGACTTGATCGAGGTCCTGGTGGTAACAGATATGGATGAGGGACCTGCAATCTTGGGTCGATGTTCCCATGTTGCTGACAGGCCTTCCTTGGTTGCTGAACACTTATTTGATTCACAGTTCCTGTTGGCACAGTCCAGTTGGTCCGAATAGTGTTAGTCGGGCTGGGTGCAGTAGGTATCACGGTTCTTGGGCCTGCGGACATCCATTGTTGGGAATAGATATCATTGAACTGGTACGGTCGGCTTTCGTATATCTATCTCAGTCATTCTCTGGTCAAGCACCTATCGGGAACTGTACGTACAGCTTCGTCAACGTAACTGAAGTTGATCGTTGGATTCACCCTATTATGTCGAGACATTGTTGCTTCCGCAAGTCAGCACGTTGCCTTTGGACCACACCATATCCGCGTCTTCACTCTGTTACACAGCGTGAAGACTAACCCAGTAAGGGGAAAGGGACGAATGGAAGAAGTAAATTTGATGGAAGGCAATACGTGAGATCTGAAACACTCAAGACCTACCGATGCTCAGCAGCGCTCAGCTGCAGCCTGACGCCTTCTCATCCGCCTTCGCAGGTGGTTTCAAATAAAAGTCACAGAGCGTCCAGTGTGCGCACAGTAGCATTAGTATACGTCTGGCTGCAGTTCACCGCCCTGTAGATGGATCGCATAGAAGAGCCGCAGCCGCGCCCTCCAGTTTTGTGTCCCAGTGCACGGACAGCCGGTGAAGGATCGGGAAAGGCGGGCGGACTCGAGGAGCGTCACCGTCGTCGAGCTCTCACCGCGAACCAATACTAACGAGGTTGCAAGGTAGTGAAACTGCTTTCAAGAGACAGCGAAAGGGACAGAGGGATCTCGTCGCAGATGCGATGACATGGTGAGGGCGTCGTGGGCGGCCGCAGGGCACAGGGAGGGCAAATGTTTGCCTGAATTTGAGGGTGGTTCGGCTGCCAAGAGAGTCCTCCATCAGCACTGCCACACGATGTCACAGAGGTCCTTCAAAGTGACGCACCAATCATCACCTGCGGCCTGAGTTTTGAGTTGCGCCGGAGGGCAACTTAGTGCGTGGCTTGCTGACTCTGTGCAGTGGTCGCATTTTCTGCATCGAGTCTCTGGCTGCACGATCGACAAATGTGCACCTTGACGGCTCACGATGTCTGATGGCGTTGTACCCTTGGAGTGCTAATGGGAACAGCGAATGTTACGATTTGTGACAGCCGTGGAGTGGTCCAGGGTGCGCAAATCGTGAGGGATGACCCTTCGATGGTGAGCTTTCAGCCTTGCTCCTGCAGGTACTCCAACAGCGGCAGGGGCCTTGTTACATAGTACTGGGCTACACCGACTAATTTGTCTCATTAGTTTCCAGCAATGATTTACAGAAGGATGTCAAAATCGGGTGATGCTCTCTGGAGCGAGCGTTAGGGTTGATAAGTTCAACGACCGCGACCAACTCCTTGCTGCTGTCGAATTTGCTGTATGCGCCACCGCAGGTGTATATACCAATCCGACGGGGGACTCTCCTGTAGTTTCGGGTTTCAGAGTAAAATCTTTGACTACATCTCAAGGGAGCCAGGAGGTCCTCGTTCTATTTCTGCTCTGTTAAAGTTCTCTCTCACCATCCTTGGATATCAACAAACCCTGTGAACACGCTCTCATTCCTGGCCCTGCTTGCCCCACATCCCATCTCTGTCCCTCCTCATCATACTCTCTTTGCCGCAACCCTCCCCAATCTACTCGTCTCGACATACCACCCAAACCACGCCAGCCCTACAACCACCGGAAACGCATAAAGCTGGGGCTTCCCATCACCAAACTGGGGATCCATCCAGCCCGCGCCCGGATACAAGATACCCGTCAGACTACTCAGATAGACCAAATTCTGCAGCACCAGCACCCACGTAACGTGCAGCTTCTGCTCTTTCGGCGACGGAGTAGATGGGATGAGGAAGTAGATGATGTAGAAGGTTATTAGGCCGATGAAGAGGCCTATGGACATTGTTTGCCTGATTCAGGTCAGAAGGTGAGGATTTGACGGGGTGAGGGGTGAGGGGTGAGGAAGTACCCATTGTGGTAGCGTGCGTGGGGTGGCCAGTTGGGGTTGTAGATGTGTGTTTCGCTTGGGAGTGTTAGTATCGCAACATAGTGCTCTGGAGGTAGTTCATACTTCCAGTCAGCCAGAAACGGCCCTATGAGGGTGATGAGATTCACGACCGATATGATCAATTTTCCGATTGTGAATGTGGGTGTCGTCGTTGACATGTTGAGCAATTGACACAGAAGACAAGGCCTGATGTGGTCCTGGAGGCAGTGTGGCAGTCAATGGCTCCAAGATGTGCGCAGGCTGTATATTTGGCGTTCGGTGTTCGCCCTCTACCCGTTCCGAGATGCATGTATGACGTATTACAATTCAGTTTCACAGCATCGCGAGTCTCCGAGCGCATTTTCGTGGGCGCCGACGGCATCGAAGAACAGTGAGTTGTTGAACATCTTTGGTGAGGATCTCCAACCCAAGAACCGTGCTTTGCGTGCACAAACACCAATGCTTGAACAAACAGTTGATTCACTTTGAACATATGCAGCGAGTGATATGAAGAATGTGATTGGGTTGGGAAACAGAACATAGTCATCGTGATGGCTGGAGGTATGCAACACATCAGGACCCAAAGCGAGGAGTAGTAGATATTGAGGCGGAGATGACCTGACCGCATGCAAAAATGCCGATAGATGAGGGTATGATATGCATCGCTTCCTTCCTTTCGCAAAGGCCAACACGCCGGATGCCTCCACAGATGCAGGTAAATCGAAAAGGAACGCCGGGCGCCGCTTGCCAAAGAGTTGGTGCAATGCCGTCAAAACGCAAACAAACAGGTCATGTACAACAAATCGAAGAACTTGCTCATCATCGTCCAAACAAGCCACCGCCTACACTCATACCAAGGCCGCTACGCTGCGTCAATGGTGCTCTTGCGCCAGGCGGACCAGGGGGCATGGCGGGTGAGCCCGACGTGACGCCCCAGCGTTGTGTTGGGGGCTCATGCAGCTGAGGTTCGGCGTGGTGTGCAGCCGGACTTGACAAGATACTGTATGCCTCCCGGCCTAGAACCCCCATGTTGCGCGGGTGCGAACCTGGTGTATCGGTGTACGCTGTGTATTCTGTCGGCGGTCGTTTCATCTGCATGACCGGTGATTCTGACTCGCCTATCCGACCGTTCGTGTTATGTGCGTTGGATGATGGAGGGTTCGAATTTGCTTCGATTGTTGATGCAGAGCCATTAGGCGCATTGAGGTCGACGATGCGTCTTTGCCCTGCTGGTGTCTGATAGCTGGGTACGCGTGATGGCCCTGGGGCAAAGCGAGACTCTTGCTGTGAGCGGGTCTCCTGATGCGAAGGATGTCTTGGGTTCGCCCACGGTGTGCTCTCGAGGAACTCGCTCTCTGCAGCTACTTCGTCTGCTGTGGTCCTCTGATTATAAGTGCGGAACGATGGTGGCGGCGCTGGTAATGCGGGACGTGTTGCGATCTGCAGCGTCGAATCAGCCGCCATCCTTCTAACAGAGACGTTCATCAACATACCTTCATTGCTCGAAGATCCTCGTCGATCTCGGTAGGCCGTGCCGCACTGATGTCTGGCGCAGCTGGGAAGCCAACATACTTGGCCACACCAGACAAGATGGAAACCTCGAGGTTATATGCCGTCTGGTGTCTTATCTGATCGGAGCGCTTCTCTGGAAGCTTGATCATGTATTCAGTCTCGTCGCAGCCTAGCGATCGCCTGCCACGCTGTAGCTCAAAGACACGCTGGTTGCACTCTTCCAAAACGTCCTCTCGCAGCTGTCTCACTGTCTGGAAATATTGGCTGTGCATCTGATGCCTCGTAGCGGCAGTAATGGTCACCAAATTGTCCTGCTTCAGCTCGAGCAGTGTTCTTTCGTAGTCAATCTTCTCCGCTCTTCGGTCGTCTATGCACTTGATCATTGCAAGGTACTCGGGGTGTTGGCAGTTGGGTTGCTTGAGCATTTCGAGCTCTCGTTCGTATTGTGCAATTTGCTCGTCGCAAAGCCTGTCACAGTCAGCAATCGTTGCCTGGGGTCGGCTGCTGAAGAAGCTTACTTCTCGCGGAAGAGCTTGAACTTCTTCTCGATCTTTGCAAGCTCGTCAATTGCACTTTTCTTCTTAGCAACTATGATATATCGTCAGCGATCGTTCATCACAACAGAGTGTGTGACTCTCTCACCTTCTTCATCAAGTACTGCGCTATCCTCTTCGTTGTCGTCGCCCTCGATATCACCATCAACGGTCTCGGCTGTCGCGAGAGCTTCCGTGTAAGCGTAGGTGGAGTCCTCAGCTTTTCGCTTCCCTCTTCTGCCACCCTTACGGGGTTTCGTGTGCTTCGCAACCGTAGCAAGCTCGCTTACAGCTTCGGCCGCAAGGTTGGCCTGCCTCTCTTCGAGATCGATTTCCTCCCTGGCAATATCGTCCAGACGCTCCTCAGCATGATCTAGCTCCTCTTCTGCGTCGACTCGCTCAGAGCTCTCGATGATATCCTCTGTTGTGCCGTTGTATGCCGCGACCTTTGCAGACGCGCTGCGTTTTCGTGCGGGCTCGTCGTCCTGATCGTCGATAGGCGTGCCCCGAGCGCTCATCCGCTTTCTCTTCTTTCCTGCCAACTCGAGGCTCGCAGCTTCTGAAGCAGCTGCTAAGGACAGGGCATGCAATGGGTCCTGGGGCTCGTCTGCGTCTTCCATGGTCTCATCTTCGGCGACGTCTGAGGGCGTAGGTGGGGCAGACTCATCGTGTTCTATCGTTTTAGAATGCATCAGCTTGCTGGGTGTTCGTGTGTACAGAGCTTCCGAAGCTAATGACGTATCCGTCACGGTGCGCATGAGCTTTCGTGGTGTCTCTTCCAATCGCTCCGTCTCGGCCTCCGAGTCATTCTCGTTGAGCTCCGCCGTTGCGGTAGGTCGTGGTGTGGGTTGCTCAGACTCGACATCAGATGCGTCTCCGAGCTCGCTGAGGCTACTCGAGCGGTCATCGGCATGGTCGTCGAAGCCACCCAGAACCTCGGCAGCGGCGATTGGATCAGTTATGATCATGGTAGGTGCTGGTACCGCTGAGATTATCGTCGCAGCAGCTGTCGAAGGCCCTGGGCGAGTTACTGGAGAAAGCTCCTCGACCTCAGGTCGGCGTGTGGGGGTAGTCGCGGGCGAAGGTTGTCGTCGCTCGTCCTTCTCCACTGTTGCTCTTGGAGCACTGTCTATGTGACTCGTCGCGCTGCCGTTCGTCGTATCGTCGTTGGTAGTGGTGGGCGCCGTTGTTGATGCGCCCATCGTGGCTCCATTGTGGGCGCTCATAGCACCTAATGCGCCCGGGCGGGGGTACGTCAACTCGCCGCCAATGTGGTGTATACAGTATCTAGCCTCGTTATCGGAGGTCTGCGACGCACAGGGAGCGCGCTGGAAGGTGGAGGGCGCTGGGCGCGGTGCAGGCTCAAAACCGCTACGGCCGCCGAGGGGGACCCAGACGTCAAGGGCAGTTTTTGGGACAGTGCGGGCAGATGCAGAGTTCCCACAGCTGTAAAGGGCGTAGTAAGATCTGGAGATAAGGGCAGCGCTTTCTGAAGCATATGAAGTGTAAGTGTGCAGCGGAGTGCAGCTTGAGGGTCACCGCAGCGGGCAGCCAGTGCAATCGATCATCCGCGAACAGGGCTGCCGACTGCACTGGGGCAGACCGCCAAATATTCTGCCACACTCTCATTGGTTCAGATGTCAGGGCCCTTCGAGTATCCACTGAAACTTTCTGCTTGTGATTGCTGCTTGTACGCAAATATATCACCATCAATCGACACCATGGCCAAGTCAAAGGCTAAGCAAACGAAAGAAGCCAAGACGGCGAAGCCATCCATCACAGCGATCAAGACAGCGTTCGACCCCACCTTGAGTTCGCTGTTTGCAAGCAGTGTACGTGCGGAACTTTTCCGGATACATGAAATTCAAGACAATCGGCTAATTGCATATACAGTTGGGTCCAGTACAGGCACCTCCAAAGCAGCGATATGAGCAGAAGCTAGAAAGGCGCGCGAAGGCGCCAGTTGAAGAGTCAAATGAGGAGGAGGAGGAGGAGGAGGAGGAAGAGAGCGACGACGAGGCAGTTGCTGAAGAGGAGGATGAGTCCAGCGATGAAGAGGCAGACAGCGACGAGGAGCCCTCCGAAGAATCAGACAATGAGGCAGAACTGGCTAAGCTGCGCGAAGCAGCTCTAGCTGGCGAGCACGACAAGCCCAACAAGAAGCGCAAGCGGGGCGGCCAGGAAGAAGTTGAGGACAAGTTCATGCGCAAGCTAGCGCGCGAAGAGGAGAAGGAAGAGGAGGAGAGGCAGAAGAAGCGCAAGACAACGGCAGCAGCGGGTGAGAACGAGGATGAGGACATGGAGGATGTATCAGAAGCGCAAGACGCGGCAGACGCAGCAGAGGAAGATGGGGAGAAGTTTGAGATTCCACAGCACGAGTCTCTGGCTAAGACAGACGGCAAGTCCGACGAGGAGCTCGAGAAGGCCGCCCGCACAGTGTTCCTCAGCAACGTATCGGTCGACTGCATCAACTCAAAATCAGCAGAGAAGGCGCTCAAGAAGCACCTGGAGTCCTTCATCGCAGACCTGGCCGACAACAACCCTCCCCACAAGATCGAGTCAATCCGTTTCCGCTCCACAGCGTTCTCTAGCTCTCTGCCCAAACGCGCCGCTTTCGCAAAGAAGGAGACTATGGAGGCAACCACAAAGTCCACAAACGCCTACGCTGTATATACAACCAAGACGGCCGCCCGCGAAGCTGTCAAGCGTCTAAACGGCTCCGTCCTGCTCAACCGCCACCTGCACGTCGACTGGCTTGCGCATCCAACCAAGGTCGACAACCGACGCTGCGTATTCGTCGGCAACCTTCCCTTCGTTGACGACGAGAGCAAAGGTACTGAGCCAGAGGAAGGCAAGAAGAAGAAGACCCCCGCAGACATCGAAGAGGGTCTCTGGCAACAATTTGGCAAGTGCGGCAAGATTGAGAATGTGCGTGTCATCCGTGATGCGCAAACTCGCATTGGCAAAGGCTTCGCCTACGTACAATTTACAGACGAAAACGGCGTCGAAGCAGCTCTGCAACTCAACGAGAAGAAGTTCCCGCCCATGCTCCCTCGCATCCTCCGCGTTACACGATGCAGAGCAGAGAAGAAGAAGGACAAGCCTCGGGGTCCTGCACCTTCTTCAGAGCGGGCAGGGAAGAAGGGAGCCTACCAGAAGAAGTTCTCTGCGGAGGAGAAGTCTCAGCAGGGTCGTGCAAAGGCCATGCTGGGCAAGGGTGGTGCGGCGAAGGTCAGGGAGAGCTTCACGTTCGAGGGTCACCGTGCGACTGAGGGGCAGGGTAAGAGCGGGCTTAAGTTCAAGGGAGCGAGTAAGAACAAGAAAGGACCGAACGGGAGGAAGAGTAGGAGTTCGGCGTGGAAATCCGGCGGGAAGAAGTAGACGTATCGAAGATAGGCGCGGCTGTTGCAATCAGTAGCGGAAGTCATAACTATTGTGTGGCTATCCCTTAAAATCGAGAATGCTAGATTCAAGCATGCGATCGCGATTTCAGAACTATTCTTGGTGGAACATTGTGTTGAAGACCTCCAGGGTCCAGCATGGAGAAGCAGGAATTCTTGATAATGAACCTCAACTTTGAGAGCCTTGAAAGCAGCACGTTTCGCTCCAATGGGGTGGTTCGAGACGCTACGCATACGGCCCGGTTCTAGGCTCCTCAAACGCACAAGATGGCACTGTTCGAAGCGATATGAAAGATGTCGTGATGTTAAGCAGATCAATTCTTGGATCACAGGCCATTGCCCCTACATTCTCTCCAGTCTTACCTCGGTGGTGCCAGTTATTTGAATACCTCCAGGATACCCTCTTCGCCAAACTAATGCACCGCAAAACTGAAGCTTCGCAGTCGCTGTGTTCTTAACAACAATGAGCGGACGAAGGATTATGCATCTTTAATATAGCTGTGTTGCAGATGACCGAGATCACTCCGTACGTTGGGCAGCAAGGGTTGGGAACACCGTACACTGCCCATACGACGACATTTTCGCAAAGCAGGGTATTGGTGAGTCTCTGAGAAATCCAAACTCCAAGATCGAGCCCGTCACCTGTGAAACAAAGGAAAGCTTGACAAGCATGGGATGGCAGCACGTTGACGTCGTAAATTGTGGAGCTAGATGCAGGCCGGCGATGGCCAGTGCGACTCTCAGCCGCTGGGTTGAACGTCGATGCAAGTGTCTCATCTTCGTGGCTGCACAGCACGAGCGTTCTCCCCACACGTTTGTTTGGTCTTACTCCGCCAAACAATCGCCTTAATAGCAGTTCTGCGCATCTGCCTTCCCCCAGTGCGGCTCGACTTCACGCAAGCCTCGGCCAGCTTACCCCTGCCAGCCCCTCGAGGTACCCCAAAGCTCATGCGCCTCACAGCCATCCATCGTCATCCGCACACTATCTAAACACACACATACTCGCGAAGAAGGTGCGCCGCACCGCCAAACGTCACAATGGTGTTCCTCGGCATATACCGCGCACTCTACGACTATGTGCCCCAGAGCGACAACGAGATTGCGCTGACTGAGGGCGACATGCTGATGGTTCTGGAGAAGTCGGCTGACGACGACTGGTGGAAGGCCAAGAAGAAGGGCCACGATGAAGAGGAGGAAGAGCCTGAGGGTCTAATTCCAAACAACTACATCGAGGAGGTATGTCGCAAACATGGGTTCAGCCCAGCACACTTCAGATCAGCCATTGACGATGCTTAACTAGGCCGATCCCGTCTCGCAAGCCAAAGCTCTCTATGACTACACCCGCCAAACAGACGAGGAGCTGTCGTTCCAGGAAGACGCCATACTCGACGTATACGATATCTCAGATCCCGACTGGTCCCTCGTGGGCTTCGGCGGCGACTACGGATTCGCTCCAGCAAACTACATTGAGCTTATCAAAGGTGGAGCGCCGCCAGCAGCGGCTGCAGCAGCGGCTGCACCAGCAGTCACATCGCCAGGGCTGCCTCCACGCCGTCCCGCAGCTCCTGGATCAGACGACGAGCAGGGCCCTCCAACACCAGACAGCCCGCCACACCAAAGCCCCGCTGCTGCTCTTGCGGGTATCATCCAAAAGAAGTCTGAGCAGACAGCTCCGAGCTCGGCAATCTCTCCTCCACCGAACGTAAGCGCAGCTCCTCGAAAGCGTGTGCAGTTCACTCCCGAAGAATCCGACGAGGAAGCGCCACCACCTCGCCTGCCGAACCGCCCTCCCTCGCAGTCGTTCTCACCGGACCCACAACATGCCTCTGCACGCTCTCCTTCACCTGATCGAATCAGGTCGCCTCCGGCTCGCAGCGTTACCTTCGATGCGTACGATCCACCACCTCGAGACAATGGGCCCAGTACACCGCACTCCGGCTCTGGCTACCATCTGTACAATATCTATGAGTACTTGACTCAGCCCGGAAAGAACAAGAAGATGCCTGTTACATTGGGGATCAACATTCCTCGGGGCATGATCATGATTGCGCCTGAGAAGGCGCGCGACGGAGCGCAGGAGGAATGGTCAGCGGACAAGATGGAGTACTATTCGCAGGAGGGAAAGCATATCTTCATGGAGCTAAAGCAGCCTAGCAAGAGCGTGGACTTCCACTGCGGAGCCAAGGACACTGCGACAGAGATCATGTCAGCTCTTGGGGAGCTGGCAGGTGCTGCCAAGGGTGCTGGTCTGCGTGAGGTGCTTGCCGCAGGCTCTGGCCATTCGAACGTGCAGAAGAAGGGCGTCATGCTCTTCGACTTCATGGCTCAGGGCGACGACGAGGTTACCGTTGGTCTAGGCGATGAGATTCTGATCCTCGACGATTCTGCCAGCGACGAATGGTGGAAGGTTCGGCGACTGAAGAATGGCAAGGAGGGTGTTGTTCCTGCTAATTATGTCGAGATCACAGAGACCGTTCCCGTTTCTACTCCAGCAGGTATCGCACGATCCGGAACGAACGCTGGGCGATCGGTCGTAGATCAGAACAGGCGGGAGGAAGAGGAGATGGCTCGTCAAACTTCGAGACGAGACAGGCCAAAGAGTGATGCACGAAGTGATCAGGTAGGACCTGGTCTGCCTTTACCCGCCCGTGGTTCTAGTCTTCTGCAAACAAGCTCTGACCATCGTCGTACTTCACAGAGATCAAGCATGCGCGATAGCTCCGCGAGAGACTCGAAATCGTCGTCGTCTAAGTCATCGTCGTCGAAATCTTCCTCCAAGCCGAGTAAGTGGCTTCTTAACATCACTTGTGCTTTGCTAATCATTCTTCAGATCCTGCAAAGCTGCGTACGTGGACCGATCGATCGGGCTCATTCAAGGTCGAAGCCGAGTTCATTCTCCTTAAAGAAGGCAAAATCCATCTGCATAAAGTCAATGGCGTGAAGATTGCTGTGCCGGTCACGAAGATGTCCGTTGAGGACTTGGAGTACATTGAGAACGTCACGGGCGAGTCGTTAGATGACGACAAACCGCTTTCTGAGATCAAGAGGAGAAGCACAATTCGCACGAATGAAAGAGCTGGCACTTCATCTCCTGGGATATCAGTTCAAAAGAAGCCAAGCTATGACTGGTTTGATTTCTTCTTGAAGTGCGGTGTAAACCCTCAGATTTGCGAGCGCTATGCGCAAGCTTTCGAAAAGGACCAGATGGGCGAAGAAAACCTACCAGATATCACACCTGCGCTTCTTCGTACACTGGGATTGAAGGAAGGCGATATCCTTCGCGTTACAAAACACTTGGATAGCCAGTTCAGCCGCAGCGCTGGTGAAGCTAGCGCAGAGAGTGGTACTGGAGGCCTCTTCTCTGGTCCAGGCGGCACACTGCGAAACAACACTCGGAAGGGACGCCCGGCTCCGCCCGTGGAGACGAACAACGAGATCGATCCGAAGGCATTTGAGCAGAAGTCGGATGAGGCGGTCAAGAAGCCAGCAGATGCGACGAAAACGCCTTTGGCATCTGCCCCGGTCCCAGAGAAGAAGTTTGAGGGAGCTAATGGATTCGACGATAACGCATGGGATGTCAAGCCCACAAAATCGACCCCAGCAGCGCCAGCACCCGCAGCGTCACCACCTCCCGCCCAGACAGCACCACCCGCACCGAAACCACCTGCCCTTACAGGCTCTATGAACGATCTTTCTTTGCTGGACATGCCCGCACTCAAGCCAGAAGAGCTGCCAAAGGCACCAGAGCCCACTCCTGCGCCAGCGCCAGCTCTGGCGCCTGCACCCGCTCCTGCTCAACAACCACAGCCAACAGGAGCCACAATGTCTCTGTTCGACCAAGTAGCCGCCATCAAGGCGATGACACAGCCCCAGAGCATGGCACCACCACGAATGCGGCCACAGGCACCTCAACAGACAGGGCCTGGTGGGCTCATCGCACCTCCACCTCAGCGATCCTCTTCTGCGCCACAGAACCCGCAACAGAACAGCGCTTTCGGTCCTCCGCCAGCGCTCATGCCCCAACTTACTGGCTACCAAGGCAACCAGAACATGCCCCAGATGGCTCCTCCTGGGCAGAGCTTGAACGATCAGCAGAACATGCTGAACATGCAACGAATGCAACAGCAGATGACGGGCTTCCCACAACAGAACCCTGGCTTCAACAACTTCCAGCAGAACGGACTCATGCCCCAGCCGACCGGCTTTCAACAACCGCAGAATGGCTTCGCCTCATTCCAGCAACCACAGCCGACAGGTTTCCAACAGCCAATGCAGACTGGGTTTGGCCAACAGGGTTTCCAGCAAGGCTTCGGCAACGGCAGCCCGTTCGCAGACCCACCACGGGCGCCGTTTCAACCCCAGCCCACTGGCTACAACAGCTTCCAGCCATCGCCGCTTAACCCCCAGGCTACAAGCATCAACCAGTTCCTTCCACCTGCTATTCAGCCTCAGCCGACTGGCTTCGGACAGAGCCCACCTCCTATGCCGCCAATGCCACCGATGCCCTCGATGCCTACAGCCCAGCCGTTGGTGCCGCAGAAGACTGGTCCTGCTCCTGCCATCCGATTCGGAGTACAGCCGGCAAAGAAGTTGGCACCGCAGCCAACGGGCAAGGCCAGTCTCGCCAATGCTAGTAAGTCAATTCCATCCTGCGCCTCTTTGATGCCAAGCTAACCACTGTATAGCTCCTCAAAACCCCTTCGGCTTCTGATCTAGTGGTCACCTCTTGTTTGAAACTTGGCTTGGATTGTCAGGCATCTCCCATTGTGCATCCGCATGTATATAATTCGACCTTGATCTTGGCTTGCTTTGCGAGGGAAAGTGGCATAGCAGGACCATACCATATTGTTTTATCCGAATCGGCATTCGCTCATATTGCGTTGATGTTGTCTGTTGTATGTTCGTAGATTTGTTGTAATTTGCGTTTGGGTTCGAGAGCGAGTGTCTTGGGGCTGAGCTTGATATTTGGAAAACGATAGCATGGGGCTGAAGCAGCACGAGCTGCGAGCACAATCAGACCTTTTCCATCTGAAAACCATGCAGTCGCTACTACCCGCAACTAAACTCTGGCGATGACTGTCATGACCTCTGGAGGCTGTCAGACATGAACGCATTGATGGTTTCGCGGATCAAGCAATGTGTGACAGCCAGACAGCTCCAGTGCCTTTCACCCGTGCACCACCAAGCTTTTGCCAAGTGGAGCTTAGCAACGCATCGGTGGAGTCTCAGTGGCTGAACCGTGCTGCGCGATCCATCAAATTTCTGGCTGACGAAGCGTCTGCGCCGCAAACGTCGAGTCTCCCTCTCCCACAAGCGCACTTCCCTGCGCCTCAACAACCTTGCATGGCTACTCCTAGAGCCCTGCGGAGCTTCCTCGCACGAGCCGGCGAAGAATTTGAGAACCGCAAGCCACAACGCTGGCACAGCGACAGCTGACGAATACCGTCAAGCCCGGGTTATTCGCGCCAATTGCAATGGGGCTAAGCGCAAGGATGGAGGTGTGGCTAATGCGATGTACCCAATGTGACCAGCCCTGGAGCGAAAGGCCAGATGATGCGCGTTCTCCGCTCCGCACCGGTGGCAGCTTGAGCGATCGTCTTTAAAGCCCGCAGAGCTGCCTCCTGATCCACTTGTTTCCTCTTAAGCTCATCTCTCAAACCTCACCACTCCCATCGCGACTTCCAACTGTTGCGCACATCTACCGAGATACCTTCGACTCGCTTCGCTCGTGCACCACGATTGCCCCCCCCCCTAAGCTTTTCCCCAGCATTTGAAAAGCTTGGCTACCGGAGCTCTTCCCGCGTTCCTGTGCTATTGCATTACCATCTGATCGCGGATCCAACGAACGCGGCGCATTCATATCACGAAGTGAAGCTTGACGTCAACAAGCCCTTGCGATAACTTTCGAGTCTTTCGTCGCAACCCTCAGACATTACTTCTCTTCGAACGAGTAATCGAGCAATACATTCACAATGTCGGCGCAAGGATACTACAACAACGGGCCTGCTCCCCAGTACCCGCAACAGGCGTAAGACATCAGCCCCTGCCCATTGAGGTAGAAATGCAACTGACGATTATCAGGTACGGACCACCGCAGGGCCAGTACCAGCAACAACCGATGCAGTACCAACAAGGACCTCCTATGGGATATCAGCCGCCGATGGGGTACCAGCAACAGGGCCCTCCCCCTAAAGCCAAGAAAGATCGAGGCTGCCTCGCCAGCTGTCTGGCAGTACTCTGCTGTTGTTTCGTGTGCGAGGAGGGATGTGAGTGCTGTCTCGAATGCTGCGAGTGTGCCGAGGACTGCTGTTAAGCATCATAAGCCACGAAGACGGATCCGGGTGAGGTTGAGACAAGACTGGAGCGTGGAAGTCGTCAAAGGGCTGAACGGCCAGACTAGCACGCACGGAGATGTGCACGATGTTTGATTTTCTATGTTTCATTCTAGGTTAGGAGCGAACATACCTGACATTCGTGTCTTTTTCCTTATCATGACGTTGTATACATTATTTGATTCGAGTTCAGCTCTCACACCTGTTTCTTCTGTTGATGCTGTGAAGCTCCCACGTCCAGGAAATCGGCAGAGAGCATGCAATTGTGCGATTTACAGGTGAATCTCAAACACATATCAGCTTATTGCTTGCTGGCAAATGTACGCTTTAACTACAACATGCTGTGACCTGCATACTACTGAAGGTCTCCAGCCCCAGGCTATCTCAAGATCGCGTCGTAGGCACTTCCCAGCTCATACTCGACAACAATACCACTCCCAGTGTCCTTGCTTAGATCGCCCCTCACCAAAACACGTTGTGCAGCATCGGGTTGTTACGATCCTACGTTAGGTCTGTACCGATGACCTTGGTTGATCTTGTTCTGTGTCCAATAGTCGGTTGTTGGACGTTTATGGGTACGGGTACGCGGGTCGTCGCACAATTCCTGATGGAGCTCATATAGCTGTACGTCCAGATTGATTGCAACGTTGATGAGCTCGTCGAGCGTCTCGGTGCTGGCGCCAGTACGCATGAGTTCTTCTTTGACCTTAGGTTTGAGGCCTTGACGGAACATGGTCATCAACGCAGTGTCGTCCCCATCGGTATTGGCTGCGAGCAGTTGAAACTCTGCGGCGTAATCGGCGGCTGACTTGTCTTGACGGATGCGCTGGATGTTGCGACGTGCCATCGTAGGTTCGTTGGAGACTCCGAAAATAGGTCTGATCTTTTCTTTGAATAGGTCGAAGTCAGACATCCAAGCGTCGACGTCGTCGGGCGCGTCTCCTTGGTTGAACTGTTGAACGAACGGTTTGATCCACTTGAACGCGGAGCCTCTCATATAGCTGGCTACAAGAGTGACGCGCTTGTCCGCGGGAACCTTTTCTCCCTGGAAGAGAAAGAAGAGGTCCCAGTGCATGAGCCAGTCGTCAAGCTTAGCGCGATCTCCATAGTAGTCATCGGACTTATTCACATTCATGACATTGGTGGCGTCGAGCGTGCTCGAGGTAGAGCTGCTGGGAGTAGCACTGGTTCCTGATACTTTACTCATCTTGTGGGTGTTCAAAATGTTGAGGTCGTGTCTTAAGCAAAGCTCGTAGGCACTAGTCGGGTTGGTTCTCAGGGATGAGTGTAGCGTGAAGGGAACAAGGGGTTGATCACTTAAGCGATGCTTGGAGCGATCAGGGGTAGACGTCTAGTCAAAGACCGTGACGGCTGGGGGCAATGAGTAGTACAGAGTAGACTGTCTGGCTAGAGAGCGGTTGAGATTCCAATAACAAAGTTGATTGACAAGGTTGAACGCGAACCATAAGAGTTGTGTTCCTACGTGCTTATATACAGTCCACCAGATCTGCTCGTTGACGAGCAGATTCGGTCCTGGCCTATCCGGATGGATTGCGCCTCGTTGACGAGCATGGTACGATGCTCGTTGACGAGCTCGTCACGTGAGTCTGCCTGAACCCATTAGGCGCCGGCCGGGCGGCCTTGTCGTGCTGCGCCTCCCCCCAGACTTCCATGTATGGTTGGTGGTTACTTATTGCTTCTGCCGTCCTATCGCAGGACGTAGGATCGTAACACTGGTTGACGCGAATGTCTTCATTTGTCACCGATCTTCTCCATCTCCTCGTCAGCCCAGCAGACAACATGCTTACAATGTCTTCGTTCAGAGAGAGGTTATTGTCGGTCAAGAATGTATATGGGGTCTTTGATCTCCTTCAGAAAGGGGGGGGGGGGGGTGGAGGGGCACACCTTCATTGAGCTTTGGCACAAACTATGCTATAGATTGGACACGGATGTAGAACGAGGTATTGTCAAATGCCCCATCAACGATGACAAGAACCACAGGTTGGTTTAGGGGGGGGAGGGGGGCCTGGGATGCTTTTGACGACGGATATGAGGTTCTGGGAAAGAATCTGATGGTATGGTGTCAATCACCAGAAGGCAGTGTGTACATCGACAATCGGAGATGAAAGAGCGGATGAGCGTGGAGCAGGAGGGTGAAGAACAGACTAGCAAAGAGCACGAGAGCCAACAAGCAGAAGAGCAGACAAGCAAGAGAGTAGAAAAGGACGAAAACCAGAAAAGCAGGAGCGCAAAGAAGACGGAAAGCAGAAAAGGAGGAGGAGGAGGAGGAGGAGGAGGAGGGAATGAAAAGCCAGAAAAGAGAGAAGTAAGAATGATCCAAAGTGCAGAAAAGGCATTAGCAGATGCACCACGTTTCAAAATCATGTTCTGAGATTTCATGAGCGGGTAGCCTGGAGGTTGTCGGACTGCTGGCATCTCAGATCCAGACCTGGTGCACAGATGAAGCGACCTTGTTTTCCATGTAAGGGCTCTATCAACTCGCACTTCAGTACGTAAACCTAAACCCCTCCGTCCCCTCCAACACTCTCTTCCCCCTGCTCTGCCTCGCATTCGCCAGGTAGAAGTATATGCTGAAAAGTCCCACCACCCCCATGATCAGGATATGACTGCCAATCGATACCCACACCGCAGTGAGATACCTCGGGCTCTCTTGCTGGCGTACAATGAAGCTTCCAGCGATACCGCCCGCACCATTACACGCCGTCACCGCCGCAGCAGTAAACACCCTTTTCCACTGCCCAACCACATTGTTCGCTTGATACGTCGCCATCGCCGCCCAATTCGCTACGTACGCTCCTGTCGCGAGGTATGTCCCGATGAGGCGGACGGTGACTTGGTCCGTGAATCCGAGCATTGCGAAGCCAGCGATGAGTGTGACGCAGTTGAACGCAATCACGGGGCCACGCAGCTGGAATTTGTCGCCGACGTAGGAGGATAGGATGGCGGGAATCACGGCGTAGTAGTACGGTGGCGCGCTCAAGAGGATGGACTGGCCGGTGTTGAAGCCCATCCCGCCTTGCAGGATGATGGGGAGGAAGTACGACATACTGGTCGAGACGAGGTTTTGCAGGAAGTACAAGATGCAGAAACCGTAAATCTTGATGTCGGAAGCGTGGATGAGGACTTTTTTCCATGTGAACGAGTCCGCGACGCTGTCGCCGCGGTCGTGCTGGATGCGCGCGGATGCTATGTGGGCTTCGGATTCGGAGAGGAAGTGGAAGGAGGTGTGTGAGCGCTCGGGGAAGTCGACCATCCACCAGTACGTCAGGATGCCGAGGAATGCGGTGATGGCGCCTTGCACGACGAACATCCACTGCCACCCCTTCAGTCCGGCGGAGCCGTTGAGTCGGTTCAGGCCGTAGTTTACGATGCTGCCGGTTGCGAGAACGGTGACTTCGCCGCTTTGCATGAGTGCGAAGCGGAGTTGTTGTTCTTTGCGCGTGTACCACACACTCAGTAAATACGTGAGACCCGGGTAGACGCCGGACATTGCGATACCGAGCAGGATTCGTAGCGCGATCATTTGCCGCCAGGTCTGCACGAAAGCAGTGCACAGCGTGATGATGCCGAAGCAGATGGTGATGAAGGAGAACCAGATCCGCGGGCCAAAGGTGCGGACCGCGATTGTGGAGGGCAGTTGGAAGGCGATGCTTGCGATGGTAAAGATGAAGATTGAGACCGAGTAGCGGTTGCCGACGTCGAGTTCGAGGTCGGAGAGCATGGTGGTTACGGAAGCGGAGGATATGACGCCGCTGTCGAGAAGGTTGAGACTGCAGAGGATGCCAGCGATGCTGCATAAACGGAGGTCGACTTTTAGTCTGATGCCATTCCTCCATTTTTCTTCTAGCTCATCTCGGGCTGAGAGGATTGAGGCATCGTCGGCGTCGCGCTGCACTTTGTGGACCGACTCTTCCTTGGACGTTTGGCTGGGTGCTCGTTTCATCATGTTGCTGGTGAAGTTTCTGAGAGTTTGCAATTGAGCGTGGCGGCAGTCGATCCACCGTTTGTGATAAACCTATGTTCCGTCTCTTTACTGCGAGAGTGTCGTCAAGTGCGATTACTGAGTAGCGTTCGATTGTGCTCAAAGGTAGGGTACCACAGCAAGCTTCACAGCCGAATCCACCCCGCGCCGAAGAAGACCGTGAAATCTGTCCTAGGTACTCCCAGTCGCACAAGAAGCAGGAACGGAAGATCATAAGCGGAAGGAATCATCGCGAGGCACATGCATAGAAGTGTATGGAAAACCGCTTATCGATTCCTCAAGAGTGGTGTAGCCGTGCCGTGCCGCCTTGCATGTCCGCTTTGGTAGATCCCGATAGCTGATGCCGAGGTGCCCACATCTGTGAGCACATCAGCATAGTGCCGAATTGGTCATGCCTTATCCAAGCAATTTTCCACCACGGCTTACCAACGCACGATGCAATTCCGCGAAGCCTGTCCACTAGGCGGCCTCGCATACGGCACGACATATACTGGTACATACGTGTGGAGTTTTCCGCTCAATGGATTGTTCATTTCTTCGTAAATGATATAGACAATATATATGGATCGCTAGCTTCCAATCGCATAACGCGCGTAACGCTGCAAGTCGTGACTTGTTATACATGTACAGGGCAAATTCTCATAAAAACCATGGAACGTTGCAAGTGTACTCATAATCCTGGTGAGTCCAATCATCTTCGCTCAATCAGGAATACCCGGGACAGGGGTAGCAGCCTCGATCTTAACTCCAACAGGTGGAGGCTCTAGAGGCTCAGCCTCAGGTTCGTGTACTGGTCGCCTTGGTAGCGGCCTTTCCCTCTCTCTGTCTTCGTAGTAAACAAACTCCTCCGGGCGGCTGTTGTACCTTTGAGGAGGGGGACGCTCATACGTGTACGGCTCGTGGTATGGCTCATAGCTTGCAGGGCCGGGCTGACGGTACTCTCCCATGTACGGACGCGGTTGACGGTAGTCGCCACGTACGCGCACGATTTCGTACTCGGGCTGTCCATATTCATCGTAGTACATCGGCGGCGGGGGTCCACGAGGTTCGTCGTAGCGGTGATAGCGCGGTGGAGAGAAGTGGTGGGCACGATCTTGAATAGATACGTAATCGCGCGGTGCTGGGCGAGCAGGTGGGTAGAAGCGTTCTTCGGGGGGTGCATGGTCGACGCTGTGATCCCGCGAGTAGGCTGGTTCGTATGCGCGGTCTCGTTCTGTGGTGGGCTGAGGTGTCTCTGCTTCGTCGATACGGCGACGCTGCTCCTCGTATCTGCTTCTTTGGGATCGGGTGATGCTTGGTGCGCGGCCGTAGGGATCCTCTCGGGCGGCAACGCTCATGTAGCGGTAGTAGCGAGATGGCATCCGGTGTTCATGATGATGGTCTCTACGGCGCTGAGGGGCAGGCCGGCGGGGAGGACCTACAGAGTCTGGCGTAAGGATGTGGCGGCCATGCGGAGGAGGAGCTTCGTATCGAGACTGATTGGAGACAGTTGACGGTGCCGGCTGTGGTGCTGCAAGCGGCCGAGTTTGACTCTCAGGCTTGCTTGGAGGAGGTGGATTTGGCGGTGGAGGTGTGTAACGAGAGCCATCATCGCCTTCATGAGCTGACACGGAAGGCTTTGAATCCGGCCGCGGGGGTGGAGGAGGTTGCTCTTCGCTTGCAGGAGGCTGCTCGGGGACAAACTCTTCGAGGAAACGATCTGCGGCTGATTGTCCACGCGGTCCACTAGCTTCTCGTGGTCGAGCTTCGGCTGGATAGTGATATTCCGGGCGTTGGCCATCGTCGTCGGCATACCTGACCTGGCGCAAATGAGAGCTGTACTGTCGACTATGGCCTCCTTCATGAGGGCGTGCGTAGAGGATCTCCTCGGGTGGAGGGCCGTAAAAACGGTCGGCCTCTCGGAACCCAGTACGACGTCCAGAGTAATCATCGTAAACAGGAGCTGTGTGAAACATTCGGGGGCTAGGAGCATACTCCACGTACTCTCGAGGCCGTGGATACCCGTCGTCCGGCTGCTCTCTGGCCAACTGATTACAGGCCATTAGCGTATGTCTCGATGACTAGCATCGTGAAGCACTTACATAGTACCTGGGCTCACCATAGTAGCGCTCCCCCCTTTGCTCAGGTGGACTATCGCGGTGTGAACGCTTTTTGCTCCCTGTGGTTGGAGCTTGGTTTGCTCGGTCGGCAGCAGTGGATGGCCGGTCGGGGTTGTACTCGTCTTCTCCGGGTTTTAATGGTCGAGGCGACTCAGTACGTGAAGCGCCGATGTATGATGGACCTGACCTGTCTAGAGCAACGCCCGGGGTACCACTTGCACGGAGGCTGTCCTTTGCAGGTCCAGAGGAAGCAGGCGAGGTTAGCCCGTCGTCTTCGATCTTGCCTATCGTTGGCAGAGGCAGGGGGAATAAGCTCGGGAAGGTGGTTGCGATCATGAGAAGCTTCTCGTCGTCCATACCTGGAGCGTGTATAAGCCCTGAGATGAAGCGCTCGCTGGGCAATTCGATCATATCCTCTTTCCAGTCCAGGGCAGTGGAGGCCTGTCCATAACCAATACCGGAAGGATTGATCACTAGATGCTGGGCACGGAAGTGTTGAAACAAAGTCAAAACAGTGTAGTTTTTCCTCTCCTCCGGCTTTGTGTAGTGTGCGCCGGTAAGGTGGTGAGCAGACTGGAGTTGACAAGCTTTGCAAGACAGACCCGACGCATTCTTGAGCGCCTTTGATATCTCGCGGTTAGAGAGCGCGCCAATGAAGTGGTTTAGATTTGGTTCGTAATTGAACTCAACGTGGAACTTTGAAATGACGCGATGTAACAAGACATAGATCCGGAGGCTATTGGGCATGTCCTTGATACCGGAGGTCTGTTTCCACATGTCCTGGGCCAGTCCGATGATGGTACTTACTTCCTTGTCGAACGAGGCTGTGCTCTGATTCGGATCCTCGTTGCCATTTGGTACAGGATCGGCGATGCCATGGGGTGGTGGAGGCATACCAGGAGGCGGGGCTACAGCAGGATTGATCATAGCAGGAGATGGCATGTACGAAGGGTTACCGGGGTGAGGACCGTAGCCGGGAGGGCCCATCGATTGGTATGGATGTCCCTCTGCAGGGGCACCATAGACCTGCGAGTAGTCATATGGTACCTGAGGCGGAGCAAAGGGGCCATTGTAGCCGGCATACTGGTAAGGACCTGGGCTTGCTTGGGGCATGTGAGTTGGCATATGGGGAGTGGAGGTTCCTGCCCGCGAAAATCCACCGTAGAACCCGCCGTAACCTGTTCCGTTAGAGGACGCGTGGGGAACGTGTTTCACTGAGATAGGATCCGGATGGAAGGGTGTTTCCTCTGGCCACTCAGCTTCTCTCCAGGCAACGACGATGTTACCGCTGCTGAACGCGGTGGTGTGCTTTGCTCCATAGTGCTGGACGACACCTTCGAACCCGTAGAGCCGGATGTTCTGCTCGCAGTCGTTGCCATGGCAGAGAAACAATTCTCGGCGATACTGTTCTGTCAAGGGTTTGAGCTTGTTATCATATACCCACTTCATATTCTCCAGTACCAAGTGCGGTCTGTGGTCTGAGGGCTCACTTCCCTGCGATGCCTGCCGCGCAGCTCCTGACCCATTCACCTCTTCATAGTAAGCTCGCCTTACGTGTATGAGAAGGTCCGCCGCAAACTTCGGACTGTTCTCGTAGGTGAGAGCTTTCCCATGGTCCCAGTCTCGATTGATGAAGTCGTCAGCGATGGCGCTGAGCCTGTCACGGATTGCTCGTTGGGATTCTTCCCACTCGCGGTCCATGGCCTCCTTCGCTTCCTTGGAGTTAGCATCCTGATGACGGCGGTCTGTTGTTTTTGTCGGAAGCGAGGCTACACGGGACACGTGGTCGGCCTCGGCCTGTTGGGCAGCAGGCAAGTTGGCGATTAGGCGAGGCTGCAAGACGCTCCACGCATAGTCGTTCATTGGCTGAGATATCTGGATAGCTGCCTTGAAAGCATCCATGTGGCGCAATATGTTTGGAGCAATAGGCGGATTCATGTGCTGGCATCGGCGCTCTATGTCCGTTTTCCGGGTTGCTTTGGCCTCATTGGCATCATGGAGGTTCCGCTGCTGGTTTGGCTGAGCGCTTCCCGTGAGCACAGGCTGGGGGGTGAAGGCATTTGGGGGAATAGTGGGAGGCCTTTGGTGTGCGTGATGGGTGTTCGGCGCTGCAGCTGTTAGGTTGGGCATTGGAGGGGTATTTGTGAAATGTCTGACACGGCCGCCATGCATGGCGGCGATCGAAACGGTTGAAGAGCACTTACTCGCTGGGACAGGTGCATGAATGACGGGGGAGGCTGTTTGGCGCTTTGGGGATTTAGAGAGCTTGCGTGGTGCGGCTGCAGGTGAGCGCGCAACGGAGGATGCACGCTTTGCGTCCTTGTGTTTGGTATACCAACGCTCCCAGATCTCAGCTGCCTTCATGCGCTGCATCCCTCTTGCTTCAAGACCCTTGGACCACTCCTCAGCCGCAGCGGGCCCAAGAGCGAGTGTATCGGTGAGCTCCTGTGTTATCTGTTCGACATGCTTCTTGTAGTAGTATTTGCCAATCTCGACATTGGCAGGCGTTGCCGTCGACTGCAGAACGTACGCAGGAACGTAGTTGTGGTCGTTTGTAAGAAGCGCAAACGGCAACGCAGGTCTGAGGGCAGAGGCGGTGGAGAAGAGAAGGCTCGCGTCCTAGTAAAGTCAGCGACTGAGAAGAGCGGCGCGCCTGCAACTCACTGTCTGGCATTGCTGCATCAGACAAGGTCCACATGCTTTGATGCCGAATGGCCAGATGGCGCGGACTCCGGCTTCACCTGGGCCTTGCTGCCACACCTTCTCACCAGGAACAGAAGGATCGAGCTTGTTACAGAACTGACACCTCTTCGACCAGACGAGCTGCCACATCTGCACTTCAGTAAGGCCTGGGAGGGGCTTTGGGGCATTTGAGTTATACGCATTGCGGGCAGAGGCCCACAGAGCTTCAGACTTTAGGAGATGCAAACAACCATGCTCTGGTTTGGACGGGGAGACGTTCGAGACGCTCGAGACGCTCGAGACGCTCGAGACGCTCGAGACGCTCGAGACGTTCGACACGTTCGACACGTCTGTGAGATACGAATGAAAGGGTCGATTGACTTGAATCAACCGACCAAGGTCTGCAAGCGAACAGAAAGAAAAGATGTGCTGCCACACAGCAGGTGGCAGCCCTGCGCAGTATCCCAACCGACTTGGGACGGAAGGAGGTACGTGTGTATCTAGCCTGCGCTTCTTCCCCGCGACAGCAGACAGGCCTTCTGCCTTGCGCTTTGCGACCGATGCATCGCTCTGCATCTGGCCTGCGGGAGCATTCAGCGTCCCTTCAGACTCGTAGAAATGGACCGAGGAAGCTACGCTCAACTCGCGCTCGTACATGGCAGCCCTGGCTTCCCCTGGCGAAGCTCAGAGGAGCTTCACCGACGATGCGCGACAGGCTGCACACATGTGTTGGTGGGTGCAGAGAGCGGGTAATGGTAGGGATATCAGGCCTGGGGAGATATGCGCGACGGCAGGTTCGAGGACCAGAAGGACCAGAGAGTGCTGCGCAATAGACAGCTTGTTGAGAGACGTGCTTGGAGTATTAGGACATGTTGGAGCGTGCTGAAGCGTGTGGAAGCGTGTTGGAGCGTGTTGTGCAGGCTGGAGAGGGAGGTGTTAGTGGGAGTCCAATATGGACCAAGCTGTCCAGGTGTTCGAGGTCCTTCGAGGGCGGACAGCCAACCAGCGAGTGAGGCGAGCAGCTGCCTGGGAAGCGCCGGTGGGAGCTTGGGGTCTGCCGAATGCCGGGCTTGTGCCGGCCATGACGAAGTGACCCTTGGCGGCGGCGGGCCTGCAGTGCTGCGAGAGGCTGTGTATGTGTACGTTGGCCGACTGTACATACCGCATCCGCTATACGCATACGCTTTCCCATACCCTCTCCCATACCCTCTCCATACCCTCTCCGTACCCTCTCCGTACCCTCTCCCATACAACCACTCCGCACAGGGCTCGTCGCACACACTGCCCACACAGAGAGAGCACTACCACCAGGCCCGCTCTCGTCTCCGTCCCACCTGCCCTTCCCCGGCCCTTCCCCCGAACACCTCATCGCACAGCTCCGCCAACCCCCCATCCCTCATCATGGCCTCGCTCAACACCTCCACCAACGGGCCCAACATCACCCGCAGCTACCAGAACGTCGTCAACACTCCGCCGCCATCCGGTCCCCAGGCGCAGTCGCCCACATACGGTCAATGGGCTGTCTTCGCGGTGACGGCCCCGCTCGTCAGCGCCTTCCAGCACGATGGAGGGAAAGAGAGCGTCCTGAAGGTGCAGAGCACTGGAGGTATGTCGAAACGAGCCGAGGGCGCCCAATTGCTGCTCAGAGGGCAGGTCGGGGGCTTCCAGCGCGTTGGGCGTGTGTCTCGAGGCCCGGTGCGGGATCGCGCCGGCCCAAGCCAGACCTCAGCACACCGCCCTGCTGAGACGGCGCGGCATGGTGGACACTTGGCAGGACACTGTACTGACGAGCGCAGAGGGCGAGTTGCTCGACCTGATAGACGAGTTCTCCGACGGCCGCATTCAGTTCGCGTTCGTCAAGGTCAAGGACCCGAACTCGTCGCTGCCTAAGAACGTGCTGGTTGCTTGGGTACGCTTGGCCTATGCTCCACGCCAGACATGCTGCTAACTACCGCTCCAGTGCGGCGAAGGCGTCCCAGAGCGGACAAAGGGCTACTTCGGCAGCCACCTCGGTGTTGTTTCTAAGCTCCTCCACGTGCGTTGGTCTGCTAGCAATGGTGTCGAAGCGTCGCTGATGAGAGACAGGGCTACCACGTCCAGGTCACCGCTCGCTCAGAAGCAGACCTTACCCCAGAAAGGATCATCCAGAAGGTGTCGGATGCGTCAGGCGCAAAGTACTCGGGCGGTGCGGACATCCCGTCGTCAGGCGGTCCTCCACCTGTCGCTGCGAAGAAGCCCGTCTTCACACCCACAAATGTCGCAGGCGGAGGCGGAGGCTCGGCGTTCAACCCATTAGGACGCTCGAGGGCACCTGCGCCAAGGGGAGGTGAAGACGCCGATGGCTGGGGCGCCGACGCTCCAGAGGTCACCAGGTCGCAGCTCGAAAAGGTCGGGTCCGCATACAAGCCTACCAAGGTCAACATGGCCGAACTCACCAAGGGAAGAGATGACACCACCCGCGGCCCGCAATCGCAGAACGACCGTCCGGAGGTCGTCAGGGGCGCATACCAGCCTGTCGGCAAGGTCGACATCGCAGCCATCAGGGCTCAGGCAAAGGAACAGAAGGACGACAGACCTACCGTGGTCAAGGGCGCATACGAGCCTGTTGGAAAGGTCGATATTGCGGCCATCCGTGCGAAGGCTGCAGGCGCACCGTCCTCATCTGGCCTCTCGCCAGCAGCGACCGGAGCGTCCAACAACAATGCGGATGGGGGTGAGGATGAGGATGAGAGGCCCAGGTCGCTTGCAGAGCGCTCCGCAGCTTTCAGCAACCAACCTGAGCGTCTTACCAGCCTGCCGAAGCCGAAGGTCGCCAACAAGTTCGCTGGCGCAAGCGCATTCACCGGCACCAAGGCCCCTGCACCCGGTGGATTTACCGCTCCCAAGCCTGCCACGTCCGCGCCAGTCGGCACCGCGAGCAAGACGTTTGCAGACGAGGGAGGCAAGACTCCGGCGCAGATCTGGGCAGAGAAGAAGGCCGCACGTGGAGAGAACGTCAACACACCCACTGCAACAACGCCGATGCAGCCCCAGCAGAGTGGAGGTGGTGGTTGGAAGAGCGGATACTCTGGCAAGTCGTGGGCACCTGTCCAGACTACTCGTACGGGCCAGTCAGCTAGCAACCTCAGCGAACAGCGTACCGGTGATGCTCTCCCGGCACAGGAGGAACCTGCTTCGCCACCCGCCGGTGGTGTCGGCTCCCTCAAGGACCGTTTTGCTGGTGCTGCACCAATGGGCGCTCCAGGATCTCGACCTGTCCCTGAACCTCAGGCTCCCAGCCCGCCGGCTCTGGACAACTCGAGCAAGCCCAATGCAGGCGCTCGGGGTGTCCCTATGCCCGCTTTGCCCAGCCGACCCAGGGAGCCAGAGTCCGAGGATGAGGACGATGTGCCAGCAACCCAGACCCAGCGCCTCCCTTCACCGCCCCGCCAGCCGCGCAGCCCATCTCCGGAGCCCTCAGGTTCCCCGGTACGCATTGCTATGCCTGTAGCTCGCGGAAGGGAGCCCGTGCAACTTTCGCCAGCGGAGGAGCAGCCTCCTGCTATGCCCAACCGCTCGCTTGCCCAGGCTGCATCGCAAGCCCGGGACATCTCTCCAGAGCCCAAGGTCGAGGCGAAGGACCCTGCTCGCGGTGCTGGCATCGCTGTTGCAGCAGGCACTTTCGGAGCTGCTGCAGTGGCTGGAGCCGCCGCAGGTGCAGTTCTTGGTTCTTCTGGCCAGGACGACGAGGACACCGGCGCTGGAGCTGGAGCTGGAGCTGGAGCTGGCAAGCGTGCCGTTATTATCTACGACTATGAGAAGGCCGAAGACAATGAGGTCGAGCTCCGTGAGGGTGACCATGTAACCGATATCGATATGGTGGACGAGGACTGGTGGATGGGTACCAACTCCCAGGGCGAGCGTGGCCTCTTTCCTGCCAACTACGTCGAGCTCGTTGAGGGCGATGACGATGCAGCCGCCGCCGCCGCCGCCGCCGCCGCCGCCGCTCCTCCACTGCCTTCGCACCCCTCTGCTCCTCAGGAGGTCGAGCCTCCGGCTGCTGCCCCACAGCCCGCTGGTAGTTCTGGTCCTACCGCAACTGCGATCTACGATTATGATGCTGCTGAGGACAATGAGCTTAGCTTCCCCGAGGGCGCCACAATTACAGGAGTTGTAAGTCGGCTATCCCCTCACGAACCAAATCGCAAACTAACCAAACCATAGGAATTCCCTGACGAGGACTGGTGGCTCGGAAACTACAACGGCGCGTCTGGTCTGTTCCCGGCCAACTACGTCCAGCTGGACGAGTAGAATAAGTACACGCAAGCAGTCAGGACAGTCTGACACACATTATTGTAGTGGGACTCGGAGCATAGGTACAAAAAATTTCGAAGATTACTGTGTCCCCCCCCCCCCCCCAAAAAAAAACCTCACGAGGTTTCAAAGTTTGGTTCCATACTCAGTTCCCCGCCCACACAACCACACACCCACAATCATATAAATTAAGTGGCCTCCACGTATTCTGCTCTTCCTCTTTTTTGACTCCCGATTGTACTGATTCACAGACTTGTAGCCATCATCAAACATTCTCCTTTCTCCAGACATCCACTAAAACCTGTGACCGTCTCCAGACATCCACTAAAAATCTGTGACCGCCTCGAGACATCATGGCTTTCCCGAGCCTCGATGAGAAGAAGGCTCTTGCCCAGGGCATATCCGCATTGTGGGACACCGGTGGATACGTCGTCTGTCGCTCTACTGAATGCCTCCAGGAGGCCACTTGCCCCTCGTGGAAGCTTGTCGGCGAGGAGGTCGTCAGGTCCTCATTGCGCCACACCGTCTCCGCCGTCAGCTCTACTTTGGATGCAACCCTCTCCGCCGCTGAGAAGGAAGAGGTTGTTCACGCTTGGGTCGCCATTATCTCCTTTGGCCTGTTCTGGGTCCTCCTAGTCTTCACGCTATATCCCTTGGTCGCCCTTATCAGGGAGCATATCGTGAAGAGGAGCTTGTTGGCACCTACTGAGACTGAAGAGGCTGGTGAGGACACTTCAGGCGTCCAGGGAGAGTACGACGGTGAAGAGGACCAGGTCTACGACTCAGATCACGACGAAGGTTACTACAGCGAAGGCCTCCATGATGACTTCGAACACGAAGACTCCGAGACTGAATCGTCCAGTGACTACGCACCCGATAACTCAGAATTGCGCTCCCTCATCGGCCCCTCTTGGTTCCCACTCGGCCTCAGTTATGCCTTTGGATCCGGCACTTTCTTAGCCACCCTCGCTTGGAGCGAAGCACGCTTCGCCTTACCTACGGTCATCGAAACCGACGGCCCCATCAAGGCCAAGGAGAGGAAGATCGTCGCTCTGGAGGCTGAGCTGAACGCGAAGGTCGACCAGCATCTTGCTTGCGAAGCTGAGGCCCAAGATTTGCGCGCCATAGTCGCAAGGAAGGAAGAAAAGCATGCCGCAACGGTGGGCCGCATCACTCCAAAGCGAGAAGAGCAGGGCAAGCACATGAGAGCTGCGCGAAAGGACCTTGAAGCCATTCGCAAGCACATCACAGAATACGGCGTCATGTTCCGCCAACTGCGCGACGAGAACGAAGCACTCTTGTCCAAGCTCTCAGACAAGAGCCCGATGGTCGAAGAGCTCCGCATGAACAACGACCGTCGACAGTTCGAGGTCGATGACCTGCGCGTCTCCAACGCCATCCTGATAGCCGCGAACGAGCACCTCGAGCAGCACAATGAGGAGCTTCAGCGGAGGAACGAGGATATTGAGAGGGAGAATGTGAACTGGAAAAACACCATGCGCGCCCTCCGCGCCCCGGATTCCGAGACTCAGAGGCTAAAGTCTCAGCTCGCGGAAGCTTCGCACACAATCTCCATGCTACGCGCCGAGGTTGCGGATAGGGAGCAGGAGGTTGGGCGTGTGGAGAAGACCTCGCGCCACAGCGAAACGCGTCTCAGAACTACCATTGACGACCTCCAGGACTCGGCGTGGAAGAGGGACATTGAGTGCGCAAAATACGCGACCGACATGACGGCCGTCGTCACTTCCCTCCGCATCAGGATTGTGGCCTTGGAGACCGACAACACGGAGCTGAGCCACGAACTTGAATACCTCCGCCACAACGTTGATGAACAGGCCAAGTTCCCGCGCTGGGAGGAGAGCGAGGAGGCTGTCAAGGCGTTGAATCTGAGGATTCAAGGGTTGGAGAGGGGAAATGAGCGTCTGAACAAGTGCGTGTGCAGGTGGGCTGAGCTGGCCAAGGAGCGCGGGAGGGAGTTGGTCTGGCTCCGCTACGCTGTTGATGAAGTCGCCAAATATCCTCTCTGGGAGAGCGAGGGGTTTGAGAGCAAGGAGTTTGCTGATGAGGGGTTTGAGGACCTCCAGGGCACCGCTGACTTCGCACTTGAAGAGGGTGGATATGAGGGCTCAGAGGCCATCGAGTTGTTGGAGGATGAGGAGGAAACCGTGGAGGATTTCGAGGAGGTGCTGCTCGATGACTTCAAGGAGAAGTTCGAGCAAGTCTCCCACTTCACCGACTCAGAGGCAAGCGAGAGCGATACTGAGTCCGGGGGCGGCGATATGTGCGGAGACTGGGGACTTGATTGAGGGCCTGCAGGCTTCGCTTCGCTGTCCCCAAGTGATTTGCCCTTTTTCCTTTCTTCATTTATTTCTCTATGCAAGAAGCCCCGTAGGATGGACTTCAACTTTTCTTTTCTTCCTTTGGAGTTCTAAGACCCAAGCACGACAATGCATATTCTTTTCCTGCTGGACTTCAAATGTTTCTCCTTCTTTCCCTTGTTTTTGGATGCCCACGGAAGCGAGTCATGGGGTTGTGGTGCTTTACCCGCACCTCGGCGCCGCTCACGTTCACGAGTGTTCACCTGACGAGTAGACTGATACCATGGAAGTAAACGATCTTAGAACACCCGAGTGCAATTTGACCAACCGAGCTGACTTGCATTCACGCTCGTTCAACCTGGTGACCAGAGCCCCACCGACAGCCAGTCTGAACATCAGCGAAAACGATCAATACACCAATCAACTCAGAACAGAGCCAGATACCAGAGGAACGTCGCCATTATAGGGCCTTGCAATAATGTCACAAAAACACATCGTTCGTTACAGTATCATAACTACATAGTCTCAAGCTCAAGGGGTATACAACTTGGACACAACAAAGGAAACACATCATCATCCACATTCCAACTTCCTCTACTCCACTCAATAGCCCAGCTTAGCCGTGCTTCGCATATGTCGGCTGCTTGCTGTGCCTCCTCCCAATACAAAACTCCACAACCCACGTCAACACAACAACGAGCATAAGCCCCGTCGCCGCCCACGTAAGCGCAAGGAACTTGCCGCCCCAGTTGGCCTGCAGTCCGATGTCGTTGCCCTTATCGTTGATGATATGGCTCGCCTTGACGATTACAGCTGTGACGAGTGCGCTGGCGAGTCCTATGGCGAGGAACGCGAGTACCGAGATCAAGAAGTTGACGCATGCTGACAGTCGTCCGGATAGCAGGACGGCCACAACCGCAGCGAAAAGCGCAATGAAGATGAACGCGATGGCAATGCAGTACAGCACAAACATGGCGCCCATCAGCGCGTTCAATGTCTTGATGCCTGTCTCGACATCCTCGGGCCAGTTCAGGTCGTCGAGCGTGACGTCGAGCCCGGTGGTTTTGTTGAGCGCTTCCTCGAGGATCGCGGTCGGGTCAAATTTATACATCGCCCTGTTCCTTGAACACTCGGTCACGTTCTTGCTAATCTCGTCCTGGCTGACCGTCGCGTTGGCGGCCTCGGCAGGTGTATACTGGCCCTCGCAGTAGTTGAGCATGTGCGCGGAGTAGAAGTCTTCAATGCCGAGTCTTTGGGTGACTTCGCCGATGGCGTCGTTGATGGTGGTGCTGCCGTAGTTTTGGATCCCGTTGAGCAGATTGGTGAGCGGGTTCGAGGTGTCCGTGGATCGCGTTTCATTGACGAGGGTTTCGCCAATCATGGACGTGTTGAGCGTGAGAAGGTGGTAGTCTTCCATGAAGCCCTTCTTGTGGCCGGCGAAGAGGCACAGGAAGGAGAGGACGAGGGCTGCTGCGCAGCATAGTGCTGGGATGAGGGCTGTGGGACGCATGGTTGTGGAGGTATGAGGTGGTTGTTTCGAATGGTAGTTGGTGTACGCAACCAAGTTGCCTTTGTGGTATGGAGGCAAGACAAAGAGCAAGACCTCTTACTTGCAGTACAAAGCGATAGATGAGTTGTAGACAAACGTCAAGTAATCCAAGCGACAGCAGCACGCGTCAATCTATATGCACACTCACCGTCCACGCGGCGGAACGAGCATTCCAAGCTTGCTCCCTACTTCCATTCTCGTCAGAGCATTCACGTCACCTAAGCCAGGGTGACGAGAAGCACACACACCACCCGTCGAATCAGTCAACGCGCGACAGGAAACAGGCACTGCCACCCAGCCTCAGGATCGTCGAATTTTCGTGTTTGTATTGGCCGAAACGTTGTCAATGCACACACCGACCATGTTGACGTGTAAGGCGCTTTGACGGGCACTACGTCACTAGTCTGGGAGGCTTGCGCAGGGCTCTCAGCCTGTTGTTGCAGCCGCGCCAGGGTCTGAGCAAGATACATTTTGCCGAGCACAACCGAGCAGACGGGATGGCCTGCAAGGAGTCAATGACCACAATAATGTTGGGAAAGGGCTGCAGACGCGGAGGATTTGCGACATAAGGCAGGTCTGCGCGACTGTTCCGCAGGAAGATGGGATTGCACAGCCGCTGAGGTACGAATCGAGGTACGTGGGAGTACGCGACCGTTGTGGGACCTGTGCTGAAAATAGGACCGTTGAATAGTCCACTCGTTAGAGCACCTTGGAAGTCTCACGAGTATATACTGTATGAAGTGTCAGTGAGGACCACAGTGAGGCACATCACTTGAGCTGCGGAGAGAAATATCTCTCTAGCAAGGTACACGTTGTGCGACCTGAGTCTATTGTTCTTGGCCTTCATCTAGTCGTAAGGTCTCGTCTATCATAATTGACCATAGCCGCATGATCATCGTAAGTGGGGCATCCTGTGCCCCATATGCTTTTGAGTGGTGTCGTAAAGATGTTCGATCGGAGTGGGGGCACCTGTAATGCGCAGTGCGCCAGCTTTTATGATGGCATCTTCTTCGTCTTACTCGGAGGCCCGGTCGAGGGTGACTTGGATTTGCTAACTGCATCCTTGAAGGGCGAGTATGGCGCAGTGACTGAATGTGGTGGGGCACGATGTCCGTTTGCTAACTTTGGGGGTTCGCTGGACCCTGGCCACTTCTTCTGCTCTTCATGCATCTTGTTGAGAGGCTCTCCAACGATGTGATATTTCGTCCACTCGATAGGCGGGCATCGAACTATGTTTTGCGGTTGCGGTATCGCAGGAAACCTGGGTGCTGCCTTGGAGTCTACGTTCGCAGAATCCTTGCGCCCCGCTCCATATGGCTGGCTGGCGGTTGTGTCGTCGTCGTGCCTCTCAGCTAGATCTGTGAGACCAGCAAGCGTGGGCGTGAGGACATCACTGTGCGCTCGTGCTGCTTCGACTCGCTGTTCTTGCAGGGAGCGCATGAAGCTTTCTGGGTCCTGCACTGCAGCATGCTTGAGTTCTTCTAGAGCCTTCAGGTCGCGCTTGCTCTTCTCTCGCTGTATCTGCAGGAGTGATATCGCAGACCGTAGCGCTATGGCATCTGGGTTCTCGCTCTCTGAGATAGGCACCGAGGGCGGTTGCTGTCTGAATGTCGTAGGCGCAGGCACAGGTCGTGGTGGGGGTTCATTGCGGGGCCGAGAGTCGGAGCGCTCGATGGGAGCTAGCTGGGCGACAGTACCGGTGGGTGTGATGGGTGAAACGGGCGGCCGGTCTGAGGTGGGCGACTCTGAGCGCTTCTGCGAGGCGCCAGAGGTCGACGAGATGTCGCTCGAAGAAGCCGGCCGCAGATCTGTATTGACCAGCAGCGCAGGCATGGCGGCTGAGGGTGAGGACGTCTCGAGACGCAGTGCGCGAGAGTCCAGCGCGGCGATTAGCGATCGGCCACAGCCACGAGGCTGGAGGGGCGGCGACGACAGGACGGGGCGCACTGCGGCCTGGGAGCGCCACTGATAAGCTCTCGATAGGGCGCTGCTCAGGTATGCGCCTCGGTTCTGTCTGCCATGTTCGAGAGCGGGTGCGTGGTTAAGGTGCTACAGCGAGGAAGTCGCAGCGCCTGCGCTCCGTCCGTTCGTTGAGAATGGGGTGTGGGGACTGCGGGAAAAAGAATGTCGAGTTTGGCTTGGGTCGGGACTGCGGAGGACGCGGAACGACTTTACCTCGTCTACCTCGTCACTCTCGTCAGTCTGAACACGGGCCACGGCGGCTTCAATTTCCATCGCAGCTATAGCAAGCCATAACGATCGATAGGCTGCTGACTATGCCCTTGATGGCTACACAGTCGCGCTGCAGCCATGTGTTCTTCGCGACTGCCTGTTCTGGAAGTATATCATTTGACAACAAAGTAGTTCACAGCTCTGACGGCGGCTTCACCAAATGTCACTGGTGTGCACGAGTTCGGGGGCGCCGCTGTCAAGCGTGTTAGTTTCAGAGCCAGAGCTGTAATTCCAGACAGTGGTCAGACATGTAGTCGAGAATGACGCTCTCACGTGGAGTCCACGTCTGGTAGACGCACGCCAGTTCTGGTAGAGCACGACGAGACTACTGCGGGGTGAAGGAACCTTAACTCACGCAACGGGCAATCGAGCAGCATCCCAGGGCTGATCAGACCATCGTCAACACTTTTCTGATACGCTTGAGTCAACTTTATCCAATGCCTCATTTACAACGCCATGTCACTGTTGAATGTGCCGTCCAGATGCCGCGGACCAGGTCGAGCGAGCATGGAAGAAGCTGGTCTTCAGCGAGCGTCCAGCCGCGGGAAGGCAGCCACAACAGTCTCTTCGTGAGAACGCCCGCGTCTTGTCGCCAATTATCGTTGCCGGATGGCCATTGCCGCGTGGCAGAATGCTGACGCTGTGGATGAAGGCTCGCTTGTCTGCAATAGCGCAAAGGTACCAGATGTGGACCATTCCCGCGTGTGAGTCGTCGCTCTTGCTTTTTGGACGGGCTGCCCGTCATTTGCGCTTTCCACATGCGGCACGAGCACCATCGTATTTACCTTCCTACTCCCCCATCTTTCCAACGTCTGTTGCTGCTCGTTCGAATGCTCGTTCCATTGCGTCGTCGACTTCGACGTTTCAGCTAGCCGCTTTATCGGCCTGCACGAAATGTGCTGTAGCCTGCCCACTATCTGCCAATCAGTCGCAGCCCTGCAACGCACAATCCTCGTTGCTAAACCCTAACTGTCTGCCCGACCGAGATCATCGTCGCCGTTGCTGCATCGAGTCATGGCGCCTGGTACAGACTTAACAGCGCAATCCCCGCCAGCTGCGGCGCGCATACCAAAGCTCAAGTACAGGAACCCACTGCCAGCAGACCAAATCTCGCTCTCTTTGCAGAATTCTCAAGAGGTGACACAACCGTCACTGCAGAGACAGACTTCGGCAACAAGTTCAGACGTTCCTCCATCACCCTACCCACCATCTCTCGAGACCACAGCAAGCACGACGTCCTCCAGCCTGGCTTCCACACCGTCCAGCAACTCGAGTTCCAATGACTCCAAAACATCGAAGAAGAAGAAAAAGAGCAACTCTGTCTTTGGCTTCTTGTCACTAAAGGAGCCTTCCCAAGTTGCCCTCGAGCAATTCGCTGAACAGCAACGCAAGCAAGGCAATGGGAAGGGTACAACGTCACCTTCTAATTCATCCATCAAGACCAGCGGCACATTTGCGAGTAAAAAGCTGCCAGACAAGGTCCCCAAAGTCAATTCCAAATGGGATGGCATCCCAGATGCGGTCAAGAAACGGCAGTCCACGGCAACTGCGACCACCAGGACAAGCAAGGACACCAAACGATCGTCAGGGTCCTCATTCGGACAAGGCTCACAGCTCTCCGCGTTACCCTGGAACACCTCAGAGTTTTCGGTCATGTCGAACGAGTCTCGAGGTCCACCCAACTCGATCATGTCTGTACCTTCTGGGATCAATGCCGACATTTATCACAACGGACACTACATTCCTTCCTCACCGTCTGAAAGCTCACTGCGCGAGCCATCATATTATTTCCCAGAGGAGCCAATGGCATCTGGTGCCTTGCCAGTAGAGCACCCAACAACTTCTAACGAGGCTGAGGCTGGCCCTCTGTCCAAGGGTCCATACCCCACAACTGATCTCGAAACCATACCGGACGAACCCGAGGGCTTGAGATCAGCTTCACCAGCATCATCGACCGACTCAGTCGACACCATTGTCCGGGCTGAGGCTGACGCAATCTTCAAGAAGATGAATGATCGGCCTCAGCAGCAAAGCTTCTGGGGCAGAAGTGCACCAGCGGTTCGGACACTTACTGAATACGAATCGAGCGTGCCCGAGTCCCATGAATTTCTGTTCGAAACATCATCCAGCGCCCCATCGCAGAAGAACGACTCCCCGATGGCGTTTCCACCTACTCCCTATATTGCGCCTGCCGTTCGCTGCACAGAACCACCAGCGCACTACGTCCCATCGACCGCGCACGACGATTCACTACCTGTCCCTCACTACTCCCCCTCACGGCCTGTGCAAAACTTCAGTCGACCTATGGCACTTACCACGCCTACTAAACCTACCAACTCCTTCCAGCCTGCACATCCGCCCCCTGTTGCACCTTCATCCTTACGGTCGAGAGCCATAAGCTCTGGCCTTCCGACTCTATACGAGAACTCTATCGCCAGTACCGAGTCTTTGGAGACGATTCGGGACGACAGTGACGTGCGATCGATTGCACCATCTTTCACGCCGTCTTCGATAGCGCCATCTGAACTATCGGAGCACTGGCACCAATCTTCCCGCGACCGTCTTGGCCTTGGTGGGCAGCTTCGCAAAAGCGATGTGCTGCCATGGAAGACAGCGGAGGGTAGTCTAGGTAAGCCCAAGAGCAGACACCGTTTATCTTTGTTGATGAAGGGCGCGTTACGGTCATAAGGTTCCCCTGGCGGTTGAACTGTGACTAACCCTATGTGCATAACAGCTTGCGACAGCCAGCAACCATCATAGTCCGCCATCTTTGTATTTTGTTCAGCGTTCAGCGTCAGCATCTTTGTCTCGAGCGACGGTCGCCACCGTTTACGTATAGATACCCAGTCACATGTTCAACATATCGGAATCACTCGTTTCATCACATCTCCGGTTCTCGAAAATCGCAAGTCTTTTCAATGCAGCATCTCGTCGTCATCGAATTTACCGCAAGCGACACATCATGAGCAAAGCTTGTCAGCGATGTTCGAATCAGCCTTTCCACACCGCCAGCATGACAACGTAGAGGGGAAGGAGCAACGAGGTCAGTCAATCGCCGTCTACATGTACGTTAGACTTGCTGGCGGCGCAACAATTACGCGCCGTCCACCAACAGTAACGTACCAAAATCCACAATGTTTTAATCTCCGTCAAATCTCCCCTTCCTATTTGTCCACAACGATGCGGGTAAATAAAGTTCAGGAAGCCCGCGCGGAGCTTTATTCTTGCTAACGCGCAACCCTCGCTGGGCTGGAAGTTTGCCGGCACAGACTCGCGCCGGTTATGCAGACCGAGATTCTTCGCAGCTCCGACACTAATCTGTGCTTTATGTGGTGTGGCCCAATGAGCGCTTGCATGCTGCCTAGCCCTGCGCGGTGGTGGGCGAGGAGAACGGGTGATTTGTCGTCTTTTGCGAATCCGAGTGCGAATTGGGGATGGCAATTTCTCAATGCTCCATGTGCGATAACTGGAACACTCAACGTCAATGCATCGCAAAGTCTGTTGAGGTTATCGTGTTCTGCTTACAACGTTGTACGCTCTCGTGACAGGATTTCTAACAGTGAACTACGACGATCAGATAGTGTGCGAGTCCCTGAAACAGGGTCTGGTACGCCGGATCAAGTCGATCTAATTACTCGCGCCGTACCGCTTCTTTACTTATAAACACGTGTGTATAGAACGTGCCGCCAGTGAGTACATAAAAGTTCAGAAGTGAAGGTTGAGTGATGTCGTGCTCAACATCGCTCTAGGTCTACGACGAGTTTTGGGCACTGAAAAACGACAGCGCTCAATTGACAAGTCTCGTAAACTGGATGGTCGACTAGGATGTCTCAAATTTGTGTTGCGACTCTCCTGAGATCTTGAAGAGTGCCTGCCTACGTTTGGCTGCAGTGTAGCCCAAGACGTTCAAATGGTTCAACATCGATATCCTGTATTCATACTAATGTGCTCCCAGACTCTCTGCTGTTCTTCAATGGTTCAAACGTCTTTCACTGACGTCCAGAGACTTCAAACCTTACATCCGTGCACAAATGAAAGCCCATCTACCGCTTCTAACGCCACGACTGCCCATCGTCCACCACCCTACTGCTTCTTATTCTTCGCATACACAAAATTCGCAGCCACAGGAACCAATCCATTTCCATCCGCCCAATCCCTTACACCACCACCCTCCTCACCCGTTCCCCAATGCTGACGGTCCTTCGGCTTCGACAAGTGCAGCGGCTCCGTTGTCCCATTCTTCGGCGCAAACACAAGAAACACATAGCGGTGCTTGCCCGTCTTGGGCGGCGGGCCAGGAGGCTTGTACTCGACGACATCATCGGGTTCGCTCTGCTCTTCGACGTCTTGCTCCGTGAGGCCGAACTCGGGAAGGGGTAGAATGGAGAAGGTTCGGGGGGTTACGGAGACGTTGGTTGCGATCCAGTGGCACATCTCGCTCCATTTCGGGTTGGAGCGGGAGGGAGCGTCGGGGTCGGTGAGCGTGATGATGTAGGTTGGGTGGGAGTCTGTCATGCGACCAGGGCTGGTGTCTTCGTGTAGAGTGATGGACGGTTGGTGCTGGAGATGCTTGGGTTTGATGGTGTTGCCGAGTGAAGCTTCGTCTTTCTTCCAGGATACGGAGACGGTCAGACTTGGGAGGAAGTCGTCAATGACTGTTGGTGAGTTAGGTATTCATAGGTGCCAAGGCTTTCATGACTGTGCACCTGTTGGGATGATCTCGGCTTCTCTGAGTCTATGTTTTGTTAGAACTGGCAATGGAAAAGCTATATCAAGGACTTACGCAGCCTGTACAGCTAGAACATCTGGAGAGCCATTTGCTTGGAGTGGCTGTTGCTCGGTAGGCAAAGCACAGACAGCTCCATAGAGCTGTAGCAGGCTTGCAGTCCCAATCAAATTGTGTACATGCATGATAGTGTACAACTGCTAGCGGAGGGAATTAATAAACCTCAATGTTGAATGAGATGCGTCTTGTTGGGTTCTAGTCGAGCTATGGGATGAAGTGCGGAGAAGAAGCTGTCGCGTGAGGTTGTTCCTGAATTGAGGTTACTCCTGCGCCTTGTCGTCATTTGAAGTCACCTCGCAGATCCTCCACCATTCTGGGCAGTCACGGTTGATCGGCCAGCACCAACGTCAGGACTTCGCTCGGTGGACGAGTTGTAAATGGTAATGTGTTGATGCCATGTAAGAGGGTATTCGCAGTCGCATGCATGTGCTCAGAATACAGTATAGGGCAGACAGCCGTCCCAACGCCAAACACAACGATGCATCACATAGTCAGACAGTAAACGCCTCGCAGAACTCCTTGCTGCCCGTGACAAAACCCATGTTCTGGGCAATGTTGTACTCAGCAACAGCCTGAGCGCCCAGCCCAGTCATTGTGCCAGTGCAATCGTCCAGCAGCACACAGTCCCAGCCGTACGAGTACGCGTCAGACACTGTGCCAAAGACGCACTGATCAGTGTTCACGCCAGCGAAAAGTAGCGTCTTCTTGTCGACAGCGCGGAGGTATTCATGGAGAGGTTCAGCTGTAGACCATAACCCGCTCATGCGTGTCTTGTCGAAGAAAAGGTCCCCAGGCTGAGCTGCCGCCTTGAAGGGCTCGTAAAGCTCTGAGTTCCATGTCCGCTTGAAAAGGCACCGGCCCTGGTTTCCCGGAAGCTGAGCGCCCAGTCCGACATGCCAGCCCAGCGTCTTGTGGAATCCTCGTTGGATAGCTGGCGCCATGTTCTTCAAATCGTGCTCGGTAAGACCCCAATTGAGCCAGGCAATCTGAATATCTTCCGTTCTGCACCGCTCGATGACCCTCAAAGTAGGTTCGACTGCCTCCAGACCAGCAGTGTGATCTCGGTACTGTGGATGGACGAAGTAGTTCTGCATGTCGACGACGATCAAGACAGCACTGTCAGGATCGAACATGAATCCGGTGTGGTTGTGGCGGTCTTTGTCGCATTCAACGATTATCCTCCTCTCTGATCCCCTCGATAGATCGAATTTGCCATCGTCTGGAAAGTAGAGCCATTGCTCATCACCACCGAAGGGAATTGGCGCGGTGCATGTGATCGTTCCAACGGTGGTCGACGTGTTCTCCGGAAGGTACTCCTCTTCTTGTAACTCACTGAAGGTCTTGGAGGCCATAGGCGTGTATACAATAGGGTCGTTTGACAAGAGCCTGGAAGTATACAAAGGATGATAGGGTGTTGCAGAGTTGGGAAATTGCAAGAGCATACAGAGAGGTCAACAAACCGAAATAGCTGCGCCGCCTTTGTACCTTCCCAGGCCTCAATGAGCACAGACTTACCGCTTTGTTGGGCGTGTTGCTGATAACACCTACCCTTATCATCCTGATAGGCTTCCCTCGGAGTTTGTAGCTGGGCAGTGTTGATCGTGGGACCCTGATTTCGTCCGTGAACGCTTGTCTTTCACAGCTGCCCGGTCTACTGTAGTCATAGCAATCTCACTAGCTTCACTTGCTGCATTGAGCAAGATCTGGCGACACCTAACGAAGCAAACAATGACTGTTGACATAGATAAAGCGCGACGGCAGCAGAAATGCGGAGGCGAGAATCCGGGGTATCGCAGTGTAATTAGCTGTGACCGTTGTTGACCGAGTGCTGCATCGAGATAAGGCTGAGGCTGATAGTCGTTTGGGCCGACCAGGAGATAAGCAGCCCTGTGACTTTCGGTGACTTGAACTTTGGAGTCAGCGACCGCTCACCGATTCTACCCGACTGCCCGACCCGACCCAAGAAGAGGACAGCATGGTGTTTGTGGTACCAGTGATGCCCTTCCGGTGGAGATTTCCCCAGACCGTTGCCAACGGATGGCTGAGGGTGTGTGACGTATCACCTGGCCTGCTGGAGGCCCCCGTTGGTTAGCGAGCAGCACGCGCCGCGTTTTGTGGCGTTGCGTGCTCGCGTTGGCATCACAGCCGCAAGTCATGGCCTTTACTACATGAGGATGGGCTTGTTGAATTCTTCCAGAGGTCTGCTCGATGTTGACTTCTCCTTTGTGCAAAGTGAAGGTTGGCGAAGCATGAAATTAAGGAGAAGGCAGAGACCGTCTGCAGAGTGTTTGATGTGGAGACGGCCCTGCACGTGACGGAAATAACCTTGGTCGAGACTGAGCGAACCTTATGACGACGGGCTGCATTCCATCACGAGCCTCAGTCCCAATTCAGCAGGCATCCAGGTACCACTTCTGCGCGAGCCATCTCTGCATCCCCGGAACCGAGTTTTTGCCCCTGCGCAACGATTACACTCATCTCAAAGCCTCTGAGGCCGTTGTTGTTTACCTTGTAGAAGGCCAAAGTTACCAGGAACACCAAACTGCACACGTCCACCAGCGTTATGGCGTCGCTGGGCGAGGAGCTCCTCAACATCGTCAACAGGCTCCAGGACCTCGTTTTCAACACCATCGGCAATGACTCTCTCGACCTGCCCCAGATTGTACGTTGCCCCTCTCACCGAGGCACATGCGATGCAGCAGAAGCCACTGGAGAAAGCTCTGCTGCTGCGCGCCACAGCATGTGAAGACCTCAATACTAACCGTTCCAGGTTGTCGTCGGTTCGCAGTCTTCCGGAAAGTCGTCGGTCCTCGAGAACATTGTTGGCAGGGACTTTCTTCCCCGAGGCAGCGGCATCGTAACACGGCGACCGCTTATCCTTCAACTCATCAACCTCCCGAGCGAACGCGACGATGCCGAGGAAAGCGATGAAGTCCATGTACCGCATACACCAGCCAGCGTAGCAGGACAGCAGGAGTGGGGAGAGTTCCTGCACATTCCTGGACGGAGGTTCTACGATTTCGCGGAGATCAGGCGTGAGATCGAGGCTGAGACAGCGAGGATAGCGGGAAACAACAAGGGCATCAACAGGCAACCGATCAACCTGAAGGTGTACTCTCCACACGTTCTCAGCTTGACGCTTGTCGACTTGCCTGGTCTGACCAAGGTATGTAGCTGGACTCCAACCTTGAAGATGTGGCGCTAATCGCTGCAGGTACCCATCGGCGACCAACCGACAGATATCGAGAAGCAGACCCGGAACCTCATCACCGAATACATCGCCAAGCCGAACAGTGTTATCCTCGCTGTCTCCCCCGCAAACGTCGATCTTGTGAACTCAGAGGCTCTGAAGTTGGCCCGCCATGTCGACCCCATGGGCAGGAGGACGATCGGTGTCCTCACCAAGCTGGATCTCATGGATCACGGAACAAATGCTATGGACATCTTGTCTGGACGTGTATACCCTTTGAAGCTCGGTTTCATTGGTATTGTCAACCGCTCGCAGGCGGATATCCAGAGCGGCAGACCACTTGCGGACGCTTTGCAGGCCGAACGAGACTTCTTCAAGCACCACCCAGCCTACAGGAACATGGCCAACCGATGTGGTACTCAGTTCCTGGCAAAGAGCCTCAACCAGACCCTTATGTCCCACATTCGCGACCGGTTACCCGACATCAAGGCGCGCCTAAACACCCTAATGGGACAAACACAACAAGAGCTCGCAAGTTACGGAGATGTGGCGTTTACAGGGAAGGAGCACCGTGGCTCGCTAATCCTGCAACTCATGACACGTTTTGCTTCGTCCTTCATTTCTTCCATTGACGGTACTTCTACCGAGATCTCGACAAAGGAGCTTTGTGGTGGTGCCAGGATCTACTACATCTTCAACTCAGTATTTGGCAACTCTCTGGAGCAAGTCGACCCTACGATGAATTTGTCTGTCCTCGACATTCGCACTGCTATTCGAAACTCTACCGGACCTCGACCATCTCTCTTCGTCCCTGAGCTGGCCTTCGACCTCCTTGTGAAGCCGCAGATCAAGTTGCTCGAAATCCCCAGTCAGCGCTGTGTTGAGCTCGTATACGAGGAGCTCATCAAGATTTGCCATACTTGCGGCTCGACTGAGTTGACCAGATACCCTAGGTTACAAGGCAAGCTTATCGAGGTTGTGTCTGACCTGCTGAGAGAGCAGCTTGGACCATGCTCGAACTACGTTGCGTCGCTCATCGACATCCAACGAGCCTACATCAACACAAATCACCCCAACTTCCTCGGCGCAGCAGCAGCCATGTCCTCGGTGATCGCGGATAAAGAAGCTAGGGAGAAGAAAGCTGTGCAGGACGCGGAGCGCAAAAAACGTGAACAGAAGAGGCTGAAGGAGCTGAATGGAGTAAACGGTGGTGAGACACCTGAGGATGGCGAAGAGTCGCAGAAGGTTGCCGACAAGGCGCTACCTCTCAGGAAACACCAGACACAAACCAGCCGCAGTATGTCGCCAGCAGTTGGGCGCTTGATGAACGGCTCTCACAACAGCATTTCAGGTCAGCTCAGCAATCGCAACCGCTCACCACCTCCAATGGCAGCGGGCGGCAACGCACGAGATGGATTCCTGAACTACTTCTTCGGCAAAGATGGCGGTGCTGCGCACAACCCCTCATTGACAATAGACAACCGACCTGGCAGCCGGCACGTCAGCCAGAACATCGAGCCCAGCTTTGCTCAGAGCATCAGGAGAGGCGACCCTAAGGCACCTTCTCCTATGGTCCCATCGTTCAATATGGATGATGACGAGGAGCCAAGCAGCCCGGCACAAGAAATCCAGGGCGGCTTTGTAAGTCTGTTTTCAGCTCGTGTGAGACATATAACTAACCTACATAGCCCTCGGATCCGGAGTCTGCTCCTGCACTCACAGAACGTGAAGCCCTGGAGACCGAGCTCATCCGCCGTCTCATCTCCTCCTACTTCAACATCGTGCGCGAGACCATTGCCGACCAAGTGCCCAAGGCCATTATGCACCTGTTGGTCAACCACTCCAAAGACGGCGTGCAGAACCGCCTCGTCAGCTCGCTCTACAAAGAGGATCTGTTCCAAGAGCTCCTGTACGAAGACGACACAATCAAGGCCGAGCGCGAGAAGTGCGAGAAGCTGCTCAAGACGTACAAGGAGGCGGCCAAGATTGTCGGCGAGGTGTTGTAAGATGTAGTGTTGTAAGGATATTACCTGTAGGCTTAAAATGTTCTTTTGGTTGGCGTACAGAGGCCGCGCATCTTGTGGATATGTGGGATGAAGGAGGCCTGTTGTATGCGTATTTCTACTCTTCTGTCGGATCATGAGCAGCTACGTGGATGACGGTGGTTGGCTTGGATGACAGGGCGTTGAGAGGACTCTGCTCCTGAGTCTGGCTTGCTGTTCAAATGGCGAACGATGGATAGTGTATAGAATATACCGCGCAACTTCACACCCGCGTCTTTCAGTATGCAATGTGCCTTTGCGTGGTTCTCGGGCTCGCAAATCATGTGAGGCTGAAAGTAAGCATGTATATTGAAAACGCGACCAACCGTCGTCTATACTGTACAGATGGTACACAACACCAGAGGTTGGTATCTCGCACCAGACTATCGACTATCGACTATCGACTGCTTTTCCGCACCTCGCCTCTTGGCTTCCGTCGGGCGACCATTATGTCCATGCTAAAGGGAGAGAAGGGACCTTCTACGTTCTACGTCTCAGGCGCTCATTTCTCGTCTGTGATTCCGAGGATTGTGTTCAAGTCGGCGTTGGGGTCCTTGGGGTCTGCCTTGGCTGTAGCATCAATCAGCACGCTGCTCGTATCGCGAGTTCAAGGTCTGGAGGACGCACCGCCAGATGAGGCCTTGGGCTGCTCTTGGGGATGTGTCTTTGCCCACTCCTGCTTGGCCTGCCTGATCAACGACTCCTTGTGGCTGTACGCCTTCTGCTCGGCCTGCGCCTTCTCGCGCGCTGATATCGACAACTGCGTGTAGGCGCCGTAGAAGAGACCGGTGGCCAGGGCGGACCATCGGAGGACCTGCATCATCGGGATTAGCATCTGCACTGCACTTTCCAGAGCTCGACGGAGCTCCATGCGCCCGCTCGGCGTGCGGATGGGCGCCAATCGGGGGGGGAGAGCGTACGTTGACACCGACGGAGGTAGACATGCTGAGCGGTCGTGCGAGGGCTTGCGACTGCGACTGTGCGGCTCGAGAGTGTCCAATGGCAGGTATTCCGGGGCTACGACGGCTGATGCACCGCTGTACGTGGTCCGGAGCGTTGTGACGGCGGCGTCGAGGCGGATAGAAGAGGTTGGGCGGAGGAGCTGTTCGCTCTCTGCAAGATTCCTGCGGTTCATCCCGACTCGGCGCTCGGGCCAGCCTTAGTAAGGCGCGACTTCGAGGAAGGCACGACGACAACACGCAGACCCGACTTCGGCACTTCTTTATTTTCTCTGAGGGGGCAATGTCTGGGAGGGGGGTGTAGGACTCGACTCCTGACGTATTTCCACAGCCACCACCCTGGACGACACTCAGCATAAAACGCACCCAAAGCCCACCCCCACACTCCACACCTCCGCCATGGAGTCCTCGTTCGAGCAGCGGCGCCAGGAAATCCTCGCGAAGAAAGCCAAGCTCGCCGAGCTGAAGAGGCAGCGCGAGCTGAGGAGAGAACAGGCCGGCTCCAGCAGACAGTCCACGACCGCGAGTCCGCTAGGAGAGGTGCGCTGGTCCGTTCATTGTTTACCCACGAACAACACTGACTCGCTGCGCAGGTACTGTCGCCCACACCGCGACGGAGCCAAGACCTCGATCGCCGAGCCGACGTCGACAGTCTCATAAACAACATCCTTGGAGACCGCCGACCAGCATCGACACAGCCCGGCTCGCCAGCTGTGCGAGCAACACGGCCGACCTCGGTCGTTAGCGCAGGACAGCTGAGCAGCGACAATGAGCCAGCATCACCAGCACGGTCCCGCATGGTCGACGGAGAGACGCAGACAGTATCCATAGGCCCACTCGCGACCGTCTACGAATCTGCTGGCGACGGGCAGGTCACAGCTGAAGCTAACACGCAAAAGGAGGTAATCACATACAGCAAAGGTGTGCAAGCAAGCATAGACTGGACCCCCCCAAAGCCCCGAGGCGCCGGCGGGAGCGACACAGAGCGCGACGAGAGCCCAACACGGTCACCAAGGAGTAAGAGGCTGAGCCGGAGACAGAAAGAGCGGGACGAGGAGATTCGCAATCAACTGCGAAAAGAAATCGAGGAGGAGATCAAGACTGCGCAACAAGCGCCGCAAGATGGCGCAGTGGCGAGCTCGGACGAGAACTACCCTTTCAAGACACTCACAAACGAGGAGCTGACTGCGGTCGAGAACTCAGATGACTTCATTGGGTTCGTGGAGAGGAGCACAAAGGTGTTAGAGAGGGCCTTGGACCAGCAGCTTGGATACGACATTCTGGCAGATTATGCGCTTGACGGAATAGATATCGGTGACGAAGACGAGCGCTACGGAGCAAGTGCGGGCAAGAAGGGCAGGCGCATAAAAGAGATTGCACAGTTCTGGGACGAAAGATGGAGCAAGAAGAGGATGGTTTCGGATCTGGGATTCTCTACAAAGGTACTGCACTTCACCTGTCTTTGCAAGTCTCGCTAACAGTATACACAGTTCCCAGAGCTCGTCCTCGCATCCTACACGAAGAACCCCTCCGCTCCTCATGATCCGGACGGTCTGATCCAGGTCTGGAACATGCACATGCACGACCGGCCGGAGTACATATTCCACGCCCAGTCGGATATTCTCACAGCAAAATTCTCTCCCTTCCATCCGAACCTCATCATCGGCGGTGCGTATTCGGGACAGGTCCTGTTGTGGGACACTCGTGCAAAGTCAGCTCCTGTACAAAAAACACCTCTGACAGGATCTGGACATACACATCCTGTCTACTCGATAGAGATCGTCGGAACACAAAACGCAAACAACATCATCTCATGTTCCACAGATGGCGTCGTCTGTGGCTGGACGGTGGACATGCTTACTCAACCACAAGAGTTCCTCGAACTTACCTCACCCCCACCAGCAAAGACCGACGACATGGCAGTAACCTGTGTTGCCTTCCCACAATCAGACCCAACATACTTCCTCGCCGGTACAGAGGAAGGCTCAATCTACCCTTGTCACCGCTACGATCGCGCAGGCGCGAAGGCAGGTGTCGATGGGCGAGTCAAGTACTCTGGCCACGTTGCTCCAGTCATGAGCTTGGATTTCCATCCCACAAAAGGACAAATCGACCTCGGTGACCTCGTCCTGTCTTCTAGCGTGGACTGGAGCGTCAAGCTGTGGAAGGTTCGTCCACCAGCGGCGACTGGCTCTGGCAACGCTACCTTACCTGGTGCCACACAGCAGGTCGTACCGGTCCTTGACATCGCGCGCGAAGACCTCGTCTACGATGCACGTTGGTCGCCTGTCAAGCCTTCCGTGTTTGCCCTCGTCGATGGGGCTGGCAGTCTTGAGGTCTGGGATATCAACGTCGATACTGAAGTTCCTGTTCAGTCGATCAAGCCGAGCGACAACAAGAGAGGTGCTTTTGCAAATATGCCGACAGGCATGGGCTACATAAACCGCAGTCTCAACAAAGTGGCTTGGGAGAGGAACGAAGGCCGACGCGTTGCTGTTGGTGGCATGGACGGCGTTGTCACAGTATTCGAAGTCGGCCAGGACTTGGGTGGTGTTGAGACGAGGAATGAAGAGTGGAGTGGTGTGAAGAAGTTGGTGAATCGATTGGAGGGCCACGGCGAAGGTATCAATGGCAGGTAGAACCGCCGTTCGACAGTCACAGAAGTGGATCCCTTGAGGCGAGTGATTAATATTAGTCCTCAGGGTGTTAAGTCGTGGCGCAAGGCAGCATCTTTGGAGGAGTCTGATACTTAGTCAACATACCCCTTGTGCTTTCGGATAGAATCTTGTGCAATTATGCAAAAATGTTCGATTGTCCTTGTAACTTCACATGCGCCTTCCTCGATGATGCCCTGCCAACATTCTGAACATTCAAATGCGAGTCTTCGTAGATTCCATCTTCCAACTTGACATCAATACTTCAACACATTCAAACGAACAACACACCAGCAGCCCCAGCCAATGCCCCCGCAACACCCATCATCCTCTGCTGCCCCTGAATCCCCATCGGCGCCGCAGCAGCCGTACTCTGCGTCGCTGCGCCGCTCCCACTCGAACTCGCCCTCGAACTCGCCGTGCTGGCACTGGCACTGGTACTGGTAATGGTACTGGTACTGGTACTGGTACTGGTACTGGTACTGGCACTGGCACTGGCACTGGCACTAGCACTGGACCTCGAAGCGGCACTGGCGCTCGAACTCGCGCTCGCGCTTGCGGCACTCCCTGATACTGAGCTTGAAACGGTGACCACCGCGGTAGCAGTTCCTGTGCTGATCGTGCTCAGTTCCGTAGGAATCGTAGTGCTGAATTCGTCCGTGACAGGTGCAATGGGCGCTAGTCCTGTTGTTGCAGGTGTATTCGTGCCGATGATGTTGGTAAGTGGTTGTTGCGAACTGCCCAACAGCGATTCGGTTGAGACGTCGACGTTGAACGGTTCGCCCCAGGACGATGTTGTGCTCTGGGCACTGCTCAATCCGATGAGGGAGAGGAGGGCGGAGTTTCTGAGGAGGGAGAGACGCATTTTGCTGAACTTGGAATTTGATGTTGAACTACCAGGAGCGTATGTTTTCTTTCTTCGTTGAGGGTGCGGTTGTGTCTTTGCAAGGGTGAGTTTTGGTCTGAGAACGGGGTTTGTAGTCGAGGGTTGCAGGATCTGGATGGTCGGAAGCAAGCAACTCGACATCCTTACGATGTCGATATATTTAGCGGCTTATCGATACGAACGATACGTCGTCAGCTCAGGGCTGTCGTTGCGGTATCTGATTGGCAATGCGGAGTGGGAATATAGCGCTTGTTGTTTGTTCGTGTTCCCGGCTAGGTAACAATCGTCTTGATTCGAGTTTCTCAGATCCAGAATGATTGAGGGCAAGATGAATGTGTGAAAGCCGAGTCTTTAGCATAATCGTAGGCTTCCGCTGACCCCCCAATGTCCGAGATCATTGTCGCAGCCGCAATGCGCTTGACGTGCAGCATGTAGGGTGCCCAGCGATCAGCTTGACGGGTGAGGTGTGACATGGAAGTGGTGAGCGCTGGTTGGTGTGGATGCTCGGCTCTCCAATCCTCCCGCGTTGATCCCCGAGAAACCGGCTAGTTGGAGCCGTATGTCGACTGTCAGAATGGGCGATGACCCTGGGTCTCGAAATACTGTCTATTTAGGTGAACGGAGTGAGCTTTACGACTTTGTACACGTGGTGAAAGGCATAATACTAAGGACCTTGGGAGTAACGGGTGTATCTATCTTACTTTAGACATAAGCTTGTCTTGCAAAGAATCGACCTATCAAATGTGCAATACAGCCATACTCATAAGCATCTCCTACTCTTAATATCTCAGCATCCTCAAACCAATCGCGCCTGGCATGTAGACTTCTTGTCTCCTTCGGCAACCTTGCACCCACCGTCAGATAGCGAACCACAAATCTCTCCGTCTCCCCGTCACTCCCGTACATCACATCATACCTTCGAAGACAACACTAAACATCCTCTCGCAGCGTTCAGTCGCACCCTATGCCACGATGGTAAAGGCTCACTTCACGCAGACCTATGTCATCTTCAGCACGACCCACTCGGCTGGCCAAACTGTTTCTACAAGCCAGGAGATTAGACTGACTCTGAGTTTTGACGGTCTTGTTCTCGTGTCTCGTGATGCGCTTTCAATGCCTCGCGCTAGACGTCGGTCCTCGTGTTAGAGAAGAAGAGGTGCTGAGCAAGAGCCAGGTGATGAGCGTACGACATATTGTTTGCTGTAGCACTGGCGGCTGAGAGTATTATGACAACGGAAATTGTGTTAAACCTGGACGTGGGCTACGAGAGGCTAATGATTGTGGTATGAGAGGTGGAGAATGGGTTTGATATTAGGAAAATAGGTAATGGATGGGGCGGAAAGCAACCTTCGACTCGCTGTGAACATGTGAGTTGGTTCTTGATGAATATGATGAATACAGGTACGTATCGTTTGCGTGAGAAGTGAGAGATCATGCGAGGTGTCACTGAGACAATACTGTCAAAATTTATGAACCCATATGTATACTCATATGAGCTCTCATTGTTAAGAATAATCCACATGAGTTACTCAGTGCCGACAAGTAGATGTCTGAATATGAGCATTTCTCGGAGATGTGAAGTCGCATAGCGTTTGACCCAATGCTTGTGCATGCATTTCGGGCTAGACCTGTATATCTAGTTAGATGCCGAGAACCTTCGCCAAAACTCACTGAATTCCCGCAGATTCGACCACAATGGATAAGAGAAAGAGCAAGTACCAGTGAATGAGATCTTCCATGACAGGATTGCGTGACAGATGCATACCGTCCGCAACTCGCCATGGGTGTGCGAAAAATTACTCTCAGCCCAAGCGGTGGCTATATCCTAACAGAAACGGCCCTCAACACAGTCCTACAAAGAAGAGCATCTTACACCAACGGCTCGACAGCCCGTCGACGCTATTAACGGCAGCATTCCTTCGCCGCGAGATTCTGACTGGTCTTCGTCGACCTCTCTCCATTAATAGCGCACCAGCAAAATGCATCAAGAAGAACCTCCACGCTTAGCCTGGCTGAAAGCGCAGGCGCAGCTCCCCAACTGCAGCTCCAACCGCCGCTCACCGGTCTCGAAGCTGAAGTCGCACAGCCGACCTCGGATAGCGCGCTCGCCAAAACTATTCCTAGCCTTGGCGCGCCCACCAACACTCACTTTGTATGCTGTTTCGTACCGAAACGCTGGCGATTTGACAAGGCGTTGGTTTTGGCGCAACTTGATCGTTGCGAGAGGCAAGGCAAGCCACGAAGCTTGCCACTCGCCAGCCCGACCCAGCCTCGCTCTACGCGAACCAGTGGAACCTCGCGGTTGGTCCTGCGCTAGTGCCATGCATGAAGCTGCAAGACGGTATTGCCCGCGTGATGAAGTATTGACGCGTAAACACTTTGGCGACGGCGTGCGGCGTCTTACCGGATGTAGCTCAGTTGCGCAATAGTAGTTTTGTGCATGATCGTATGCGCAGAGGGAATTGTTTGTGGATGAAGGACGGGGGCGAAGAGGGAAAAGGGGAGGCTGGTGAGGTTGTGCGAAGTGAGGTGGCGATGAACGGGTGCTTGCATGTTTGGGGTGCAGAAGCTCCCGTTGTGGGGTAGAGAGCATCAGCACAATACGAATGCTGAACCATGGGTGATCAGCGGATGAGCGGTAGGATACGAGTTCCACGTTTAGGTCCCAGATTCGCAATATCACTCGCGAATGTGACGAGGTTTGGTATCCCTACCTGCTGTGAAGCACGACTCGACAGACGCTGCAAAGGGAAGAAAGAACGAGTGGCCACACGGAAGCACTGCCGCGATGACAGCTTTGTGTTACGGTATGACGATAACAGCACGATTGATGCGGTGACACCTGCCTTTCTCTTGCTTGTCACGACGATCTCCGTGGAACGCAGTGTTTCAAGATGAGTGCGCAAGGCAGATGTACATACCGTTGTGCACGACCCTCAGTCAATCATCAGTCGATCGCAGAGGCACGGCGAACATGATGTAAAAAGATGCACAAGATCAAGATTGAATGGGTATAATGATTTCATAGTGTCATTGGTCTACCGCCCACTGTACAAGGCCCTCTGCACTAGACTAAGCAATGCACAGCACTCCACCCCAAACGAGCGACGCAGCGCTCGTGACTCATTAGAAGGATATCAACATAAACAAGAACTCTAAATTATCCAATGCAAAATACATGAAGATGTTTTAGATGAGATCGCTTAGTTGAGGAAAGCGAAAGCACCAGCAGCACCGAAGAGGAGCGCCAGAGGAGCGGAGGAGAGCGAGCTGGCGGCGCCAGTGCTCTCGGGGATGGCGGCAGAGCCGGTGGCAGAGCGGGAGAGGGTGGCGGAAGAGACAGTACCGTTGTGGCTGACGGTGACAGCGCCAGTGCCAGTAGCGGAAGCGTGGGCGCTGGAGACAACGCTGGAGGTCAGGCTGGAGAGCGAAGCAGACGCGGAGGCAGCGGAGGAGGCAGAGGAGGCACGCGAGGCGATGACCGAGGAGACAGAGTAGGCGGAGGCAGACGAAGCAGATGCGGAGGCAGCAGCGGATGAGCTGGCAGCGGCGGAGCCACCGGTCAGACCGAACTGGCCGGAGTAGTTGGGGGTCTGGCCATCCTGGCGGATCTCAAGAGCGTAGTCGGCGCCGTTGACAAGGTCCTTAGAGACAGTCCAGGAGAAAGTACCTCCAGTAGCAGTGGCTGTGAAAATTATCAGTACGTGATGTTTGACGGCAAGGACTGTGGTGAAACATACAGGTCAGGGGGCCGATGGTACCGAGATCAGTGGAGAGACCCTTGCGGAGGATGAAGGTGGTGGGGGTGTTATCGGCAGGGGAGTAGGTGACAGTGTACGTCTGACCAGCTACGACACCATCGGTGGGGTACTTGTTGATCTCGAGGGCGAGAGCAGCGGCGATGAGAGCAGCGCTGGAAGCGACCATCTGGAAGAAACGCATTTTGATGTTGTTGGGGGGTTGTTGATTAGGTAGGTATTAAGTGTTGTACGTGTACGTAGTTGGATTAGAGAACGAGTGTAGGTACTGTGTACAGCGAGAGGAGCGATCGGTGGATGAAGGAGAGGGAAGGTGAGCGATGTCCTGGGGATTAAGAACACCTGTGAACGCTGGGCGCAGCTGACTTTTACAAAGAGGGCTATCGGCTGAACGACGCCAGAGCAACGGCTGGAATGCAAAATTAGGTTCCTGATGCAGTATGGTTTAGCCTGGAGCTAAATGAAAGTCATGGTCATGCACCAATCGGCGTCTGGTTCAATGGCGATTCCCCTGGGAGCCCCCTTTTTCGCACCCCTCGACGGTCGAGGTTGGAAAGGTGTGCGCCGGCCCAGAACCACTCACCATTTAGGCCACCTCTGGCGTCGTCGAGCGTCCCGGCGCATCCAAGTGCACGCCAACGGCCGCCGTGTCTCTTGCCTAGCCGGGATGAGCCTAGACGAAAGCCACTCAATAATCCGGGGAAATTCAGGGGCCGAGCCTGCTCCTTTCTTGACAGCGACACATGAGGCGCACAACAGCGGAAGGCTGGAGTACAGGGCAATGGCTGCACACGGTCTCGATGACGAACTCTGTGCGACGCAGAGCGCACACGATCACCAAATTTTTCGGTTGTTGCGGATGTTTGCGTGCAAATTCCCTTGCCGTCAGGCGCATACCTTCCGCATCCGGACGCCTAATTACCGAACGCTTTTTCTGTTTCACAACTTGCCGCTGGCAACGTCATCGTCGACAAGCCCAAGCCAGATGCGTGACTTGTCTCGCTGTTTTAATGCCCACGCTTTTATCGATATGGCGAGGATCTGCTGCTGGGAAAGCAGCGGCCTTTGCATTGTTGTTGGTGGAGCGGCAACCTTGGTCGGTGCGACACCAGTGATGAACCTTGACTGCTAGCCCGAGAAATTCTAGTCGCGATGGTATTGGCTCCACTGAAACGAAATTTGTTTGTTGAATCGCTGAGGTCGAAGAACATTCGATCAAGACTCGCCTCGCGTGCTTGGACGATGCCAGCCGAGTCGTGCCGTCGGGAGTGGATGAATGCATCGACGGAAATTGAGCTCCCTGTCTCAATGCTCCGAAGACCTGGGGTGTTGTGGTCCGCAAAGGAGATCTATCGCAATGAGAGTCAGCAATTACCATGCCAAGATAGGATTATGTGCGCATGATGGACACTACATCATTCATCGAGGAACGTGAGCGGTTACCACGTTAGCCAGGTGCGTGTGCTGTCAGTTAAATGACGCCTACTATTGTTGAAGTCATTCTTAGTTACATTCGTTATCGAGCTTCTCTACCTTTCCTTGTGTGTTGACGAATCCCTCCGCAAAGAGTTGGAAGCTGGTCAGAGTTGTGGACATGTCCTGATCGTAGAACGACAGCAAGCAACAAGACAAAGAAATGACGCCAGCTGCCAGCTGCGAAGCTTTGGACCGAGATCACTGCTTGGATGTCTGGGAAAGTTGCTGAAGTTGACATGCGCCCTGCTCAGATAAACTGCTCCTCCCACTGTGTTTCGGACTTGATGAAATCCGCCATGTCGGCAGGCAAGTCGACCTCGTCGTCGTCGACCTGGAGTGTTGGAGGAGCCTCAACCTGAGCTTGAGCCTTCTTGGAAGGGGTGTCGTCGTCGTTGTCGCCCTTTCTCTTTTTTCGAGTTGCAGAAGTGGTCGTTCCTCCTGGAAGTAGTCAGTACGCTGAATCAGCAGGAAGCATTATCGCAATCATTGCACACCTCGCTTCTGGCCTGGCTGAACGGGTGTGAAATTTTCGCCTTCGTCAACGCGCTTTTTGAGCTCTTTAGCCTTGGCGAAGATGGAACGGAACTGATGTTTGAAACTGCTAGCAGTACGAGTGCCATCAAGAGCCGACATCATGTTAAGTTGCTCTTTGAAGATACTGGTGCAGCCAAGCGCCATCAGCAGGATGGAGACACAGTCTGCTGGGATCATCTTCTGACCTCCAGCAGGAGAGTCGGTAGTCTTGCCCATGTTGACTGGGGACGGCGAGGTAGGTTGTGGTGGGATAGACGAAAGTGTGGAAAGACGGTGCAGAAGAGCAGAGTGGAGCGTGGTGTCAAGGAAGTGGGAGGGCCGCTCAACGATAAGACTTTGTAGCTGCCTGGGCGGGTGCAGCAAGTGAGAGCGAGCTCCAACAGCTGGGCGGTGGTGAAGGTGAAGGAGCCGTGCACCCAAAACACAACAATACGTACCGCGTTTGGTGGTTGGTGGGACAGACTCGAAGGCCTCCCCGTTGTCGACACGCGCTTTGAAATCCTTGGCTTTGGTGAGGACGGTCCTGAAGTCGTGCTGGAAGGCACTTGCGGTCTTGACGCCGTCGAGGGAAGAAATCAACTCATAGTGCTTCCTCGTAAGAGAGGTTGTGCCGGTCGCCATGAGAACAGCGGCGACTACATCAGCGCTGTACATCTTTCTAGCCTTGCTATCACCATTGGCGGCTGCTTTGGGAGGCATGTTGATTGTGTGTGTGTGTGTGTGTGTGTGTGTGTTGGACCGCGGCGAAGCGGAGCGATGCGTTAATGTCGAGGGAGAAGCGGAGTAGAATGTCGAGGTTTCGGGAGAGCTGCTTAGGACCAAGACCTAAAAGCTATCTGTCTCAGTGTGGCAAGTGAGGGTGAGCTGCAGCGCTTCCAACAGGCCGTAGTACGGTACGTTTGAGGCTATCGTGAATACGGTACGATCAAATTTTGGTGTTGCACCTACGGTACGGCTACGGTGGACCCCTTTACGGTACCGTACACCGTACTACAGTCGTAGTACATTACTGTAAACAGTTAGTGTGTCTGTTTGACAGTGAATTGAGACCGCATTTATATACCCCAAATCATCACTGCTCTTCTATTAAAAGTCACACTTATCCGCTAATTTTTGTGGGCTGCTCAAAGTACTTCACAGTCCATCTCTCTGTGGCCAAAAAACCATGCCCATATATTCACATGGGCGCCATGGAGGAATAGATTACAACCTTATCACTTGCTTTTTGCTATAAAAAGGCGGTACAAATCACAATGAAGCTGTTGAAACTGGCTATAGTTCATTTCCTCTGTCTTTTTGTTGCCCTATCCTGTGCCAGAACATGTTCCGACAGTTGGGTTAGGGAGCTAGCCGCTACCCGGTTCTTGACCCAGTTCTTCTGTAGTTGACAAGCCTCAATTGTAGCCGGAGAAAGTGAGTTTCGATCAGTAGGGAGAGTGCGTTTAGCACTGCTAAAACAGCGCTCACACTCACAGCTAGTACATGGGATGGAAAGAAAATCAGCAGCTATTTGGAAGAGTATAGGGTACTTGCTGTGACCAATTCGCTTCCACCACTGCCAAGGGTCATCAAGAAGCTGCTGGGAAACAACACTGTCATTGGTGAGGTCTTCTTGCAAGTCGTCAAAGTAACAATCTAACTCCTTCTTCTGCTGCTGTTGCTTCCGGTGGTTGTGATTGCCAGTAAGTAGCATAGTATCAATAGTCATTGTACGTGCAAATGGACTGGCAGTATGGCTTATTGGTGGGTGTCTCCTGAGATCCTCGGCAGCCATTATCTCATCAGGAGTGTTGTTGGCAGCAACATACTTATTGAACACACTTCTGATGTCCTTTTCAGCTTTGCTGTGCCAGTCGGGGAAGTCACACCAGTGATCTTTGAACCAGGTAAGGCGGAGGCAAGGGTGAAGGGCTGTTGCAATGCAATAGTAGCTAGGAAGTGGCTGTAAGACAACCTTCTTCCAGTAACTATCAAGTTTCTCCCATCCCATGTTGACAGCATTCTTGAAGTATGGTGAGAAAGCCATAGGATTGTTTGCAATCAACTCCTGATACTCGTTGTAGTGTACCCATAATGTCTGCAGATCAACAAGTGTTTGCCACAATGAGCCAAAGCCATTATTGCTATTTTTACCCTCTACAGCTTTAGTGAGTTGAAATGGGACTTCGAGAAAGCTGACAAGTAGGTCAACCTCTTCCCAATTGTCATCACTAAGCTGATCAACTAAGGGGTTGTACTTTGTAGCTGCAACGGTGG